TTTCAGCGCTCTCTGGTCGGCGATTTTTCCGCGGTTATCAGCTGAATAATAAAGCAAACGCGTCTCGCGCTCGATCTGCTGGAAAAAAAGACCATCGAGTCAATTAACAACGGGATGAAATTAATTCGCGAAGCCGACTGATCGGCGAGGCCTTTGACCCACCGACTACCACTGCAGGTATAAGGTCGAGCGATTAGCTCGGCGCATAACGAGCGGGAATAGCCTCAGGGCAGACACCGCAGTCGCCTCTCCCCAGTTGCGCTTGCCAGCGTTATAAGACCGAGGATGTCGTGCGACGTATATTGGCGCGTGGCCGTACGCTGCCGATCGGAGATCGATGCGAACCACGATGAGATAAGCGACTCCCCCCCCTCTCTGTTTGCTTTCGGATGCCGAGATTTTGCGTGCGGCTACTCGTCCCTTACGCAACACTCGAGTGCCGCGATGCACTTGCTCCGCGAGTCAGATCTATCCAAGTACGCGCGCGCGCGAGATTAGTCAGCGTGGCGTGCTCGACTTTCCGTACAGCTATTGTACGGATGACGAGCGATCGGTGCACCCTCGCGATACGTTCTGGGAATCCGTTCCAAAGAGAGCGCGCGACGCGACTCGTCGAGCAATATCACGAAAACCGCTCGTTTGTCCGTCACTTGCAGCGAGTCGCCGAGTGTTTACTAGCGAAACCAACAGGAATCGCCGCCAAACAAACAAAACAAATAGAAAAGAAACAACTGCGTCCGTTTGCCTTTGAGACGAAGAAGCGAACGGCGGCGAAGAGGCGGAACGATATCGCGTCGCGGCCGCTTATCCCGCGGAGCGGAGCGCGTGAAATATAGAAGAAGGAAAAAGCGCGGCGACGGCGTAACAGGTCTCCGTCCCTCTCCGTCCCGCTCCTCGGCGTCTTTTGCGCAACATCCTCGCGAGGGCGCGCATGACTTTGAATCAGGCGCGAGGCACGCGCTCGGCGGCCCGAGTCCTTGACGAGCGAGCGCCGATGCTCAGCGAGCGAGCGAGCGGATAAGATTGGCCCGGCGAGCGCGCGATAGCCACTTCTTATAATCTGGCACCTTGGCCGCGCATGTGCGCTCTCGGCTCGCGGGCGCGCGGCCCGCCGAGGATCGGCCGGAGGCGCGAGTGTCCGCCGGATCGGAGGCTCGGTCGCGATAAGCGTCGTCGGCCGCGCGGCGTCGCGAGGAGGAGAGGAGAGACGCGCGCTTGCGCCAAGTTTTCTCCTTGGACCGTCGGCAGCTTGGCGAGCGAGTCGCGCGTCGGCGCTGCGGTCGCGCGCTCGCGGCGCAGCCAGCAGGCCAGCGGCAGTCCCCCTTTCGAAAATAACACACGGCCGGTTGACGTCAGCCTCTCGCCAAGCGCTGCCGCGTGCCGCGACCGAGCCAACTGCGACTAGCGCGCGTCCGAGTGCCCGCCGGCCAGCTCTAAACTCGCCGGCCAATCGCCAGCTCGCTCGCGCGACCATTCGGACTCTCCTCTTCTTTCTGTTTTTTTTCGCCTCGCCGCTCTCGGCCGGCTCGCTCCTTCTGCCGACAAATCAAACTCGCGAATCGCGGATCGCGCTGTTTTCTCGCCTCGCGCGAGCTTTCTCGCGCGGGCTTCGCTTGCCGAAACTACGACTTGAAATTCCACCGATCGCGTCCAATCGCGTTTTACGATCTCGCTGGAAATCGTCTGCTTTTTGTATAACACTGCAAACGCGGTATTTACCGAACGAAATAAACGGAAAAAGAGACCTCCAGGTAGCCGGGCTTTGGCTTTGGAACTCGGATGCCACGTCAACCAAACGCGTTTTTGCCACGAAGAAAGCCGCCAAAAATCGCGTCGTGCCGACGGTGTAATTACTCGCCCGTGAGAGGCGGCAGAGTGCGAATTATTTGGCGCCGATGTCAATAGGCATTAGCGTGAGAAAACGAATTTCGCGGCAATCAACGTCGAGGGAAAAAACAAGCCAGCCGATTGTAAAGGTTCAACGGCGAGGGGCAGGAAAATAAAAATGAAGGGAACGCGGGAGGGCAGTGATTGGCGGGCCGTTATATTAAGCTTTGTGTTTGGCGCGTCCACGCGCTTTTAATTGTAGCAGAAGCGCGCGAGCCGCCCGATAAAACCTTCATTTTTTTCGTCGGCCGCGCTGCTACGAATCAATTAGCCGGCGCTGTTTTTTTGTTGCGCGCTCGTCTAGCGAATCTTTCGATATCAATTGTCCGCGGGTCTGTCGCTGACAATAAAGCGCTCCTCGATTACTCAATCGTGGTACATTCTTGTGATGCTTTTCTCTGTTCCGGTCGCATGCGAGTGAAAATTAACGGCTTTCTCTCTCTCTCTCTCTCTCTCTCTCTCTCTCTCTCTCTCTCTCTCTCTCTCTCTCTCTCTCTCTCTCTCTCTCTCTCTTGTGAATCATTGATTAGCTCCAGAATGGAAAGAAAACGTTCATTCAGCGATTATCGGTGGTTTTCGCTCTCTCGCCTCTATTTATAGGCCGAACGCGTGTATTTCTGGAGCGGCCTGTGCGAATGCAAATCGTACTCGGCCGTAAATTATACGCGCGACCGGCGTGAGAATTGGATAATTGCCCGCGAAGAGAGAAAGAGAGAGCTTATCCGTCTCAAATACGCGAGCTCTGCGATCGCAAGTCGAGCTCCGGTTCCCGTAGCGACGCACGGCGGAATTCGATGTTCGCCGGATCGCTCGGACGAGCGGCGAAGGAGCGCGTACAGCAGCAAAAGTCAGCTGCTGCGCGCGGACGTCTGCGCACCGAGGAAAAATACGCTTTTCAAGCGGCGGGACCGCGGACGCGATTCGAGGAGGCGAATATACAAGCGCCACTTACGAAAGCCGCCGCGGCCAGGCCGCGCTCCTCGCGACGTGCGTACGGCCCTGGCTAACTCACGGCTCGACTCCGCTCGCTTTTATCTCCGAACAGCTCTCGCGCAGCAAACATCGCCTGTGTGCACGACGACGAGCTTGCTATTCATCCAGACCATTCACGCTCGAGACTTGTCTATTTCTTCTTCTTCTTCTTCTTTCCCATTTTAATTTCGCTATACCTATTTGTTGATAACAATTACCCGCTCGGCAATTTATTTATTTTCTTTTCACTTGATTAAACACGCACTGTAATAAGATAGTCTTTTATTATGCTTTTATTCTTCTCTTACGTTATCTTGAGCGGTTAGATTTTCACGAGTGACAATTCAACTATTCCGTTCATTTCTCTAGGGCATCAGTTTGACTATCGACAAGTTAATCAGCAGATTGATCACTAAAAATTCTCAATATTAATTTCGATAGTGATGTGATATTTATATATGATCCCGCTGTTTCGAAGTTGAAAATCAGAGTTCATATTGATAATGGACGCAGAAAATATATTCTATCTTCATCGAATCCAATGCAAAATAAATAGCAAGGATTTCATCTGCTATCGGATAAAATTCTACGTTAAAAAAAAGAATGCAATCAGAACGTCAGAGTTTGGCATTACGGTAAATCAATTAAATTACGCAATAAATGTAAAAACTAACGCGAATAAAGAACAATCAATGATGAGCTTCAGCTCGAAACAAAAGGATGAAGTTGGTGAAAACTGGTGAAAAGGTGTATCTATCCGCAAAGTGTCGGGCGAATGTGGAACAATAGCCAAAGGCATAATCGACAGGGTTAAAACTGAATGGCAGAACAGATCGCGAGCACGAGAGCTATATAGCTCTTGACTTTGATTTACGGCAAGTTTAAAGGCGAGCGCTTGCAGAACGGCTAATCCGGTGGGCGAGCGACCAACCGAAGCGAGAGAGAGAGAGAGAGCTTTCGCCGATTCAACAAGTGCCTCCTGGCTTCCTTCCTTGCTGCCTACCTGCCTGCCTCCTTTTCATCCCCTTCACACTTCGATAAGATATGGACCCCCCCCCCCCTCTGTGACACGTGTTTCTCGAAGAAAAGGAAAATACATGGAAATCGTGTTCGCGCGTACACAGAGGCTCTCATGTACGAAAGCGACCTCGTTGGTATAGGAGTGTGGGCCCAAGTAGGACGAGCAACGGATGCTCGACTGTTACTGCTGCTGCTGCTGCTGCTGCTGCTGCTGCTGCTACGGGAGCCGTGCCACGAGGAAAAAGAGGCCGAAAACCACCTATACAATTATCCAGCTCTCCTAGGCAACTACTGCGTTTCTAGAGTAAAAACTACTCTTTCGACCCGCAAATCTTTTTCTTCATCGATGTCTTCGACCGTTGCTTCTTTGATTTGCAATTGTGACGTTCTGGCGTCACATACACACAATCGTAAAATAAAAAAAAAGAGAGAATTAGCACACGGACGTAGCTCATTGTCCCGAGAGTGCGATGGTGGCCTTTGTTCCGGAGTCACGCAGCCGTGACAGTCTCTCGGACGACTCAACCCTTTTATTTATTTGTTCTTCGTACCTTCTCGCACTTCAACTCTGGCGCGAAGAAAATCACGCCCTCCGTTTGAATTCGCTCGATTCGCAAAATATCTAACGCTCAGACAAAAGTCAAAGTGCATACCCTCGAAAGGATCCTTCCACGAGAATAGTTTAATCTTGCGCACTACAATTATACACGTCTGTCTTCATATAAACCGATGCGTTGGACTGCACGATGCTAGTACGATCATTATTTTTAATAACAAGAGAGAGAGAGAGAGAGAGAGAGAGAGAGAGAGAGAGAGAGAGAGAGAGAGATAGAGGGAGGGAGAGAGAGAAGGAACCTAACGCTATTTGACAAAAAAGAAAGTAGAGAAAAGATCGGTGCCGCTGGACAATACGAAAAAGTGTTTATCAAATCGAAGCGCGCACGAGTATACGTATATATAAAGTATAGGCCATTTATATAGGTATAGGTGGAGAACGGCTGAGAGTGTTATGCGTAAGCAAAGTCAACGGGAGCGCCACCTATCCTCGCATGTTGGCGTGAGCGGCGGCGGCTGCGGCGGCGAGCAGTCCGGGCGGCCTTTCGAATAGCCCCGAGGGGAGAGCGCGCAGTCAGTCGGTGCTGTGCCGTTGTGCAGAGTGAACTGAAGCAGATGCCAGGCAGCGAGCGTGCGAGCTAGCAAGCGTACGAAAGAGAGACAGTATACACACGAGCGAGAGAGCGTTGTCGCGCTGCACGCAGGCGGCGCGCGCGAGAGAGTCCGCACTTTCACCGCGTTGCCGACCAGTCTAGATACATATACACACGCGAGATATATAACACACAGACAGACGAGAGCGCGAGTGAAACTAGCTAAGAACTACGTCGGGGCAGAGTTGGTCTGCGAAGCTGGCACGAGAATGGTGGTTGCCCAATGCCTTCAGACCGAGCGCTGTTCGCTAAACTCGGGCTCGCCGTATTGCTGCTATTGCTTTGTGAGTTGTTTATCATGTTCGGTGCTACTTGATATTGTGCTTCTTGGTGACGAGTGATCAATCGCTCATAGAGAGAAAGAGAGAGAGAGTAAGAGAGAGTGAGTGAGTGAGCGAGCGAGCATCGACCAATCAAATATTTTCAGTTTTATTCTGCATAGTAGTTGTTCGGTCGTATCGTTCTTTTGTGTGTGTTGTTGTTGTATTGTTCCAACAACCGGGACAACAGTTGCCTCACCTATGTGTGTGATGGGAGCCTGCAGAACCGAGTTCTGTCGCGTTTTTTACCCTAGCGCCGATGTCGGAGGCTTACAGGTAGAGTCATAGCTTCTTTAATCTTCTTTTTATTCCAACTGATCACACTTTCTTTTCTTATTTCACGTGATTTGCAGTATTTGACAATTGTTTCCCGAATTCTCTGACACGGATATGACATTTGATTTTATTTCGATAGTCATTGATGTTTTGCTCCAAAAAATAAATACCACGCTTGAGTTCGGGTGTATTATCAGTTAGAGTAGTTCGCTGTGAATGACAAATAAGCATGTTTTTCAAGCAGAGATGATGTCGAAACCTTTGTTAGTAGAATTTTGGAAAATATATAGTGAAAAGATTGATATCGCATCGAAAATATCGCTTTAACGAAATTTTTGCTCAATTTGCATTCGTTTTACTTTTTGGTTGTTAAATGAACAAAAAAAAACGAGAAATCGGATAAGAGTGATCGGTTTGAGTGTACTTCAAAAGAAACCTGCAAAATTCAAAAGAAAATTTACATATTTTACGAGTTTTATTAAATATTTTACGTCGGTTACACGAAATTATTGCAAATATCACACAAGAATAAAAAAATATATCTTATCTATTGGGATTTTTTTCAACGTTATCCAATGGATTTATAGCTGTTAGAAGTCTTCGCTAGTTGCCGTGTTAACCACCAGGGGGCGCCACTTACTGGCGATTGCTCGCGTAAAGCGTCAGACTTGAAATATTTAGATACTTAGAATAACATTTTTTTTCTGCATTCATTTCAAATTTTCCTAACAAATTATATTTCTTCCGATTCTTTTAATAGTATCTTTTTTCAAGAGATAATATTAAAGACAATTTAGTCGAGGGCGATCAATGATTTAGTACAATTAAGCAAGAAACCGATTTAAATCTAAAATTCTTTTTCTTATGATATACAGTTGCGGAAGTATAACAGATAAAAAAGCCAGTGCTCACGACTCGAATTTTTGTTTTAAAAGAATAATGAAAATTCGGAAATGGCCCATGCTTGAAAAATGTGCTTTGTTAATGAAAAAGAGAGATAATCTGCCATCAGTGATCTCTAGCTCAATTTGAATTCGAACGCATCCATGTAGACAAGCCTATTAATAGACCAAATTATAAGCGAGACGAAGTCGCAACACCTCTCCGCGCTGCATTGTGCGCACACTTCCGAAAACCCGACACCTCCGCACTTTATAGCAAGGTAAAAAGCTCATCGAGGGGTCTTTATCAATGCCGGGCCTTTTTGTCAACCAAGCCAGCATCCCTCGGGTCCGTCGTCGATTTCTCTGTCTGTGGCTCGGTGCATCAGCAGCGCGAGGACGGGTGGGGACAGCGAAAAGCGCTGGGCCTGACGTCATTCCTTGACGCGCCGACGCTCTGACTCACGCCACCACGAGAAAGCGGCGCACACGTATTCGGGGGAAAAACCGAGATGAGCTTTTTTCACGTTGTCTTGCAAAAAGTCTTTTGTTTTTAAGCGAAATTTTACACATCGCTGTCGCTTGAAGCACGATTACAAATGTACAGAGAAAGTAATGGACATTGATATGTCAGTTTACTGATCGATGATACCTCCATTGGTTATTCCGAGGTAAAATTATTCATTTGACAGTGGCATATGTATACATTATTAAAAGATGTACTCGCTCGTGAAATTGTTCGTTAACGACGATCCTGCGAGCGAGAGTAGCAGCTGGTAAAATGATTCATTGCTCAAATGAATAATTTTGGTCGAATGAGTGTCAATGTATCAATAATGCAATTTCGCCGAGAGAAAGAGAGAGAGAGATCAGTGGTCTAATTGTCATTGGTTGGTAACGTTACAGAGTTGTGCAATGATGGGTCTGCAGGCCACGTCACACAAACGTAAGCTGGAGGGCGGAGTGGGCTGCATGGATTTCGACATGGAGCTGGGCGAGAGCCCGGCGAAGCTTGGCAGATTGGAGGGCAGCTGGTGGGCGATGGACGATTCGAGTTATAGCTCGTCCACGTCGCCCACGCCCACGTCGTCCTCGCCGTCCTACTACGACTCGATGGACGTGGTCTCGCCGCAGTCCTGCCTACAGACCCCCACGAGTCCGTGCCAGCAGCAGCAAGCGCAGCAGCAGCAGACCAGCAGCAGCGTCTCATCCACGACCAGCATCATCACCACCAGCACGAGTACGACGAGTACTTCGTCCACGAATTCCAGCCATCAGCAGCAGCAGCAAGCGCAGCAGCAGCAGCAGCAGCAGCACTATTACCAGAGGCCGACGAGCGGCGCCTCAACGGCTTACCAACAGCAGCAGCAACAGCAGCAGCACCAGCAGCAGCAGCAGCAGAGGTGGCTGCACCACCATCCGCACCATCATCACCAGCAGCAGCAACAACAGCAGCAGCAGCAACAGCAGTCGCAGCAGCAGCAGCAGCAGCAGCAGCAGCAGCAGCAGTCGGGCTACGAGCCGCCGACGATACACCGGGAGCAGAACGGTAAAAGCTACATCGAGCTGGGCTCGAGCTACAGGACGAGCAACGGCCAGAACGAGCGCTGCTGCGAGCGCTCGTCGTGGTGCCGGCGCGGGCGCGCCTGCTACCGTCAGCGCCGCCTGGCCGTGCTCAACATCAGCATGTGCAAGCTGGCGAGGTACCGCCAATTCCCCGACCCCTCGCTGCACCGCTCGGTGCTCATCTGCAACACGCTGAGGTACCTCGAGCGCGAGATGGAGCGCGACCGCAGCCCGCCGCCCTCCCTGGAGCCGCTGCTGCCGGCGCCCATGACGCAGCTGCAGCAGCCCGAGCAGGGACGGCTCACGCCCTTCCCCTTCGGCGCGCTTAGCGGCCCCGGCTCCAACCACGACGGCACGGATGTCGACTCGGGCCTCGGCGACAGCGACGACAGCCGCTCCATCAACTGGGGCAGCGTGCTCTCGCTGTCCAGCCAGTCGCCCCTCGACCCGCTCAACAACAACGAGCTGCTCGACGTCGACATCGGGCCCGACCTCGACCTTGACTTCATGCCCAGCTGGAAGCCCGCCTCCGTGGTGGCCGGCGCCGCTCACGGCAGCGTCAGCCCCGTCGACGAGAGCAGCGGCGCCAGCGGCGCCGGCAGCAGTACGCACGAAGCGCTCATGTGCGCAGGCACATAGCCCCCGACGATACTCGGCTCGCTTAGTCACCTCATCGACTTCTATCCGAGCGCGCCCGCCGGATACTAGTGCGCGTGATTGGCGATCACCACGACCGTCCGAGGCTAAGACTAGAGAGACTGAGGCGAAGACTGAAAGGAGGCGAAGGCAGGCCGAGAGAGAGAGAGAGAAAGAGAGAGTGAGAGAGAAAGAGAGCCAGACGGCTCGCTGATCGCGCGGGGCCTTTCGCGATCGGCATCGCAGCAAGCCAGCCGACTTCCAAAGCGACAGCCAAGTCCGTACTGTTAGCGCTCCTCCCTCTGTCCGCTCTCTCTTTCTCGTGCGCACGTTATCTCTCCCCCGCTCTCGGCCTCTCTTTCTCTCGTTTTCTGTCTCCCGACGCCAATGAAAAGACATACACACCTATACACGCGCGCGTGCGCGCGCGCGTGCACACACCCACACGTACACACAAATCTCTCTTGTCTTCGTGTAGATATTTATTGTTCGTGTCAATTAAAGCACGCGATATATGACATTACCGGCCGAATACCTGTCCCGCGACGATGATGATTCTCTCGGCGATAATGATGATGCGCGTATGAGTGAGTATAATAAGTTGATTTCTTGCGTTACGACTTCGCCTCGGCGCTCTCAACGTTAATACAGAGTCCCCGGGCCGGCGATGATCAAACCAAGTGCATCGCTCGCCTAGCCGGCCGACGTTGAGCGCACTGCAGGTTGCTCTCTGCTGCGGATGCCGCGTATGTGTCCTTTCTCCAATTCGTGGCTGGCTCATGATCCGCAATTCCGCGATCATTTATTCGTCCGATATCTTGCGATAATTTGCAACCCGTGAGAAACGACAGTATCGTTCTTTGGAAGGAATACTTAATCGATTTCTTTCTTATTTTTCGTCCCTTTGTCGTTTTGTTGCTAGGTATTGTAATTACGATCCAGAACTTTTGTTTTTACGTTTAAGACTCAGCATGCGTTTCTCTCAAATTCGATGGGACGTGTTTAATCGAGTAGATTCTTCTTCTTTTTTTTTTATTTTTAACGTTACTTTATACATTCCAATTAGTCACTGACGAATGAATGACTTTCTTTCGTATTGGAGATTACTTTTTTATGTGCGACTTTTTGAGCTGCTTAATTCGACAGGAAATTCTTTTTAGTTCTTTATTGTCATCGGTTGTTCAATAGTAGAATAAAAAGAATAGAGTTATCGCAAGATGCGGATAGACACATTATTACACACAGTTACTGTAAAAACGAAGTGATGGTGCTAGGTCTTACCCCGGTGCTATTTCACCAACGTACTCTTAAAAAAAAGCTGTTATTTTTTTTCTTTTGTCTAGCATGTTTTTTTATACGTAGCATTTGTTTTATCTTCTATACAAGATTTATATCAATTGTTTTTACTTGCAAGTTCTTTTTGTGAAAAAGACTTTTTTGTGTTATTATGCATAAGGTGATACGTGTAAAACTATTACTTTTCTAAGGTTGATAAAAGAGAGAAGAAATGATAGACCCGGGTGCGAGATCCTAACCGAGTCATTGATCTCACGAGCCAGAATAATGAATGTTGTTGCCTCGCGCACGTGATCGTTTAGAATTTCACACTTTGGTCTACCATTCGCGTCTATTTTGTTTGCAGCTTTAACACATAAACAAGCGAAGAGCTTTTTCCGTCGAGTTCTCCTTATTCATTATGAATGTAATTCGCAGTAATGTTAAAATAAGGAGAACCTCATTTAGTCGAATCATGAAGTTTCTCAAAATATTGCTTTACTTCAATTGCAAACTCAGTTTTATAATAAAAAAAAAGAAATAATACCTTTTTTACTTTTTTACTAAACGCAATACTGATAATCCGCATGGATTCGACTGAATATACCTAAAAAATCGCGCATACACAACCAACACCTACACCCAAAGAGCCTAAGCCAGCAGATACGAAAACAAAATTAACGTTTAGTTAATCCCAATCGCATAAAAAACATGCACTTTGAGGGTAATTCTCAAAAATCACTCGATGCGACGTTGACACAAACAAAAAAAAAACAATCGTTCCATCTCCGAGCTTTAACGACGAGCAATAACAAACGAACAAAATGTAGATCGTTCTTTGTGATGTACGAGGTGACTGAACGGTATACGTTGGGGGTACGTACCATGCTCTGCCTGCATCTTTGGACAAGTGGGCGTTTTTGCATTGTTTTTCATACAAGAGTGAAGCAAGTCTGTCAATTGTCAAAAAGAAAAAAAAATGAATTCCACGCGTGTGCGACATTGCGAGATTATTGAGAAAGATACTTAAAGTGTTTCTGTTGCGAAAAAGAAATCAGAAAGAGGCAGAAAGAAAACAAACATGAACGTTCTAAACATTTGATTCTTTTTCGTGCACAGTAGAAACACACCTAGCAATACTCAAATGATGAGACGCGCGGATCGTCAATAGTCGAATGCGCGAGACGCATCGGTGACCGGCACAAAGGATGACGTATTATACCTTGTAAATGTAATATAAGTTGTTTTGTGTAAAAAATACAAGGCGTTCGTGTGTTTGACTTATTATTTTTTTTTCTTCTGTTTTCATTTTTTAATTTTTGTTAGCGTGCATGCTTAAATGCGAGAGATGAGAGAGGAATCGAGTGCTGGATGGGTTGTAATATCGGTGACTATAGAAATGAAGTAAGAATTTTAAAGAATATTGAGAAATTTTTGTAAATAGTATAAATAGCACGCAAAGGTATGTCTAAACGATGAAAAAATTATAGGTATAAATTGAAATATGCATATAAGATATTATTATATATTATATATATATAAACGAAGAAATATATATATATAAGATTATTATATATATTTACCTTGGTAAGTGATATTATGGGGGCCACGATCGCTCACTCGATTCTCAAAAGATCGCCGGGGCCGTCGTAGGCGACTCATACATTGTAAAGAAAATGATAGGCCTTTGCGCTTAAACTCTTATTGTTGTTCTTATTGACATGTCTTTTGATTTTTGTTCACTTGGCTGTTTTCATCTTTTACTGTTCACTTCGACTGCGTTCTGTTATTTTTTTGTGATTCGCATGCGACATCAAAATACTCGTTGTGAATTGGCTCACCTCAACAAGCTATTAAGTTCCTATTATCTCAGTGCAACCGCGACAATTAGTAAGCCAAGTCTGGATTTGAACGAAGCGAGTGCCAGTTCTAGAGAAATTTTATTGACATCTGTATTCAACGATTTTTTATTTCAAAGACATCTGTGGCATTTTAACAATTCAAAGACAATTGTGGCATCTTTACAATTGTAATAAGCGAGTGAAATTGTAAAAGTTATTCATTACATAACTTGTTCGCAACTTACGTCATTGCATTTTAATACTTTTAACAACGAACTCGTTTTTCTTTCGTACGTTGTGCTTTTTCCAAAAGAGAAAAAAACTGGCAGTTTTGAGAGATGTTTAATCTTTGACAGAGCGACGAAAGTAAATTATCGAATACTCTTGGAAAAAGCAGCAGCAGCTTTTCACGCAAAAAAAAATAATAATGTAAGAGAAGCGAGAAGCGATCGCGACCGCCGATGAAACTTAGGGCACTGTACATTGTAAATATTAGTACAGATTAAAGAGAATAAAAGAGCGTTAAATGAGGAAGTGAACGAAGCCGATGGTTACGTACACAAATACGTACATACACCCAATTAACAGTTACACGAACACAGCTACAGAACAGACAGAATTTTCACTGGATTTTAGAATAAAAACAAAACGACGAAAACAGATATTCACGTTTTTAAATGTCTCATTGAGAATCGAACAAAATAAAGTATGTTGTTGATATTGATAATCGCTGGCGTTGTGACAGAATGTGTGTTTGGTATAAAAAAGTTAATAAATAATAGTAACAAAAAAATAGGAAATTATCGAAAAACAGAGTGAGAATGTATCGCAAGCGCTGATCGCGCGTCACGAGTCAAGACTCTAGCACGGGACCGCAACGAGATAACGAATTCGGATTAAAACAAATGAAATAATAATGAGAACGAAGTTTAGCTGATTGCGGTGCATCTTGATCTTTTATAAGCGATATAATGAGCTGTCTTTTGCATTTTTCCAATTTTAAACCAAATGTTGTGAGCGAAGATTAAAATGTGATCAATCGACAAACAAAAAAGGACGTAAAGATTAAACGAAAATGCTGTTACAATAAAGACAAACGAATTACATTTTTCTATGTATTCTAGTCGCAAGCGGTCCCGAAATAAACGCGTTGCAGGCTCGGACCAGCGATCGGACCAAGATTGTTCCGTGCGTTTACATAAGATACTGTTTTTTTTCTTCTGTTAAAAGAATACAATGACGAGAGAAGAATTTACTGTGCGACGATCAATAAATAATTCATTGTACCAGCGGTTATACATTAAAACGAAAAAAAAAAACACTCGACGGCTAAAATTCGAGCAAAAAAGAAAAAACGACTTACAATATGGACAACAACAAGAACTATCAAAAACAATAAAGAGTATTATTCTATATAACGATGGTTATTAATTGATTTGACTTTTCCCCACCTTCTTCCATTCCAATGAAATATTAAGCTTCGCTGAAAAACGAAAATTTATTATTGTGTATTTAGGTGACTGCGCCGATAGCGACATTAAAACCATGAAAAATGCTTTGTCTCGTTGCACGAGAAAACTTGGAAAATTTTTGGCGTGGGTCACACCCGCACGCGTCAACGGCCAAAAGGTACTCAACAATCGCGAACGTATCAGCATATTCCCACGCAGTCAGCTGCCTCGCGCGCGAGAGCTGAGAAACGAAGAAAATTTGCTGACCGTTGACACGGCTCATTGCATATGGATAAACGAGTATTGATACGTTTCTGCTGACGCACTCTTTTGCGCAAGGTGCGTTAAATAAAGATTTTTCTGATCACTTGACGTTCTCGTGCGCGCGCCGGCACGTCTCGAGCATACCACGAGAAAACAAGGCGTTTACTGCACGAGGCTGAGCGTTTATTTGGTAGCGATGGTCGTGCCCAAAAGCGGCTGGTTTACATGAGCGCGGTCTGTCAAAAGAGCAGGGCGTTGATCGCGTAGCAAGCGACGAGCCCGAAGGCGGCGACTATCGCGCCGCAGGCGCACTTGCACTTGCAGGGGCACTTGCATCTCTTGCCATTTGAGTCGTGCTGCGGGCCGTCGAGTCGCTCGCCAAGGTAATGCACGCGAACGCCACGCCAGAAGGTCAGGAAGAAGTCGTCACAGTCGAGGCTTCGCACGTCGCTGTAGAAGATCTCTCGGTCGCGCGAGTTCAGTCGCTCGTACGCCTTCGGCATCTCCGGCATTCGGACTCGCCAGTTGCCGGTCGTGAAGCGGCGCAGTCGGCACATCTCGCCCATTGACTGGCGCACCAGTGACCGCGATCTTGATTGAAAATCACATTGTTTTCCTTTTCGTATTCTCAAGCATCGAAATCCGTTCGTTGACTTACTCGGGTGGGTATCCGTGCAGCACCGTCAGCAAATCGATCATCAGAGCTGGTATATAGTCCATGATTAAGCGTAGAGCGAGGTAAACGAGAAAATTCGAGACGAACACGACGTACGACTTTCTGCAGTTGTTCAGCGAACTCTTCAAGCCGCTTGCATCGCTCATTATTTTCTCCTTGATTTGGCCCATGCTGATTGGTCTTTCTTGACTCGTGCCGTAATTATAAACGAAAGCTTCCCTCTTGATTTGCCTAAAATGCAAAATCCTCGTTAAAATTTCTTTGATCGATCGACACTTGCAAAAGTAATCCTGAAAGTGCCATTTGCAATTCAAATTCACGAAGCCGCATAAGAACGGAAAAAAATTGGCTTTTCAGGGAGGACGAAAACTAACTGGCGGCATCTGGGCGGCAACTGGGATCGATGTTGGAAGAGCGACGGGCGACAACTTACCAGCGATCAACAGCACCCCAGGCGCACACGAGCAAAGCGTTCGCGCTCATATCGGCCGGGATCAAGTCGCAGGGGTAATCGGTTTTGCACATGACGTGCACGGTACCTCTGGCCACTTTGGCGAACAATCCGGCCACTCCGTTCTTTTTGTCGCACCATCCCGGCATCGGCTCTTTGTACGTCGACATCACTGCGACATTGGGGGCGTCAGTTAACGGTCGGCTCAGCGCCCAAGTCGAGCAAATAGATTTTTCTCATGCGAGTGCAGAGGTGGGCTGGCGCTCGTCAGCCTACCGAGACTGGGCCTGAAGACGCAGCAGGCGTAGGTAGCTCCCGGGGCGTGCTGCCGCACGAGCTCCTCGGCGGTAGCCTTGGCGAAGGTGAACACGTCGGGCCACTCGCCGAGCAGCATCCGGAGGGCGTCCTTGGTGAGTCCGCTGGGCGCCTCGTCGGCGACGATCGTGTCCTCCACGGTTTTCAGCTCCGCCGGCGGCAGGCTGGTCTTCGTCGCTCAGGCCCCCAGGTTCTCTTGGCTCAGGTCGCCTCTCACGAACGCGATCTTCTCCTTCGAGTCGGCATTCCGCTCCCTCGCGGCGTCGAACAGCTGCGATTCGATCGTACGTTCGTGAGAGCACGAGCTTTCGCCCCGCTCGCCGCGCCGATTCCATCGCCGATGCGTCGCTCGCCAGCAAGCGCGATCGACGCTCGACAGTGCCGACGCCTAGTTCTCGCGATAGCGGAAAGCTCGCTCTATCGACGCTTTGACTTTTGTCGCGCAGGACTTACCAAGACAGCGCCATCGGCCGGTGGACGATACTCACGCTGTCCTTGAAGAACTTGGTGCACTTGTCCTGGAAATCCTGGCCACTCTTGACCCTCGGCAGCACGTAAACTCGCTGCACTTGAGGGCACGCCCTGAGCAATTTCTCGAGGGCGCACTTGCCGAGGAGATCGGTAGCGCCGGTGAAGAGCACGCTCAGGCCGGCGTAGAACTTGACGAGCTCGCTGTCGCCTTTCGCCTCGGGCTGCGCCTCCGTGTCGTCTCTCATCCTCCGGTGGATCGCGTCGTCGACGGTCGACATCGCAGCGCTCCTGATTTCTCACGGTCGCGGGGAACACAATGGAGAACGTGCCGTCGCTCGCTCGAAAGCGAGACTAAGCAGGTGGGTCGAAAACCAACGCTATTTATGCGGTGCAACTCGTCGCGATATGTATTCTATACGAGCGCTTTGCTTTCGCCCACAGAAGCACGTCGGTCCAGTTTTCAACCAATTCAGAGTTGTGCTCGCGAAAGCACGTCTCGGGAACAGATATATATATGCACACATAATGGCAAGTCGTTCGAGATAAGTTAGCCTTTAATGAGTATATAAGATTACACAATATCGACGCTCTACGAAAGTAAATGTACGAGCAATCGATTGATAGAGGCGAGACGCGAAATTAAGCAACGACGTTGTACAGGTGAAATAGTAACCTCGTCGCGAGATAGATGGCCATTAAAGTGACGATGCCGATAACGGCATAGTGAATGTGTCTCATTCTGTGGTAATGCTTCAGAGCTTTCTTTCTGTTGTCAAGTGGTTCCTTCAGGATGTGGAGTCGACCGCCACGCGCGTATGTGATCACCGTGACCGGCCAGTCCACCTTCCGAATGTCAAAGTCAAATATCGCTTGATCAGTTTCGTTCAGACTGTCGTACAGCTCCATCGTCCTGCAAGGATGGATCTTCCAATTACCGTTGCCAAAGTAATCTATTTTGTCCAGGTTCTTGGTTCCAAACCAAAACAATTGAAGAGCTCTGTGTGGTGAGTATAAATATCAGAACGTGCATTACATTTTTATTTTCTAATTGTAATTATTAACGCAGACCTAAAGGTCATTCCACGATTGCATAACCTTTATTTCTGCATTTTTTTATATAATATGTACATCGGATAGCTATCAGAAATTCATCGAGAGCTTCCATTAATTCGCTCATTATTATTCAATACTGTAAACGGGACATATTTAATTTTTATTAGCATTACTAACATTTACTTTGTGGCAAACAAATTTTTACTTCGGTCTTTATTTTAATTTGCACTCTTTTCAAATCAAATTAGTAGCAATAATCGTAATAAGAAATTCGAACAATTATACTACCTTTAAAAACAGTAATCATGTTTCATCGAAAACTTTATGTTGCTTGTACCGTAGTTTTAATCGTAGAGTCACCGAATGAAATCGTGTGCTCGATAAAAGACAATTTTCGTAAGTTTTTTGTTGTTATTGTTATTGTGACTTTAAGAACTACATCTCCGTGGAACTATGCAGAGGTACACTAGGTACCTTGTACGCATTAGTCTTGGTTCCCTATAGTCATGAGCATGTGGACTCGTCTTCCCTACTATGTTTTTTTAAATGGTATAGGAGGAAAAAGTTTTTCATGCATCACGATTGAATCTACAGTTTTATTAAGATGGAATCCAAACCATCGGAATTACGGTAACAAACATATGACCATTTTATTTTTAAAAATTTTAACATGCCCGGGGCTCTTACCCAGTGAGCCACCGTGACCACTATTTCGTTATCTGTAAAGCAAATGAAGCTGCCGGCTAATATGTGTTGTAAAGTTTAGTTAAAGGATATTATTTATGATGGCTCAGTCTTTTTCAAAATGATTCACAAATCAGTATTATTTATCCGAATTATTATCTATATTTATAACTAACATTGTTAATGAAATTTAATTTATTTTTTATCTTCACTTATCATAAATTCCGTCAATCATCTTATTACAAGATGTTCATGAATATTTTTCAAAATTTGTATTCAGTTTGAGTGAAGTTCTTTTAGAACAATATAAATTATTAAAGAATATTTGAATTTTAGATTAAGGATATTCACAGTACGAACTTGATAATTAAAAGCTTAAGCGGGTCTTGCTATCTTCAGATTATCAAAATTGCAGTGTCAGGTAACATCCTGACGAAACCTATATGATAATAAAAGGCTAGAAATTTTTAAAATACTTCTTTAGAATGGATTATCGAAAAGTGGCATTTTCCAATGTTTGTAATATAATGAATATCCTGCGCTTCATTGGCTTTCCTCTCCTTTCACATAGGTCATATGCAACAAAAAGGATGAGATTCTTCATCGGATAATTACTATCCTTTCTTTGTTAGCTTCACTAATTGTAATTGGTCTTGTTACTGTTATTATTGCATTCAAATCATGTTTTGAAAACAATGGACGCGTTGATAACCCAAAATTCAGATACTCTTTTTGGAAGTTCGGAATGAAACGTTAAGAAATATAGGAAAAAGCTGTACCTTGGTTTTTGGCCCATGCATAAGAGAGCTAGATCAGCAAGTATTGCTGGGATAAAAGCAAGAAAGAAGTGGCCTATCCAGAATTTCCATTTTGAATGGCAAAATATTTGAAATGGATACCAGACAATATTTACAGATCCTATGTGTGGTCCTTCTATCATCAAAGCATCAAATAGTTCTTTCAATGTGATCGGATTCAGCGTGCTACTTCCGTAATTATATACTACCGCTTGTCTTTTCAATTCCCTGTCGGAATAAATTGGTTGTAAGCATTGGCTATATACTGATTCTAAATAAAGCGTTCAATGAAGGAATGGATTTCGGTTCACTTTATAAAAAGCTGAACTATTCGTCAATTTATAATACTCCTATCATTTGAATCAACCAAAAGCTATATTGGTAAGACTTACCGCTTTACGGCCAAATCGTATATTATTGCGATGATGGAGTTTATACTGTAATCTACAGGAATAAAATCTATTGGATAATTCTTATGATAACTGACGTGAATGATTCCTAAAGCAGATCCTAAAAATATTAATGCTGGCCCATTATTATTTCCAATCCATCCTGGCATTGGCTCTTTTATTGCTGCAGTAACTATTAACAATTTCCTTTATTGATATTTTTGGCCAAACAAAATGAAATGTAGTAAAAGCAAATGAAAACAAAGCTTTTCCCAACACGTGTTTTCTCGAATATAAAGCAACAAGTTTATTGATTTTATCGTCTTTATTGTTGGATGAAAATATTGCGACAACAATAGGCAAATTATAAGTGATTAGCATGCCCGCCGATTATCCAAATACTTTTTGCAATATTGACTTCAGTCGGCCAATAACATTAATTTCTAAATACTTACTAACACTCGGTCGGTAAACGGCCATTGCAAAATCCACTCTCTGCCCATACTGACTAACCAAGTCTTCGGCTATCGCTTTCGAAAAGCAGTACACATTGGGATATTCGCCCAACAGTATCTTCAAGACGTCCTCGGTCAAACCATGCTTGGCCGACTCGTCAGCGGCGATCATATCGTAAATCATCTTCAAGTCACCCGGTGGATCGTAAAACTCCTCCTCGATGTTTTTCCTGTAACAGTGTGAGTAGGCCGTGGACACGTACAGAAACGCTTGTATGCGTTTGCACTCTGTGGCCAAATCAAGCATGTGCTTCGTTCCCAATACGTTGATTTTCAGCGACACGCTGACTTTTTCGTCGAACTTGGTCGTGGCGCCGTTGTGAACGATAATATCCACAGACTCGACGAGGGCTCGCCGATCATCGTCGGATAATGCGAGTCTATCTTTTTCCAAATCGCCCGTCACTGTACACACTTTTTCCTCAAACTCTGGATTGATGCTCCTCAAATTGTCAAATATCTAAAAATTTATTCGACAGATTGATGGATGGCTAAAGCTTACTCATTGCTTCAATACACTACCATTCGATCTCCCGCGCTTACGGTAACCAACGCGTTCGAACTTTTAACGAGTAATCGAAAATTCGGTCATTTCTGAGCTTTTGCAAATGCCCGAAAAGTTGGAGCGGTTCGAGTTGGAGCTTGACCGAGGTGATTCGAGGTCGAGTTTATTACCAGGACAACGAAAAATTATAAATTTGTACTGCGGCCACGTAACTTCAAAGAATTAAATGGAAGAAGCTCGAAAGCTCGTGCTGGTTCTTAATTCTAAAACTCAAGTCGGCGTGGAGCTGGTGAATTTTCGTCAGATTAGCCCGTGGTTTTGTAGTCGCACAGTTTTTTCACGTAAAAACTTGAATCAATATATACATTTCCTTTTAATAGAAGCCTCGAAATTGGAGATTACGTGACTGATAAACAAATAGACATTATAAATCGTTGCACTTCAAGTTTCACGAAGACATAAATAGGTAATCGAGATTTCAATGCAGTAAAATAAAAAAAATTTACGTTGTATTGTATTCCCATTCAGAGTCGAATTTCAATAAGCAGCTTGAATAGTATTTGCATGAACTGTCAACATCAAAGGATGCTCTGGTAAGTTTGTACACGCTTAATTTACATAGTTATCGGATGCATTGTGAATTCGTCGTTATCTTTGACTTAACGACGAACAAGGATCTTACGTTTACTTTCATTTATAAAAATATCTGCCAAATGAAATTATCAAATGATCAATTAGATTATGTCAGTTAGAAACGAAACTTTTTGTATGCTTCAGTAAATCATGGGATTGTTTGACAATTTGACAAATGAACAGTTTTAAGAGACACGAATTTTTTTCAAGAACTTCGAATTTTTAAATCGAACCAATTAAATTCAATAAAGAAGATTTACAAAAAGCAAAAATCGATAGTTATTATATAAATTATTAGTTAAAAAAAAGGAAAAAACTGATTTAATTCTGTTATCAACCAAACATTCAGCATGTTTGCAAAAAAAATTATCTGAATTGGACAAGGAGCACACGATGTGCAAGGTAAAATTTAAAGAAAAGCTACTCACCGTGTTCTGAAAGTACGTTTTTATTTTGTCCTGAGGCGTGACGCCCTTCTTTTGCCTGACGAGTATGTAGAGTCGTTTAAGATCTGGACAATCACGAATAACTTTTTCAAGAAAAACCTTTCCCATGTAGCCGGTAGCCCCGGTCAAAAATAACGTTTTTCCCGCAAAAAACTTCTGGATATTGCTGTCGCTCCAGTCGATCTCAGGAGGATAGCTGTCATCGTTCAGATGACGATAAATTTCGTCCATGGCGGTTACCATAATCGTTCCCTTTTAGCAGCCAGCGTCGTATAGCCCCGACGGAGAGCGACGCTTTAATATACTTACGCACGCTCTAGTCGATAGTTTGAAGTCCGGAGACTCGACACAATCGAAAAGAACAATAAAGAACTGATCGGTCAAAGTGTTTCCGCAACGGAGAAGAGTCGAAGGTTTAGGTAACCTTACCTATACGAAAAGATTGGTGAGTGTACGTGACATTTGAGCTTCCTGGTAGCATACCTCTACTATTCGTGACAACGGGAGCTAGAGCTAATGTGTGAACTTTTGACCGCGTAATAATCTCTCGACGTAGTTTTTCTTAAGACATGTTATTTCCTTCGAACGTATTTTCTAAGTCAAAATAAACATATTGAAATCGTTACAAACAAAAAGAAAGGTAATTAGTGATTTCGAAGATATCATTTTATAAAAATAAACAATTTTCTGCTAATTTGAAAATACTATTTATTTGTATTGTTCGTTGACAACTTTTTATTGTTTTTTACTACTTGCCACAATTAAGTAGTAAAACCAGTATGCCCGTGTGAAAATGTCAATAAATAACGTAAAAAAAGAAGAAATATACGAGAAATCAGTGATTACGTGAATTAAATACATACAAATGATTTATTCTGAAGACAGCTGTTATTTTCCGAAAAAAAGACTGCAGAGCGCAATAGGCGATTGATAGTTTTAGAAGTGCTTTTATTTTGGCACAAATTTATTATAAATTTTTGATTGAATTAACCGTTCGTAGTCGAAACTAAAATTTGAAGTAACTTTTGCGTAGGGAGAGCAATTATGTACACATTCACTCGTGGGCCCATTGATTCCTGGATTCGGATATTAATTGAATGCCTTTCATTTATACGGAGGCTTAGCATTGAATAAACGAGAAAGAAAAAATAAATCAATAGATTTTGATAAATGACAGTCACCTTTAGTTTTTACAGCGATAAAACCGGATCACATTTGTTACAAATAATTAAAATTAAAATATAATTAAAGACAAACAATTAAAATATAATTTGAAGTTCAGCGCATTTTTCTGTTCTCTTTTTAAAATAAAAATAGAGAGTAAAATTCAGGATTTAAGATATTATTTTGCACAAATAAATCAAAATAAATTAGTACAGATGTTCTCTCAAAGAAATAAATAATCTTTAAAAAATCAGGATCAATAAAAGTTTTATTAACAAAAACAAGATAACTAATAACACTTAATAACAACAAAAAACAGAATGAAACTTTTATATCGTGAAAATAACTTTCAGAGTTTGTTTTTTGAAGTCCAATTACTTTGTTGGTACGACTGCTCAAAATCAGTTCGATAAAAAACAGACATAAACTTCTATAGTAATATCAAACATTCGTTTTGTCTATTTTAGACAAGGGAATTAAGTTTGCTATATTAATATTTAACAAACTTTCAATTGTTTGCAAACTGCAAAATACAACTTCTTTTTTCTATTCGAACGTCCCACTGTTTCAAGATCGTCTGTGGCCCTAAAAGACTTTTTCTTTCGTGCACACGGCTTAACAAATAACAATTCTCCTGAATTATTAGCTGCCAAGGACGTTGATTTAAATGAATCAAAGAAAGAACTTGAAAGAAGAAAATGAACCTTAATTCTCAGTTAATTTAGTTATTTTATGATATTGACTATTAATTTAAAAGTAATTGGATTCATAATAATTTTGAGTATATACTATTGTTGCGTAACAACAGAAGTTCAAATCACTGCCAAAATAATAATATGATGACTCTATGGTCGACGGTTATGAAAATCACCTCAATGCTAGACTTCAATGAAAAAACTGAATAAATAAAGCAGGAATTTTATAGCGAAATAGGTGATCAACACAGCGATAAAGCTCATGGTGGCATAGTGTAGTTTTTTCATACGTTGGTAAAACCTTTTCGTTTCTTCTACGTTGTCAAAGGGTTCTTTTACAATATGAATTCGACCGCCTCGCGACCAATTGACTGCAGCATCCGCCCAGTCGATCTTCCGAATGTCGAAGTAGAATGTCGTCTGATCGGCTTTTGATAACCGATCATATATCTCCAATGTCTGGGGAACATGGATTCGCCAATTTCCATTGCCAAAGTAATCTATTTTGTCTAGATGCTTTGTGCCAAAATAAAATAGTTGTAGAGCTCTGTGTTCCAAGTGAAAAATATTACACTTTAATCGGAATTCTATATACAGCAACTAAAATATGCATTGAGAAAACAAAAAAATTTAGTTGATTCGACGGGTCAACCGTTCATTTCTGGCTTTCTATCGACTTGACTGGATAAAGTGGTGGATGGAACACGCTATGTCGAAATGAGCCAACTGCAAACTGTTTGTTTATGTTAGGTTTGTCAGAATGACAGTGGTAGAGTTTTATTGAGTTAAATATGGAAGTTGAAGCGAATGAACCTAATTAATTAGTTAACATTTTTTAAGCCTTACTCTTTGAAAGCTTATATTCTTTGCATTAGTGTTGAATTCATTATGTAAAATACGTGAAAAAAATTCAAAGTCCAGTAGGTATACATTGGCAACATTTCATTTACTTAATCATCGCGATGGCTCAGTCGCTATAGCGCGCTGGATTGCGGACAAAGTTCGAATCTTACCTCGGAACATTGAACATTTCCATTATCAAAATATAATTGATCACGCACATACGCATGCGCATGTGGAAGAAAGACTCTTAGCACAACTAGAAGGACGGTAAATAAGAAATGAAAGCGGACAAATTTCCCGTCCATAAGGTTCAATTAGCCCGAATAAGATTTGACGGGCGATTTGACCGACTCATCAAAAAAGATTCTGTAGAATTGACACATCGAGTGACTTGGTTCAACGATTGAGCGCCAATCGGTGCCGTTTAATAGAGCGTACGTTGTTGACTCAATTATATTTGGTCTCGGTGATGTTCTTACCTTGGCTTTTTACCCATGCACAATAATACTAGATCAGCGAATATTGCTGGTATGAAGTGGACTAGTATGTGCCAAAACCAAAATTCCCATTTTTTCTTACAGAAAATCATAAATGCGTGCCATACTACGTTCTTCGATCCAAAATATGGAGCTTCTATTGAGAAATTATTAAACAGCTCAGGTAACGATGTTGGATTTACTGTGCTGCTTCCGAAATTATACATCATTGGCTGCTTTACAATTTCCCTGTCAATTTCAACATAATAATAAAAAACGTATAATCCATTATAATACGAGTATGTTTGAAAAATTGTGACAAGACTGGCAGTTTCAATTGTTTACATTTATGCAATAATTGTTATGCGTATAAAATGTATAAACCTTATAAAATTAATTCTTCTAAGCTTTCAATATTGTTCACGATGAGAAAAGGTTGTTTCTTATTTCAGCATTATATTATATAACTGACCAATAAATGACTTACCATTGTAAAGCGAGGTCATAAATGATGCCAATCAGAGCATTTATACTAAGATCTACCGGAATTAAATCTATTGGATATCCAAAGTGATAGCTGGTATGTAAGACACCCAATGCTGTACCCAAGAAAATCAATGCCGGTCCGTTATTGTTTCCAACCCATCCTGGTGATGGTTCCCACATTGCTGCAGTAACTATAAAGGGGTACTTCTATATAATTTCTCCAAGACTACCAAAAGTTTTGTAGCTACAATGGCTATGTGTTGCCGAGTAGTGTAATGTAAAAAAATTCATGTTTCACACCCTATTAGAATTTTTTTTCTCGAAAACTACATTTTTTACTAAAATTTTCCTAAAAATAAAAAAGCCTTAAAATCAAATAAAGAATATTCTTCGGACTATTTTGAAAAAAATTTGAAGTATTCTTTAACTGATTCTCAGATATTTTTGTTCGTAGAGAATTTTGATAAGAATCCATAGTTTTCTAGAAAAAAAATTTGTGTAGCTATAGGAAAAAATTTATTATTCCGTCCGCCAGTATTGCTCACAGAAGAGCAGAAAAAGCTTCGTTTTCGAATCGTTCAGAACAACCTGCAAATGATTTCTGATTATGTAAATGTACTTAAAAAGATTATTACTGGTGATGAATCATGAGTTTATGGTTATGGTCCCGATGCCAAACAACAGTCTTGACAGTGTAAGCATTTTGGACCCCTAAGACCGAAAAAAGCAAATCAAAGTTGGAGCAATGTCAAGTCAATGCTGATTGTTTTTTTTAATTATGATGGTGTTGTGTACCATTAATATGCTCCTAGAGGTTAAACAATCGATAAAGAATTTTATCGTGAAGTTTTGAAATGATTGCATGATGCAATAAGAAGAAAATGGTCTCGATTTGATCAAACGGTGATTAACTTTTTCACTACGATAATGCGCCAGGGTATTCGTCAAACCTTCTGCAGCATTATTTGACCAAACAAAGCGATAAACCGTACGGCCCCGACACAGCTCCTTATGACTTATGGCTATTTCCAAAATTGAAAATGCCGCTCAAAGAACAGGTGACGACGAGTGCACTGATGGTTATTCCGAAAACTGACTTTCAGGACTTCTTCAAAAAGTGGAAACGCCGCTGGCATGGCAGTGCATTATTCAATCAAATGGGGACTACTTTGAAGGATGTCACCGATGACGAAGATTAATATCAGCGTGGAGATATGAAGGTATTCCGAATACTTTTCGGGCACACCTCGTAAAGCAAGTGTAAGTTTTCGAATCTTACCAACAGTGGGTCGATATACGCCAGTGGCAAAGCCAGCTGTGTCACCATGCTGCTTGACTAAACCCTCGGCAATCGCTTTCGAAAAGCAGTACACATTGGGATATTCGCCCAACAGCATCTTCAAGACGTCCTCGGTCAAACCATGCTTGGCCGACTCGTCAGCGGCGATCATATCGTAAATCATCTTCAAGTCACCCGGTGGATCGTAAAACTCCTCCTCGATGTTTTTCCTGTAACAGTGTGAGTAGGCCGTGGACACGTACAGAAACACTTGTATGCGTTTGCACTCCGTGGCCAAGTCAAGCATGTGCTTCGTTCCCAATACGTTGATTTTCAGCGAGACGCTGACTTTTTCGTCGAACTTGGTCGTGGCGCCGTTGTGAACGATAATATCCACAGACTCGACGAGGGCTCGCCGATCCTCGTCGGATAATCCAAGTCGGTCCGCTTGCAAGTCACCCACCACCGTACAAACTTTTTCCTCGAAATTAGGATTCTTGTTTCTCAATCTTTCAAATATCTAAAATTGTATCAAATTTATTGAACCGATTATTATGAAAACGATTGTTGTTGGGGTTCCTTGTAATATAATTGTGTAAATAATATATAAAATAATTTTCATTCAGGAATAATAAAACTGAGAAGATCGAGTTTTATCTCCTTTATCAATCCTAGCGATATATATTTCATTCAAAGCTTTGTCTTGAATTCCAATTTATGGAAATTTTTTTTTCAGATGTTATTTCTTTTCTTTTGAAAAAAACAACGTTATTTCATTCAAATATTAAAATGGTATAAACAGATCATTTAAAAGATCAGTATGAAGATTTTAGAAGGAAAACTATATTTTAATTTTGCCTATAAGGCGAGCTCATGATAATAATTAATATTTTTTAACATGAGTTCTTTGCAAGAGAGCGTTTACACATGTGCATTCATGGGTGGTGTATTTATGAGTGGCACCTTAAAATGTGTATTTAATGCAAATATTTCAAAAGTTGTGATAGTACGACAGTAAAGTCAAGGTATTACAGATTTTCTGAAACTTGGAGCGAAACTAGTTAATGCTTGAAAGTGACTATGTCTTCATTATTAAAATAATTAATATTTAGCTTTTATAAAATATATCAAGGTAATGGATTTACTGATATTTCCGTTATCTCTATGCTTTCTACAAGAGCGCTGAAATTTTTTAATATTGTAAACAGAATACAGACATTTTTTATAAAATTTCATTGACGTATATCAAGTATTTGTTGTCGACAAATGATCTGAGTCATTTATAATACCGACATATCGCCTTAAAATTTTAATCGGATTTAATTCACGCCAGTACAAAAATGATTGCTAAATTTCATAATTGCAGTTCGACTTACTTAGACGAAATAGATATTGCTTGAAATGTAAAAATACCATATAATGAAAAAAATAAAAATTTCTAGTATATCTTATAAATATTGATCAATCGCTTTTAAAATCTATCTAATTGTAGGCTAAAGATAGGTCAACATGATTACCAAAATATATTACCATAGCTCGAACGATTTAGACACAATAAAAATAGCTAAAACTAGGAAATTTGGTAAAATTGGAGTAAAGAAAAATTGTAATAACGTTGATAACATGAAAATGACGCAATCGCAAATCTTCGCTGTTACGAAATTTCTCTTTGAGAAGGCAATGAAATATACTTTTTATCCAAACCCGAACGAAATTAGATTACAACTTAAACAACCGAAATAAAAAAAAGAAATGATCGTCCAGTTTCAGTGATATACGATACATAGCATTTCGATTGGATGATTTTACTCTATTATTTTTTGCCATTACTCTCAAATGTATGTGTCAATCAAGTCAATAATGAAACAAAACCTTATCAATAAATACTCAAAAGATTGGTTTAACTTAATGGTTTATTTACTGAAAATATTGGCAGGACGAATTAATTAAACGTTTTCTTATTGACTGATTTTTGATTTCAAACAAAATATATTTATGTGTTATCTAAGTAATAACAATTTTAATTGAATTTTTTAAATAAATTTACGTACAAACTTCAACTTTAACTTTAACAGAATCTTCTTAAAAGTATAGATTTTCAAATTAGCCTACCCACTGAAATCGATCCAACAGTTCCAGAGTTATATATATGAACATACATAAAAAAGGGCTGCCAGCTGCTCTAGCGGAATGCTTCCTTAGAGGTGGGAAAGAACATTTATTTATGTATTATTTATTCGATAAAAAATGCAAGTAAATAACTATAAAATTAAAAAGCGAATAAAAAGTAAACACTTTCAGCGCAAGTGAACATAAGTTGATCTAATTGCATCACTGCTGGGTGCTTTCACAGAGATCACAAAAATAATCATATAGGTCGGATCGAATCTCATTTATCCTAAAATTTATAAATTCACAGCATTATTTGTGAATACAGTCATTGTACACATACAGTTGTTAATTAATGTTCGTACCGATATTTTAATCAGCTGTTTTAACAGGCCGATACTCTCTCGTGTGGCTGCACTTTGAGATCAATTGACGAATTTTGACGCGCTATATTTTAAGTCGGTCATCGCAGTTTATTCACTTTTCCTTTTCATTGAAAATCTCATATATAAACTCACAATAAACGTGAATACAAGCATATCAATACGTGTAAGCCACGTCATCTAATAAATCGAATCAAATTTATTTCACACATGCCAAGCAATAATTCGCATATATAAATCAACAAATAAATAATAACGAGAAGGCGTAGATGCTTTGTGATTTTTTTATGTAAAATTTTCACTCATTGATTTCATCCACTGGTGTTCTGGCGTTCAAGGAAAAAATAAGCGTACAATGCAATTCTGGACGGCTACGGTTCCAGTGAATATATGAATGGCCTCCGGCGCTGTTACTCCAAGAATTTTCGTGACCCTGCCGTATGAAAATAAAACCAGTCCAATTCTTTTACCCATTGGCATTTCACCGTAACAATGAAATCAAAGGTTTTTTTTTTATTCTTTCGCTGTCGGTGTGCACTCAATGTCAATATTAACTTAAAAAATTGACATTTTCCCAGAAAAAGCAAAGACGAAGCTTCCTTAGTAACGAAGTCGTCTCTTCATAACTTATAACTAAAGTACACATAATAATTATTTACCAATTGTACGTAGGAGTTTAAATTCAAACAGAAGTGCGGCGATTAAACTGAACGTTGGTAAAAGAAAAAATAATTTAAAAAATTGATGTAAAATCCACTTTTACATAGCGGGAGAAAGCAGCAACGTCGTTTTCTCGTAACTTTCGATCCAGTGTACATAAAGCAATTATTCATAAATTATCTAAATTTAATAGAAAAACCAAAAATTAAGCATGTACAAAACAAAATTTTCAAAAATTTGTAAAATTTTGATTTGTATAAAAAAAGAGATTTGCTTTGAAATGCGATATCTTTAGCATAGGTATAATTGAAAAATCGCGCTACAGTTTATTTGAGCACTGCTTCCATAATGTCAATATAGGTGGTCACTCTTTAAAAAAATTCGTTCTTAAACGAAAGTTACAACAGTTTGCTTATAGTATAGTTCGATATAAATCTTGCACCTCACTTTAATAATTTTTTTTAATATTTATAAAATTTTTTCTGGTCAATGAATCTTCTCAAAAAGAAATTTCCCATTTATCGTCTAAAATTTCCATACGTATGAACAAAGATTCATTAAAATCTATCGAGTAAAAAAAATCACACCGATTGAATGAACACGACCACACGACTCTGCGGGCAGACACGTTATAAAAATATGACTGTCGAGTCCGCATGATTTACAATGAAAAAATTACAATAAAGATTTTTCCCCAGTTATCTGCACGAAATTTAGATTTATTGGAAAGAACAAGATTGAAGAATATAACGCCAGAGTGAAACAATCGGTAGAGGAAAATAAATAATGTTCAAACAAGAGTAGATAAGCTTCTTTTCCTATGAAACAATGAGTAAGAAAAAAATTTCAAGCCAAACACAAAACCTGCTTTCAGACGCTGGAAAATTCGTTTAATTATTGACTTGATTTACATATAATATAACTTTGTAAGTAATTGCAAGCAATTAATTTGAACGCTATTGTTCTATGTTTGTTGTTCAATAAATATCACGAATAACAATAGCAATAACCTTTGCTTTAATGTTTAATTAATTATTATACCTATGTACTGCTAACTCAAATAAGTATTCAAATATTAGTCTTCAGCAAAGACTATTTTATAACTCCGTGCGGTTTTAAACAGTCGATATAACGACTTAAAACGATAGGCAATATCGTATGAACAATGAATAAACGATTTATTCGGTAAGATTATCTTGGCAATGTAATTCTCACTACAGAGTGACAACCAACGAACACGCATTCAATTTTTTGTAGAAACGTAAATGTATTTTTATATCATGCAATAATTATACAGTACTCGTTCATTACGTAAATGGAAACTGTTTAAAATTGAATAAAAATGTATCCGAACAATAGCCCACTTTATGCATGCGATTTGGTTATGTAAAATTGTTGGGTGGTATCAATGACCCCTTTCAGAAATGAAATTCTCTATAAGTTTTCATAGACGTAGATCGCAGCTAGAGCGCCAAAACTGAATGTCACACGCGTATCGCGAAGAATTGTTTCGCTGGAAAAACTGTACAGTGCTTGTTTTTTACTGCGCCGGGAAGTAAGACGTTACTCACCCCGTTTTCGAAATATCTCTTCATTTTGTCCTGAGGCGTAACGCCGCTCTTGTGCCTGACAAGTACATACAGGCGCTTCAGATCTGGACAATCGCGAAGAATTTTCTCGACGAAAACCTTACCCATGAATCCAGTGGCACCACTCAACAGCAAAGTTTTTCCGGCGAAATACTTTGGAATCTTACTCTCGGTCCAGTTGATCTCCGTTGGCTCGCTGTCGTCATTCAGACGTCGATAAATTTCATCGATTTCGCTCGACATTGTGATCGACTCGGTATATCACTACCTATTCTGACGAAGAGTGCAACACGAATAATCGCCAGCGTCAATTCGGTTATTCTCGAGCTGACGCAGTGAGTGTATGAAAATGGAATAGCTGATGCTTAACAAGTTTATGCTAACGTACATTCAATACGAAAAATCGAAAGAGCTTACCGCGCTTTTCAGTGTCAAAAATAATAAACTAGTCGTCAGTTTGCACCAGTCATTCGTCAAAATATTTTTTATACGTTTTTAATAACCATTTTCAGACATTTAATTTTCTATGAGTTTTCATAGCATTATATCGCGTTTAGAAGGCCAAACATATAATGTGCGCTTTGGATGTCTCCTGCTTTTCTGCATTGATACTCTTAAATAACTACTTCATCTTTGAGAGACCCTTCGTTAAAAAACAAATAAATTACTATCATATTGTAAGACAAGTAGCCAAGCTTAGCGTAGAAAAGTACAAAATTTTATCCTTCGAGAGCTTAGTGTAACTGCTTCATTGTAATTATTGCAATGGTTCTATCGAGTCGACAGTGAAAAGAAGTCAGCGAGTTCAAAGAGGTCAGCATTTCATGGCCACGGACATGTAGAAGTTCGATTGTGACATTCATGCTTCAAGTTCTTGTTCTTCACGGAACCAAAAATATTTCCTGTATCCAGCGTAGTTAACATGAACGTTTGTCTTCAATAAATCAGTAAGTTTATAGTCAAAAATCTCGATACGGCAATGGAATCCAATTATTTATTAACTGCTTGGATTATTTCAAATTTATTTTTTAAATAATCATAAATGTTGTTTTAAGTTAAAAAACTATGCACAGTGATATCTTAACTCAACAATCATATTTGAATTTTATTTTTCATCGAGTCTACTTAACGTTTTTGCGTTCTATTATTCATGGAAATATTTTCATAACAATAAATTAAATTTTCTTAATCGTGAATTGAATGTATAGATTGTATTTTTTGAAGTAGTCGATGAACGAAAATTGTATCAATTAGTTTTGTAACTTTTATAACTTAATTAGTTCTTAATCGAGAAGTGTTCGTTATAAAGTAGAGCGAAGCACACTTTTCCTATGAAAATTCCTTTTGATATCCAACCGGCTGATATTGTGGATCTCTGAATGATGTTTGTACCGATAATTACCTACCTTGTTTTAAAAATATATTGTGATCGTTAATTTCGATTATATATAAGCGCTTGAACTTCGGTTCGTTCCAAAGAAGTTTTTCAAAAATAACTTTTCTCACGTATCTGGTGGCTCCGCTTAAAAACCACGTTTTTCCATCGAACTTTTGGACGTAATCTCTTTATCAGATGATCATGGATTTCATTAATCGCAACGAACCTTCTACATTACATTTTCACGTCCTTAAAATGTAGCCTATTATTAACTGACATCAGCACGTCATTGTTTATCGATAAATTTTGGGCTGCATATGGGCTACTTGCAATAAAATTTTTCTTTTTTGTTTTCTATAGTAGGGTTTTAACGCGAGTATAGTTATACGTTACTATTGATACGTTCTGTATATTGAATTGTAAGTCAATAGGGGGTTTGAAAAAAAAAACGAATGATTGACGTATATAATATTATACAAAGCGTACTTATCAATCCAGACTTGTCTTCTTACGTTAATTATTGTTAATTGAGCACAAACAGTACGACGATTGGTGTTTTTCTTTCATCTTATGATTTGTGTAGCTCCCTCAGCAATCATAAACCTCAACAACCTTTCTAGTTTTACTTGATTGATGAAATTTCATTTTTATTTTAAACTTCATGGACCGTGATTTAACGTCAGGAAAGCTTACTATAAATAGGCAAATTAAATCATCTCGAAGGCAATTTTTCAAAATTTACTCAAATTAAAAATATATTGATTAATAAAAAAGGCAAGCGTTTGAAGTCTTCAGTCACAGTAATGTTGATGTATTAATTTTTTATGAAAAAAAAAATAGTACCGGGACGGCAACTCAATCTGAATTTATATTCTAGATTGGGCAAACCGTCAGAGCTGCTATTCACAGTTTATTTTTAGTTTTCTATAAATTATGCAAGCCAAATCGAGGTAGGTGTAATACAGAGGAGAACGACTTCAGTGGTTCGCGTGTAAGTCGATTCAGAGACCGATTTCTGATCGGTGGCAGTATACCATCTCGCAGTTTTTATCAAAATATCAATCGATACTAAAGTTAATACTTATTTAGAAGAAACTATTACATACGAAGAAAGAGTTACTAATTAAATAAGAAAAACACTACGACTCATTTTACACAGTAACATTGTCAGGATCAAGATTTATATTTATACAAAAGCCGTAACACATATTTCAATCGACATAATTTAATTGTACAAGTTGACAGATCAGAGAGCTGTTAAAAATAAAAATAAGCTTAATTTTGCGTGTTTGCTGCTTCTATTCAGTGATTGTCTCGATTTGTCGAAGGACTTAGCTCGCAAGCTCGCACCAGCACGCTTCGAAATTAGCGTCAAGTCTCGAACAAAGATCGGATAAGACATCGCTTTAGTTCTACTGGATGCACAGTTTGATCAACGGCATGACGACGACGTAGCAGAAAAGTACGAAAAACATTGTGAGAACTGCATAGTGAATATACCATATTTGAGTGTATCTTCGGACACCGGCGTCGCTGTTCAAATCTTCTTTCAAGAAGTATACTCTCAGTCCTCTCCACATTACCCAAACGTAATGCTGCCACTTGAGTTCGCGTATGTCGCAGCAAAATAATTCCCGATCCGTCGAGTTCATTTTGTTCATGACCTCTATTGTTTTCGGCATGTAGATTCTCCAATTTCCATTGCCGAAATAGTCAATTTTATCCAAGTTCTGCGTTACTTTCATGAAGATCGACACGGCGCTGTAGTGAAAAGTTTGGATTAGGAAACGATTGGAAGTTGGTTACCACATTCGAGTAGATATCACAGCTGTCGCGGCTTACATGGGCTTCTTTCCGATTATAATGAGAAACAGATCCAAGAAACAGGCGGGTATAAAATGGAACAGCAGGTGTAATATGAAAAACAACAGTTTACTGGAGGTGAAGTACATGGCGTTGACCCAGACGGTCTTGGGGGAGGCTTCGCGCCATTCGTACTTCATGTAGTCGTACAATTGCGGCAGAGTGGTGGGATTGGTGGTGCTGCTGCTGTAATTGTAAATAATCGCGTCGCCCTGCTCTCTTTGCCTGGAAAGAAATTCCATTGGTTATCGAGGCGCGAGCTGCGATTTCAAGTGTCTCACCATCGGGTAGGAACGTCCCACGTTATCGCCAGCAACGCGTTGATCGTGTAGTCAGACGGGACGAAGTCCAGGGGATGACCGTGGTGATAGGCCGTGTGAATCATCCCGAGGCCAGCACCGAGTATAATATTTACAGGCCCGTTGGAATTCCCTACCCAACCTGGCAGCGGCTCCTTGTAAGCGGATATGACTGAAAGCGCGCAAATTTTCCACGTTAATTTCTTGGTCGTGGCGCGTCCTGCGTACCGCAAGCAAGCGATCATCTTTCGCGAGTCCATTACCGATACTCACCGATACTCGGCCTGTAAATGGCGACTGCGAATGCACAATCTTTGGAGTGTTGCCTGACCAAATCTTCAGCTATCGACTTGGTGTAAGTGTAAATGTTAGGATGATTGCCGAGCAATGTCTTTAAAGCGGCCTCCGTTAATCCGTTTGGCGTGCCCTCGTCGGCCTTTATGGCGTCGTAAACGGCCTTCAGATCGGCTGGCGAATGGTAAAACTCTTCCTCGATTTTCTTCCGGTAACAGTGCGAATACGCTGTTGATATGTATATAAATATGCTCAGTTTCTTGCATTCTCGTGCTAATTCGAGCATTTTCAATGTTCCAAGCACGTTGATTTTTAACGACAAACTTATCCTTATGTCGAATTTCACGTTGGCAGCGTTATGGTACATTATATCCACATCGCGTACGATAGTGTTTCTGTCTTCTCTAGATAGGCCTAAGCCGTCGGAAATCAAGTCGCCTTTTATTACTGTTACTTTTTCTCGGAAATTCGGATTTTCTCTGCGCAAAACGTCGAAAATCTGCGTAAAAGTAAATCTATTGAATCCTCGATGAGTACCCACTGTTACACACCGCAGTTCTGATATATCTAACAAATGCTTAATGTAACTGTGCAGTTATTTGTTATACATTGTCGAAAATGTTACCTCATAATGAATTATCTATCCAAAGATTACATTGTGTTTTAGCGTAAAAAAAAACGTGCTTCGACGAAGCTCGACAGTCGTGTTCTTTTTCTTAACTGAAAACTAAATGAAGTATCTGGAAAAATTTTTACTCTTAATTTTGTAATTAAACTCGAACGAAGCTCGGTCAACATACAAGGCTATCCAAACTTCTAAAAGGAGCATTGAAAAGTCATCGACAAAGTGAATACCCAACAAACATTTGTCAATAAATTCAAGATTTATGTTTACTCGAACGTTTCGCAAACCAAGCGAATGCTGATGTCGAGCGATCTATGGAATAAAAAATACGCATGATTTTCACGTAACGCTGAATGACCGCGTCGGCAACGGAAGAAGAATATTGCTGGCAGTATCGCGAAAATTGAATTTACCCGTTCTCGTAATCGCAAGCGTGTCACTTGATTTTGACTGTGCGAAACTAATTTAAATTTGATCCGTAAGGTCGACCCTCCAATGAATAAACATAAAGCCCCGGATAACTTTGCTTCTGCTTCCAGTCGATTAAACTTTCAAGCATTATGACCTACTTAATCGGAATATTTTGTTACGGTTGACTCTTTGAAATGAATTTAGAAAATGTTAGCGTGGTAGCAATTGTTGTTGTTGTCGATCGTTTTCTCACATTGACATTGGCGAGAGACGGTTAGCCGTCCAGCAACGAGCGCGGATTTGGAATCCGAAGCGAGCGCCGATACGCACCACGTGTTTGAAGTACTTGTTGGCCTGGTCCTCGAGCGTGCCGGTCTTCCTCTCTCGCATCAGGATGTAGAGGTGCTTGACGGGAACGCTCCTGAGCAGCTTTTCCAGCAGGCACTTGCCCATGAAGCCCGTGGCGCCGGTGACGAAGAGCGTCTTGTTCTCGAAGCGCTGGCAAATCTGGCTCTGCTCGCGCGGGCCCCTCTGGGCCTCGGTGTCGTCGCGCATGGCCCCGTAAATTCGATCGATCTGCGACATCGCTGCGGCGCGAGCGTCTACCGAGCAACGGGCGAAAGGAGGCGCACAGCGTTGTCAAGGCTCGAAACTACAAATAACCACGGGCCAACAGCTGCAACAGCTTATATCGCCGTTGCTACGGTGTACATGCGCGATGTTGGGCCGCGAGGTAGGGGTCCCCGCTAAAAGAAACCCGAGCAATTGTCTAATCGGCTAGCGGTGGTTTGTCCCGATCGCTCGGAGGCGCGCACGAGCTTCGCCAAGTCCGCGGCACAACAGAACCGTCGAATACCGAATAAACGCAGTGTTTCTAAGCGACGCGCGTCCCGCCGTCATTCCTTTTAGCCGATGACGGAAGCTCGTCAACGCCGACACGCGTCGACGACACGCGGCCTCCTTCGTTCGCGCGTTGACCGATCTGACTGAGCCACCGGTCAACGGTGCTTCTCTCTTTCTCACATTACAATGCGCGCGCGCTCGCCGAGAACCCGAAGGACAAGTAGAAAATCTACGAGGCGATTTGCCTCCGTCGCAGGTTACCCGAGTGACTCTGCGCGCTTACTTCTCGTCCATCCAGAGAAAATCTAATGGTCGCGCGTCGATTCCCATTGCATCGCATCCCATGAAAAGTACAAACGAACGCAATGATTTTATTCGGTCGCATAGGCTGCCGGACTGGCAAGCGACTTCCCGTGGCTTTTTATACAACGTTGTCGGTGGAAAAATCTTTCATGAATATGCCGACACATGTACGTGTATTCCAGGTGGTTAGTTTTGCGCTCGTCAAAGTTGCAAATTCAGAGAATCGCGGAAATTTACGATGACAATTTTTCATCGTAATTTTAACTTCTGCTGGCAAATTCGATTTCGTTATTGATAACAATTATCACATTATCATTTTCCAATTTATTAGCATGCACTAGGGGCAGGTCATAATTACTTCGAACGATTAAGCAGATTAGACCAGCAAATTTCAGCTTAAAAAAGTTATGGTGATCTTCTTGTTATTTTCTTGTTAAAATAATGTCATAATTTCAATTGTTAAAATTCGGATTTTCAGTGACTACACTTTTATAAATATTTAGATGTTGTGTCACATTTATATTTGACTTGAATTGAAATTTTTGTAGACACTGAGATGAGCTTGTGAACTCATGAGGATTATTAAGTCGGTCAAATACACACATAAAATCCTTACTTTTTTGTCTGATTTTAAACCACATCTGCCGCTTTTAATTTATTATAGATTTTTATAATATAGTTATCATTTCCGAGTCCATGGAAATCAAATGCACAAATCTAAGTAATTGCAGTTGAAAAATTGCATATGCTTTAGGTTTCCGTTAATAAAAAGTCGTATCGAATCGAAAAATCGAAAGAGGTTCCCATTCTTGTTAACAGTATTCATAATGAATATATATTTACTGGATTTTATTTTTTAACTCAAATCTAAAGTATGCTACGATCACGATAGCACGCGATTAAAAAAAAACACATTCCTCATTGGTTAAAAGACAGGCGCTCTTTTTTAACCGAGACAATTAGTCACTGCATGCCTTCGAGTGTCTCTTATCAAAATATAACGTGTTCCTGCAGAGCCATATGTTTTATATTTGAATATTTTTTTTTTCAATTCATTATCGTGGAGAAGGAGTGCAACTAAAATAAGACAATTCATGTATAATGAGTATAGCTAATTAGTTTTAAAAATAGTTTCAACACTTTTACACGCTATCATTTATATTTTTCTTGTTTATTACTTTATTCATTACGAATCAATTGAGAAATATTGAAATTTCTTATTTGAATTAACTATGAAAAATCCATGGTGTTACGAAATCTAAATTCAGATGTTTTTATATAACGAATCAAATTAGGTATTTTATTTGAAAAATAAATTATGAGTAACGGAATAGAAGTATAGGATGCAATAGGTCTAGGAGCTTTAAAAAATCAAATGTACGTTTTCTATTTTTTCAGCGTTATTTACCGCTGCGACATTGGCGCGATGAAAATTTCTCAGAATCCATCTACATTTGGTTATTGCATAACTTACCATTGTCTATATATGCATTCAAATAATAGTGTTTGTTACGTTTGCTATGACGACTGTGCATTGTATGATTTTTCAAAACTCCCTCTCTTCGAAACAATAGACTATACAAATGGCGTAATGGAAACATCGACAGAAAATTATTTAGCTAACACTGCACTCTAAAAAATTCAGTGTATGATAAGTCATGCATTTTTCAAGGGTAAACGTTTTAATAGTCAGCGTAGATTCGAAATGCCTCATATGTATTATATTTTAATTTATATTTTTATATAGATATTAAATTGTAATAGGTCCAGAGTCGCTCTAGTAATCCATTGCTTGATGTAGAAGTATATTATCAAACATAAAAAACTTAATAATATATACATAATATATACTCACAAATAAATCTTAATAACCCCTAGAGTTACCAACAAAGGAGTTACCTAAGGAGTCGTTCTCAGTTCCTTATTCTATAACATTCTTACTTGAGATATCGCCTACAGCTTATCTAAGCAAGTTAAAGCTTCTTAGTTTGCAGATGACTTAGCTATATATGTCAAGTTTTCTTCTACTAAATAGACAGTGAAAACCATAGAACCAGCGGTTAAAAAATTACCATCAATTTAACACTTATCGGTCAACAACTCGCTCCCTAAAACAATTCTACTCCATTACAATCAGAAATATCACCTTTCAGGCGCAATTTATATTCGCATAGAAAACCAAATACCACACACCGATCATACTATCAAGTCGTTTTGTTCGTTTCCTAGATACTTTATTTGATTATCGAATGAGTTTTCTTCCCCACGTCAGATAAATTCATAAGAAATGCACTCAAGCTCTTGACATCTTGCAATATATACCCATGTGGAACTAGATGAAGCTCCAACAAAAGTACTCTCCAAATATATTATAAGATCGTATCGATCTAACAATCTCAGCATTTTCGAGCACCGCCCCAATATATCCATTTCCTCAACCACGTATAGGCCAATGACCCAAACAGTGCCTTCGACGAATTCACTCGCGATCAGAATGCTCTTCTACTGATATTCAACGATGGGAACAAAACTCTGACTGCGGCGTAAATTCAGAACTCGGAACCCTTATGACTCTCGCACCTTCCATTCGCAAGCCTCCATCTTTACGGCTGAACGCTTGGCCCTTAATGACGCTTTAGGCCTTGCTCTACGTAACTTGGAAAGAGACTACCTAATATTTACTGACTCGTTGATTTGTAAGTGCCTTCACGGCTCTTTCTTCTGTCAGGATCAACGCCCACGAGTTAACCCTTATAATCACAACATCAAGAATAAATCGGGCATGTTTCAAAACTCCACCCTGAACAACTCTTTTGGATCTCTGCTCACATCAGAATTAATGGCGGTGAAGCCGTTGATCAAGCAGCTAAAGCAGCTTCGCAGTCTCGTAACATAAACTCTCCTCTTGATCCTTACCGTGATCGGAAATCAATTTCTTCTCGGCTACAGTTATTTTGTCACGCCAATTCAAAAAGATCGATCAAATGTATGAAAAATCTAACCGAAAAACAAGTCATTCCAGGGAAGAGATAAATAAATATACAAGTATAGGTCATTGAAGAAAATGATAACACCAGCTGAGAAATATTATTTTCATTAAATAATCCAGGAAAACAGATAAACTCTGGTTCCCCTGGTGATTTCCATTCCGATACGGACAAATTCAGTAAAAATGATTGATTCCAAAGTATCACTCGTATCTGTGCAGGTAGTAGATACAGAAAGAGATTAATTCAGAAAGCATATCGTTTCGGGTAACGACCACACCCAGCTAACTAAGCTATTCCCATCTCTTTCCAACTACACTTACTCATCGAAAAAGATCGACGAAGGAGTCAAAGATTCCAGTGACGTTGTATTCATATACCTATTTATTTTTTTCCGGGAACCAACTCTCCTTCAGTCAGGTTTTTCATACTTTTCTTGATTGATCTTTGAGCGTGTCAAAATAAGTATGGTTGTAAAAAGATGAAAACAGTTTTTCTTTCAACTAGCGTGATTGTTACCTCAAATGATCTCTTTTTTTAATTAACCTTTTACTAATCTACCTGCGCGTATACGGGCAATTATCCGCTTTTAATTAGCGTGGATTTTATCGTCGGTGCCATGTATATAGGCGTCTCACGCCCAAACAATCGCACTATTTCGAAATTCATTTTCACTCATTTTTATAGGTTTTGCGGCAGAAATGCGAAATTTGCGGGTGCAGCGCCTTAAAATGTGTTTTGTTATTTCCAGTGGTCAAATGTTGACGAGCTTCTTTGTTGTTTAAGAGATGCCTGATCTAATATAATTACTTTTGCGAATGTCTTAACTATATACAAATATAAATAAAAATGTAATACATGATAGGCTGTAAACTACTAACAACGAAAAATGAGTTATAACTCGTTCTTTTTCATATATTATTAGGAATTTGCAATGCAATACCATTTGACATTATGCAGTACACCTACAATAATGTTAAGAAAACATATCGGTTTATTTGAACGTGCATGTCAAAGTTGCAAGCTGCATGAAATGCTGCAGGTAGGGAGCCAGTGGTCACGAATTGGAAGCTGATTGTTGTACCCATGTGTATAGTACACAGTAGTAGTAAAATATGGAGGCACCGAGCGAGTCAGTCAATATGTCGGCCACAACAGAAGCTGCCGTCGAGGAGGCGGCGAGCGACTATGCAGCCTTTGCGACCGTTGACATGGACTCCGAAGTGAGTAATTCTTTGGAACTTTCAATTGGATTGTAAATTTCTTCTTTTATTTATTATTTCTAAGGCATATTTTACTCTGCATACGAGGCTTGTAATAGTGGATAAGTACTATTTTCTTTTACCAACTTTGTAGTCAGGAATGTCACTGGTTTCTAGTGAAAATGGTAGAACTGATGTACTTTAACTCTAACGCGGAAATTAAAATATTACAATCTATTGATTAATGTCATTTTCTAAATGTTGTACAATTTTTGTCCTTGCGATAGAGTGAAAAAACTTACCTTTATAATAATTTTTCCAGCTGACAGGAATACATAACGCTGTTGAAGAAATGCAATTACGTTTAGAAGAATTTACCTCGATAGTTGGAATGGTTAGTAAAATATTAATATTTGGAGATAGATAAACAAGTAATAACGTAGCTGCAAAACTATTATAGTTACATAAACAAAGCACTACAAATCTAACGTTTTACAACTTTATAGCTACAGACTAAAGGGGATAAAGCTATTACCGACAATATGCCGTGTTTTCAAGCCCTACGACCGCATGTAAATAATTTATGCAAAAGAATTGATGCCCTCGACGCTTTTATTGCAAAGGTTAACGTTGATCTTAGCACACTCGAAGCGAACATGGATGTGGCCGAATCGACACTCAAACCATCAGAAAACAAGTTGTCTATGTTGAATCCGTTGTCACTTTTCGTAAATATCTTAATGTAAAATTAATGTAGCTTATAGTGTTAGAATCAATCATTTAAATACAAAATAATCACCTTGCAGAAAAAATCGCCAGACCCACCTGAAGATACATCCCAGCAAACGGATTTCGAACCTATAACAATTTTTAAAGCTGATGACTACTTCAAGGGCGAATCTTCTAAATCATGAAACACTTACTTCTCCGAATGCAGCGCAAATCATTCCTCTGATGATCATTAAAAATAACGCTTTTATCTTATCGTTATAAATCACTTCAGTTTTATATGTTGTCATAATAACAGTTTTAGAAATTGACTATTCATTTTGTATATAAAACAATAAAAATATTAAAACACAATTTGAAATTCTAACTAAATTAGATTAAATATCTGAAAATCCAGAAAATAAAATTTTTAATTTATTCAATAGTTTGTACGTTTCATAGGTGACGAGTTTTGGGATGATGGAATGGACACAGGGAAAATAAGCAGCAAATGCATAATTATTTTAAATGTTTATCTCATAACAAGATTCTATACAACAAACTGTGTACACAATACACATGCAAGTCTGCGACAGACTTGACCAGTTGAATTCCAAAAAATCACTAGTTTCTTCACTTGCATTTGTATAAAATGTCGACTATTTCACACGCACAATAAATCTGTAATTTATGAACGCACTTTAACAAAACAATTTTAATGTATAATTGAAAGTGTGATTTGATTGACACACTTGAAGAAAAATTAATCACTGCATGTATTGCTACAAAAGTTCTGTAGCTACACATGCTTTATTATTAGAAAATATTCTGAATAATAAATTATCAAAAATTAATGACAAATATATTTCAGTCATTTGATGAATCCGACTAAAAAAGCTATTGGATTTAAAATTAATTTACACGTGTGTATTTATGTGAGGGCAATAATTACGATTATTCAAATTAATATAAAAAATTGTATTGATTTTCACTTCCTTTCTGATTTACACGGTTGAAAATGAAACAACTGTTTCCATTGAAGATGTAAAGAAGGTTAATTATTTTTAATATCACGAGATATTTATCTGCATCGCGTTGTAGAAATAACAACTAAAGTTATTATTTCAAAATCAAATAAAGTTGTGTTCAAAATTGAACGAATTTTCAACCGTGCAAATAAGCCTTGCAAAAATATTCTCTATATAATTTAAAAATGCATATTGTATATAGGTGAATTCTCTTCTAACTCCTTTTTTATATATTTTATGTCTGAATCGAGTGACTTGCATTTTCCAAGGCTAAGTCACTAATTGTCCGTGATTTGGATGATTAGGTACATTACCACTGATGAGAAAAACTGCTTTTTCCCATAATTTTAAAGTATGTGATGAGAATACAATCTAGGAATGACTGGAACAGTGATGTAGTTCAAGTTGGAAAAAATTACTCTTTAATTGTTCATCGGAATGACGTCTGTGTTATGACGATGTTTTTTTTTGAGGTTTTAGACCTTTCACCACCGTAGGTCGTCCCTTAATGAAACCTTTCTTTCTCCTAGCAGTCTGAAAAATCAATGTTTTTCCCAAATCTTCAACAACGTTTTCAATTCAATTTAGTATTGAATAAAAAATACGAAACGATACGGGGAGACTAATTAATTGTCTCTTTTTATATTTTAACATAACTCAGTTAGAAACTCACCTTTCTGCTAATATAAGAGCTCGTTTGTCTAGTTATAGTCCGTTTGGATATTGGTATTCTTGGCCGATTAAATTCATCTGGTTTTTTCACCCTAAAAGTAGTAAAAAATATTTTTAATGAGTGATGTTTTCTCATGTAGTATATTAGTAAGAGTTTTTAATTAAGAATTTTATAAAATCCAAGTGATCTTGAAAAAGTTTATAAAAATAAAATTACAATAGATAAATATAAAACCTTTGGCGTTTTCTTTAAAAAATCTTATTTTGATTTAAAAGATAACTATAATAGTAATGAAAAATTAAATAACTGCATAATCATCCATTTACGATGATCATGATTCGTTATCAATGAAAACACTAATGAAAAAGCAATAAATATATACATTACAGTGCGATGAAATAGTAGGTAATGAGAAAGTTCAACTACGCGCTATTTTATTAATTCTTTCAATAAAACGTAGTCTAAATATTTTACAACATGCTTAAAGGTCTATTTTGCTGACAATAATGCAAATATTTGGCACGATAAGTTGTTTACCTGTAAACTCTAACAAGCCAGTGTTCCGTAGTGTAGGCCTCCTCCAGGTACGTGAGTTGGAAATTTTTATTGCCAATTTCAGCATTTCGCGTGCGATCGTAGCCATAGGGCGAGCGATAATCAATTTTCACTTCTCCAAAACGATAATAGCTAAGTTTGTACATTAGGGAATTAAGAAGCGTTGGTGATCCTTCGGAGTCAACGCGGAATTCTCCTCTCTCGGTGAAGTAATCGCTCTCCCGAATATCCTGGGGATGTTCGCCCTCGGCAATTCTTACCATCCACAAAAATTTATTGATATCGTCGCCGGAGTAACCAATCATTCCGCCGAATATGACTAGTACATAATCAACGTCGAGAGACGTCATTATTTCATAAGCTGCACTTTCGTTGGAACTCATCGCTTTGCCCACGAGAGCAATATGAGAATTGTTCCAAGTATTATTATCCACAAGAGTCGTCCTAAAATTCAAATACAATATCATTATAATCAAAGCTAACTTGAGACAAATAAAAATGTATTTGGATGCGGACCGATTTGCCATTCCAGCGATTTGATAACCATAATCCCACCAGCTCATAACTCGTGCATCAGTGGGAGTGTTTTGAGCCAGCCAATAGTAAGCCTCACGGAAATCGTCGAGAATAGCTCGTCCACCATCGTTACTGTAGGAGGCTAGGACAATAGACGGGCTCGAGTAGGCATTGCTCGTAACCCAGGTGCAGTGCACCACAAACATCATTAGAAGCATCAGTATGAAAATGACAACACCGTTGCGTGTGTTAGCTCCGATACCATCACCGTTGCCTTTCGGTCTTTCGTGCTTCATTTTCCTCAATTTGCCGGCTTTATCGTACAAAGCACGACCAGGACTCTTTTCTTGTTCCTCCTCGCTTTCCTCTTCGCTTGTGTTCGTACCACCCTCTTCGCGATCTTCTTCTTTCAAAAACAACTCTAGCAAGCAACTGAAAGCGATACCGGCCAACATGCACACGACTGGAGTAAGCGTTAACATCAGACGCACCATCACACCGGCAAAGTAGACTGCGCTTATTGCGTATAGGACCACTAAAAGTAATCATCAAATACAGCATTAATTTCTTCTTCAGGCAGTTCAAAACCTGTTTTTAAAAACTACAGTACTCACCAAAAACACGCTCATCAGTAATATGTTTGATGCAGTACCAAAGTCCTACTGGAAAGGTTGTAACAAGAATGTGTAAATCAAAAAAGAAACTGAACCAGGTCGTTGGTTGATGTTCAGATACAGATGCAATGATAGGGATATGAATTTTCGCATAGCCTGTATCCCACAGAGAATAAAATCTTCCACTCCAAGGTGCAATAAAACCAGCGTAAGTTAAGATTATCAAAACAACAAAGAATACTAATGCAATTCCAGCTACTATTCCTCCAAAGTATTTCATTTCTGACTTTGTCAAAAAAGTTCTGAGGTATCTATAACAATAAACATAACAATATAACAAAGAATTTTGTAGTCATAAACTAGATAAGCAAACATATAATTTAATTAAAAAAATATTGTTTAAAAGAATAAGAGAAAAGAGTAACTTACTTCAATGTTCCAACAAGAATCAATAAACAAAAGACACCAGCAGCAGCCATATGTTCAGATGTTCTAATTGGTTGGAAACCAACAAATGGGATTTGCATACTAAACAAAAGTCCAAGGATGTAGAATGTGGTATAACTTGTAAAAAGACGCAGACTAAAACGATTCATAATAAGTAGTGCAAAAACATGCAAAGGTATCAAGTTAATTATGAAAACGTATCCTCCCCATGCTGAAACCATATAAAAGTAGGAGAGAGCAGTCAAGGAAGCCCAAAAAATTGAGCCAGATTTAACAGATTTGACCCACAGGTAGTAAGTAAACTGTAATGCAAATATGGCAATGCCCTCATTGTCATAACTGCCAGCTACTGATCTTGAAATATATCCAGGTACAATGGCAATAAAACATGCAGCAAATAATCCAGCTCCTGCATTCCATAATTCTTTTGTCAAAAAATAAGTAGATATTGCTGTCAGTCCACTGAATACTGGTGCCAAGAAAACACAAATATCTCTGATGTGAACTGGAATATTCAAAGCATGCAGGATGTAGTGTATTGATCCTGAAGTGATCATCAATCCTGGATAAACTGTTCCTCCTACAATTCGTCCAAGTGGATACCATGCTCTCTCATCAAACCAATTCAGAAAATTGTAGAAACCATGTTGCACCATATAAGCAGTTGCACGATAATTGAACCTGTAATTAATTATTTCATTGCACAATCTGAACTTGTCTTTAAAGTATATTTGTATGTTTGAAGTGACAAAAGTGATCTACTTTGATTTTAGCTTTTTGGCTGGATAGACTTTTGTCCTATTTTTGTAGGTATTGACAAAAAGCAAAATGGTTTCTAATTTCAACAAAGGGAAAACAATACAACATGAGATCAGTGTAACAAGAGGTCCAAGTGATAAGAAATTCCTTGTAAGTATATGATGAATGTTCTAAAATGTATTTTTGTTATGAAACATTGTTCATAGCTAAAACATTGATGGTCGAGTAACTGCCACGTTTGAGTTGAACACGCCGACAAGATATTAATACGGACCGGGTATCACGTCTGATAAGCCATTGAGAGACAGTCGATCAACGTAAAAAAGAGAAGGAAAAAATACATCAATTGATATATTTACCAGGGATCAAACTCGTGAATGATGCTCTCGAAACGTATAACGGCGAACAGTCTGGAGGCGAATCCGGAGATCCAGGCGAGCAAAAGTACCGTGAAGATGACGAGAGAATTGAGTCCAGCGGCGTTGGTCAGGGTAGAAGATTTGACCTGCTTGGTTACTGGTTTCTTGTCGGGAAAGAGGACTTTTTTGCCAGTGGCACCGGCGGCACCAGCGGCATTTGCCGTGGTCCCAGCAATTTTGCTGGGCTGCATTCTTCCGAGCGCCGTCGTTTTAGCCAATATCCTCTCCTCTCACCTTACTCCAGACAATCGATTTCTCTTGTTTTATTTCACATGCACGTGCATAAATCACAGATTCAACTCGAGGTAATTTGACCGTGTGTGGTGTTTAAAGTCTAAAGCCAACCGATCTCCATGAAGCACCACCACTTTACCTCTAATCTCTATCTGAGAAATCCACACGCGACACGTAGCACGATCAAGCAGACTGCAACAGCAGCAACACGAAGTAGGTATAGGCTCCCTGCACGCGAGCGAGGCTAGGACACGTCAAAAGCCGGTGCTCACTATTGCCAACCTATTACATAAACTACCCTCTAGTCTGAAGCCTAGTTATTTTTTAGATCCGCATAATTCCTCTAGAGAAACTCACTATCTCCGTTACTCTGTAGCACTATATTTAAAATTATTGGTTTGTGATTATATCATTGAATCAACTCTTACTTAATTTTTATTAGTGTTTATTTGAATTCACATTGTCCATTTTACAATTTTTTAATATAAAAATTCCTTAATCCAACTTTACATTTACCCTTATCTTACAAATTTTTACTGTGAGTATGTTTATTTAGGAGTTTATAGTAAATTTAAAACAAATAGCAACATGAATATTACCAATATTGTTCATAAGCCGTAGAAAACATTTTTATGAAACAGAAATTTGGCGTCGATACATACAGGATTTAAGCGATATATATATAAATAATTAATACATAAATTAAAATAAACATTGCAAAATAATTTCAACAGAGTTTGATACAAAAAAAGTAACTTTAACATAATTGTAACCATCTGACTATGCAAACCCTTGATTTGTGTCTAATCAACATAACATATTATTAATATTAAAAGCTAATATAACAATAATAATAATAATCAATTTTGCCAAATCAATTTTCAAATTGTTTTTCCGAAAAGATAAATCGAGTAAGTTTTTCCACTAAGGTAATAAATAGCACAAGAAGACAGTCATTTACTAAGATATTAAAAAATTCATACTAAAATAATATAAAGGAACGTTGTAGAAAAATAAAATACTAGTACAGAGTATTGTCAAAATCTAAAGAAAACGCTAAAATTTTTCAGATGGAAAATACATGATCCATTATATATCTTTCAAAAATAAAATTAAGATAAAACAACAAATTTAACAATTTTCAAATCACGTTTTTAAAAAACGATGAATCGTTGAATGATCTTGGAACTTGTGTATTGAATCCAAATTGTCCCACCACACAAGCAATTGGTGATCAAGCATTAACTTGAACCATGGAGTTAGAGGTGCATCAATATTTTTGACAAAGTTATTGATTGTAGATCTTGGAACCCATCTAATTTCACTAACTTCATCTGGATTTGGATCAACAGTTACTTTGTTTACTTGTAAAAACAAAACATAATCTATTTCATGTTCTCCAAGAATTTCATCACCAGCTGCTTGGTAGTGAATTCTAGTTATAAAGTTGAAATTTTCAGGTAGAACTTCTTTGGAGGGAATTCCTAGTTCAAACCCCAGTCTTCGTTGAGCAGCTTTCCGTATTCCAAGAGCATCTTTTTCTTCACTTTCACCTTGAATATCAGCTAGTGGATGACTACAACAGGTATTTGTATAGCATCCAGGGAAAGTGAGCTGTAAAATATTTACTCAATTCATAATCAATAAAAATATAACCTTTTTAATATGACCGGAATATTGAACTGATAGGTATTTTCAATGAATTTTAAATACATTCTGATAAGTTTGATAATCTTTTAAGTAAAATATATTTAATAGTATTGTTTCACAACCAAATGTAACTTATTAAAGTATCTATGTGAAGCATAATTGTATATAATATTTTGACTTTTGTCAAAATTCCAAGTGAAAAGTAAATATAATATTCTAAAATTGCAGACATTTAAAGATTTATTAGCAGTAAATTAATGTAATTTACCTTGGATGCAGCTCTCCTTTGAACTAATAAATCACCTTTCTTATTGAAAATGAAAACACTGAAAGCTCTGTGTAGAGGTATACTACCATCTTTTGCAATTTCATGACAATATTTTTTAGTAGCTTCACCAACCGGTCTATCAAATTCATCCACAAGGATGCACTTTTCTTCTAGAGCGATTTTCTGTTGCAAAGCAATCTGCATGTTTGCATAGTGAGATCGAACACTCAAAAGTTGATCCTTCAATGTGCTGCAAAGTCTTCTGCTAATACCTAACATCTTTCTAAATTTGAAAGTTATATCTTTTAGTTATTAAAAGAAGCTGCCACAAAGAAGAAAAATTTATTATAAAAGAATTCTAACAAAGACATTTGTTCGTTTTGTAAAAAAGACATTTTGTAAAATTGTCCATACCATACGCGTACCTGGTGTTGACAAAGAACTGAGACTCGGGACTTTAAGCAGAGATAACCAAATGACCTCAAATCTTTTTCTATCCTCATTTACATTTGAAAAGTAGGTTTAGTTGAAGTGTAGGTAACATTAACAATGTCCAATAGGCTCAATACGTTAACAGCGCAGTGCGGTCAGCTTATTTCACGTCAAACAGTTAATACTTTTCCTCTGACTTTTACGTCATAGAACGTCTACCATTCTCCTTGAATGAAAAAGAAAATATACCAAAAGGAATTTTACTTTCCACTTTCAAATGATGTCACTGCTTTTCTAGCAATTAAAATAAAATCGAATCTCCAAAATGGCAACCACTATATATATATATTCCATAGAGATGTTACTTGTGTAATACTTTTTGTAAACTGTACTTTAAGCATTCCAATCGGTTAACCTTGAATTCGTATAGATCAGATCATAAGATAACAAAATAAGTGCGTGATTTATTAGAATTTATAATGAAAATATTTATAAATTATGTTTGACATGCAATTTTATAATCATTAGAAAATGTTAAGCATTAACCTTTTAAAAAGGAATTATTATATTCCAAATTTGAATATCGAAATCTTAAAGAAATTTTCTTAAAGATATATCTTAAAGATTATCTTGGAGATGATTCGACGAGTTTTTGAAAATTTGAAAAAAATTTATAAATGTGCCCGAGTAAAAATGATTTAATAAAATATTAATAATGCTACCTATTTTAGAATCTTCAATATCACATCATTAATAAAAATAAATTAATTAAAAAAAGATTTACTATCAATTCTTCTTTTTTACGAGCAACATTTACCTACATTTACGTCTGAAAAATATCATCTAAATTACTGAAGATAGTTTACTTACGGTCTTAGATTTTCCATCCGTTGCTAATGAGCTGTATTTTTGTTAATCAACTAACGCAAGCTATGATGGATCCAGGTCCTCGTTCCGAATTGAACCTACCTTCTGAGGTTCGAGTGGTTATATTGTCCGCTACTCTCTCCCTCCTCCACAAACCCGTCAGGTAAATTTGTGATTGTGCAATGAATTAAAAATACGACTTCGACGGAGGAGGTGGGGGGGGGGGCGAAGAATAAATTAAAATCTTAATTTTTTACTCATAAAAATTTTCCATAAAAAATCTCCAAATAAAATGAAAAATTGTTCACGACGTTAAAATAAAATGAAAAATTCGTACTTATATCCGGCACAAATAGGACAATTACTGCCGACATTAAATAGAAAAGACCAGAGCAATTACCCTTTAACATTAGTCGAGCTATATATCTTCGCAGTCATTAGCAAAACGGCCGTCCCATGTCCATTTAAACTTCAACATTGACTCTTTGTAGTACAACAATTCAAATGACATCATTAAGAGGTTTTCTATACATAAGGAAACATTGGACGTCGGATAACAGACATCGGGCATGTACTGAGATTATCGAGTTCAAAAACAAATTGTTTGTTTGGCATTTGGATATGTCTGTGATTGCGCAGGGTGCAAGAAGTATAATAAAAAATATAGATCTACTATATTAACATAATTTGTACAATAATATATTATTTGACTATCTTTTTTTATCATGGTAAATGTTTGATGGCCAATGTCTGACATTCGATGTCTCGTTATGTAGAAGTTCCTAACTTTGCCATCTATAAAATTGATTAATAAAATAATCTACGTTTGCCATCTAGAAAATTGATTAAAAAAAATAATCTCTATAGTTATCTGCAGCCTTTTCACGTGTCAGATTTACCTGGCAGATATGTGGAAAAAGAGAATGACAGATTCTACTGAATGTATATGTATATTGTACATACAAGAGTAATGATCATATTTGTATACAGCGATATTTAATTTTTTGTTCTTACCGCAAAGGTTCTATATCGTCTTAGATGCGATAGGCGGTAATGTTGAATTCCAATTTGACTAAATCAAATATGATCCATATTAAACCCGTAAAAGTGAGAAAAAAAATATTGGAAAAAGTTTGGAATCGCTATTATACTGCATATATAAATATACAGTTGTGCGTTGTCGGAGCTCCGCCTGCTATCTTCGCGTAGGATTCGTAATCGTCTTTATATTGAGATAAGTTATGTGTCTTACTACGCATTGTTATTGTAATGTAAAAGCTCAAATTTTAAGAGAACTTGTTCGATATTAAATTTGAAAACAGCGGATCCAGTTGTGCCGTAGCAACTGCACAATGCGTAGTTGTATTATAGAGTCTACGCAGACCGGAACCATGCACCTCAGTTAGATAAGACCAGTTGACAGCGCTATAAATTCGTCTTCACGATTCGATTTGAGCTTCGTGTGGCTTCTTCATCCTCGTTTCGTTTTGTTCGAGTGTAGAAGTTTATATCAAACTAAAATTACTTACTCGCACTAGTATCAAAACCTACTATTTAGCAGTTTTTAGCATCTATCATATATTCTCAAGTTTTAAAGCTATTTCCTCTGTAGGCGCACTAAGCGCACGCGCACAAGCTATTTATGGATGTGATGGCCAGATGTGTTAGCACCATGGAGACTGTATACGTCTCCATGGTTAGTACTAACTAATATTGCTGAAGATAGGTAAGCTTCAGAGTATATGAAAACTATATATATACTTTCTGTATGCTGCTAGCGGTATGACAACAGAGAAGTCTTCAATTTTATACCGTATATCGCACAATAAAGTGGTGTAATCAGCAATTTACGAAAATTTAAATAAATGTTATGCATGGAGTTGGTTTATATGAATAAATAAATTCATTGTTTAAAATACCGGTAAAGATATCTTTTTATAAATTACACGTTCGTTCGTCTATTGTCAATCATTGGTTATTTTAATAAGTTGACTACTTTGTTTTAAAGAATAACAATGACTGAAGAAAAGGCTCCAGTTCAAGAGGTTAAATTGGATCCCGACTCTGAACTACGATTTGAAATAGAAGGGAAAAATGAAAAAGTTACCTTGGAGGTATGTACTTGACGTATGTTTGTACAAAGTTGTAGGTTAGAAATAAATGGCAGCACAACATATACGAGATATTGTAAAATTAACCAACTTTATTTATTTTTAGTTGAAAAGTGGTTTAGCCGAAGTTTTTGGAACTGAACTGGTCAAAGGAAAAAAGTATGAATTTACATGTGGTGCTAAGGTAGCTGTATTTACCTGGCAAGGTTGTGTAGTGGAATTAGTGGGAAAAACAGAAAGTAGTTATACAGCCAGAGAAACTCCAATGAGCTTATATTTGAATTGCCATGCAGCCATGGAAAGAATGAGAGAAGTGGCAGAAAAAGAAGATTCAAGAGGCCCAATTGTAATGGTTGTAGGACCATGTGATGTTGGAAAATCAACCTTGTGCAGACTATTATTAAATTATGCAGTAAGAATGGGTAGAAGACCAATTTATGTTGACTTGGATGTAGGGCAAGGGCATATTGCACTACCTGGAACTGTTGGAGCACTACTTGTTGAAAGACCATCAAATGTTGTTGATGGATTTAGCCAACAAGCACCTTTAGTTTTCCATTTTGGTTACAAAACACCAACTACAAATGCCGTTCTCTACAACGTTCTTGTAACAAGATTAGCTGAAGTTTGCTCAGACAGATTACAAGCAAATAAAAAAGCTAAAGTTTCAGGTATTGTTATCAATACATGTGGCTGGATCAAAGGTGGTGGATACAAAATGTTAACCCATGCAGCTCAAGCATTTGAAGTTGATACTATTTTAGTTTTGGATCAAGAACGGTTGTATAATGAATTAGTTAGGGACATGCCAGAATTCGTCAAAGTTGTATTCTTACCAAAAAGTGGAGGTGTGGTAGAGAGAAGTGCAACTCAAAGAATTGAAGCTCGTGATCAATCTGTTAGGGAGTACTTTTATGGTTCTAGAACACCTCTCTATCCTCATAGTTTTGAAATAAAATGGAGTGAAGCTAAACTTTTTAAAATTGGAGCACCAATATTACCATCATCATGCATGCCTCTGGGTATGAAGGCAGAAGATAATTTGAAGAAATTAGTTGCAGTTACTCCTGGACCATGTCTACTTCATCATATTTTGTCTGTGTCATTTGCTGATTCACCAGAAGATGATGTTGTACAGACAAATGTTGCTGGATTTGTCTGTGTGTAAGTATAATTTTTGTTATAAAAATGTTTTTGATAAAATATTTGATGAATATTATGTAGTACATTTTTGCTGAGTAATGTAAAGTAAAATGTAAATATGTGTCTTAGTGAAATACTACATCATAACAGTACATCTTTCACTGAATGATAAAGAATTATTTCTTTTTGATGAAATTTTTCAATAAAATAAAAATAAAAAAGACATTTGAAAAATAATGTATATCATAATAACCTACAATTTTTTTTAATCACAGAACAAATGTCGATGTCGAACGTCAAACATTCACAATATTGAGTCCACAACCCAGGCCACTGCCAAATCACATCTTACTTTTAAGCGAAGTTCAGTTTATGGATACACATTGATGAAACAGGCAGTCAAATACTACAGTTTTAATTGAAATACCATTTGTAAATGTGATTGAAAGATACATATTTAAATTGTAATAATGTGAATGTAAATATAAAACTATGTGTTGATATATTATTACCTAATACCTTACATTCAATTTATTTTTCATATAAAATTGAATGGCTTTAGGTATTAAAATTAAATTTTTATAAATTATCGATTTTATAAATTCATTTGTATTAATCCTTTCTTATAAAACCTAAATGAAAGATATCTCATTAAATTAATAGTTATGTAAGCACACAAAAAGTTAGATTTAAATAATGTTCAAGCCAGTTCAGCATAGCTTGTAAATGGACAGAGAAAGGCAACATGAATAAGTATTTAAAAAATCTGAATTAAATTTTTTTATAAAATATTTATTTTGTAATAAATAAATGAAAAAATGTATTTTACTTGATTTCATATAAATCAAACTAAGCAAAAATATATTTGATTCTTAAAAAATCGAACTTACCATTAAATGTTTGTGCTCTCGGCGATTGGTTTCAACGGTAAATTTCCGAACGAACTTTAAATTACCATAGAAGAGTAGCACTCATTTCACGTTTAATAAAGAAAATGACAGATATTCAAGATACTGATATTTTCTTTAATTTGGAGCTTCAAGTACGAGAAAAATTGAACGAACTCGAATGGAAAACTGTAAGTGTCATTTGATTTTTTTTGAAATTAGATTTTTCGATTCTCCCAATAATAGTTCGCTATTAGTATCGTTTTTATCAAATAAATTATTGATAAAATTGCTATTGTTGTTGAAATAACTATATCAAATATCTTTTTGTTTAGAGAGCATTGAAAGAAGCTCAGCAAGAAATTATAAAAGTTCAAGAAGAGCTGCTTAAAAAAGATATGGTTCTTGAAGAGAATAAGAGAACAATTATTGATTTAAAAATGCAATTATCAGCTACAAATCAAGTTATAATGTTGATGGAAAAAGAAAAAAATGAACAAATAAATGAAAGGATACAGTTACAAATTAATTGTAATGCTGCTATGAAAGAAAGAGAATGTTTACTCGACCAAGCTCATAATGCTAAATTAGAAAATATGCAGTTAAAATTAAATTTACAGAAATTATCAGAAACAGTTGCTATCAATGAATCATCTAGAGCATCGCTAGAAGCCTCATTGGCAGAAATGAAAGGACGTTTTTCCCAAGTTAATAATTCTTTCAGAAGGTAATACGTTTTATAAACATTGAGACTTTTATTTATTTAATTTTTTTTTTGTTTAAAACGGATTGTTTTTAACGTTTCGATTTATTTGCAGTAATGTTGCTATATTAGAAAAAGAACATCAACTTTTGTATAAATCAGTTGAATCTGCATCTACATTAAATAAGAGATTACAAACAGTGGGATTATGTACACATGCTATTTACACGAAAAAGAACCAAGAAATACATAATTTGCGAGAACAATTGGCTGTAAATGCTTACAACAATAGTTTAGCGCCTCAAATTCAAAATATTCCTTACCACAAGAAGAGTAGAATTGACGTGAAGGTACTGACTGAAATTAATATCTGCGTATTTTTAAACATATTTGATAATTTAAGTTTATCCCGAAGACTGCGTATAACTTATAAATATCAATAACGTTCATAATTAAAATTAAAAAAAAAACAGAGTTCAACTATCATTGTAAATTTTGTTTTCTTTTTCAGCATGCTTTGGAAGAACTTAATCGCGACTTAGAAAAAGATAAAGAAATTAACCAGGAAATAAGAAGACTAGATGAAAAAATATAATTTTTTTAGTGAACAGTGGCAGCCAAATAATTTTTTGTAATAAGGATTGGACAGGTACATTTTTAATAAACATATACCAGTGAAACATTAAGTGTAGGATTAATATAAAATGTATTATAATAATAGTTTGTATCCAAATTGGAACAAATTGAATGATAAAAATGCAAAGTAGATAAAGATGCGCGAGCCGTGACAACAACAAGCAGATGCTATAAATTTTTCATTATAGGTCCTTTGTACATACATAAATCGACTTACACTTGTAAACCTAAATTCTTTCGTGCAACACAAATCTTCTCATCTTGTTATATCAGATTTTGCAAAACTAGTAAAATTCATCTTTTCTTAAAAAACAAAGTTATTAACGCACAATGTTATTTGTCCGTTATCCATCACATGAGTAATCCAATGACGATTTGCATCATCTTCTGTATGTAATTTTATATCATTTCATACTAAAATGTGCTAAAATTATTTCATCTCCACTGTTTACTTTTATTATGTTAAATTCGTGAAAAAGCTATTAATCAACAACAATGTAAAAAAAATGATTATGGTCGTGTCTGGCCTTAATTAGTTATTGTTTACAACCCACTCTAAGATTTCAGTACATTAACGAGGTATAAGCGAGACACTTTTTCTGTTTCTTGAAGGCATTGCATTTATTATTGCTAGCAGTTCTTTATTTTAGTTATAGTTAATAATCGTATACCTCGTTAATACACGAGGAAATCAGGGAAGAAACATTTTCACCGAATTCAAATAATTCGTGCACGCATCGACCAGAAAAAAAACAAAGCTCCATGTTTGAAAAATGTATCTTGATGCAACACAATAAAAAATGATTATCTTTTATAAGCTGCATCACATCCTTGAGTTTCTTTTATTCACTAATAACTGCAACCTGACTTGCACAGTTCTACAATAGTTTTGTATAAAGAATTAGTAATATTAAAATTGTTTGTTCGTATCTCTAAAGCCTTATTTTCAAACGAGTTGAGTGATTCGTCAATTACGTTGCCAAGTACTTAATATTTTGATATTTCTGTGAGTTTTGATAGTATCTAAATTAAAAAAAATCTTTACTTGACTTGTTTTTTATATTAAATTCTAATAAAAGGTCACTATGATTTCAGCCTATGAAGTCAGTACAGTTCCCCCTCCCCCCCTCTCTCCGTAAAGGTTTCTGTTAGGAGAGTGTGTCGGTTATTTGTATAATTTATAAAAACACCACCCAATTGACAAAATACATTCATCGTCAAGGAGTTAAATCACAAGACTCCTTGGAGGGCAGACGCCCATTAGGATTCTGCTCTTTGAACAGAAATTTCGTTCGACACAGAGAACGTAAGTAAACGACAAATGTTGACGAGTGGGCCTTAGTATCGTGCTGCAGGTGTTTGAGGGGTCAGAGTACAGAACAGCGTGAAAATAGACTTGGAGGTTTCCTTTGAGGTTCTATAGCCTTTAACTGGTGACCACCGCTTTTCGGTGGATTCGATGCCTCCTAAAATAAAATGATAATAACAAGATTAGGAAGAGTGTTTCAATTTAGTTTGTAAATAAAACCATTCTTGCAAAACACAATCGATAGAAATAATTCTATACTCAAACTTCATAAAATAAAAAAAAACTTGTCAAATAAATGAACGAGCAAAGAAGCGTAAATAAATATTTTTGAATGAAAAACACAATGCATATAAGATACGAAAATTAAATAACATTTCAATGTGGAAACCACGTAATATTAAAAATTATATTACATAAAACATTCTAATGAGTAGTGGAAAATTTACGTGTCATAGTTAAATACGTTTTAAAAGAATATCTCATGCAGTATGACAAATTTAGTAAACACTTAGGCACTTTCTACATAAGAGACAGCGGACTTGCATCGACGTATACAGATAATTTGATTGTTTGCCATTAGCTTGTCACAGGTTTGTGCCTGTCTCTAAAACGTTATTTACAAGATGTTGTTTATATAAGTCAATGTCAAACAATTAATTTATATTTCAACCTCCGTACACGTTCGTCGCCCGGTGATCTCTTACGTACAGAGCCCCTTACGAAAGTATCAACAGCACGTAGAACGTCACTGTTGGATGTTCAACATAATCATTTGGTAATTTACGTAATAGCGCTGATGATAATGAAAGGAGGCAAAAATGAAAATGAACATTTGTTAGTAGAAAACAAGCAGCGAGTGAAGCCATTATACTAAACAAAGTGTACGATGAAAGAAAAAGAGAAAGGCAAAGTCGAGTGTACAGAACGAGTGGCGAAAATCGGCAATGAACTTGATCATCGACAACGAGAAAGAGTGAGAGGGACGGGGGGAGCTAAAAATACTGTCAAGATTGTCAGGTGCCATCTTTCACAATAATTGTGCAAGTACAATAATAGCTCAAAACACAGACACACACACGCGTGCGCGCGTCACATTACGGATGCAGCACGAGAAAAAGAGAACGACGGGATATAGAGTTACCTTCTGCCGTAATAGACCCGCACCAGACGTATAGGGAAAGAGGCATGGGAAACAGAGAAACATTATAGTTAATTCGTGACATGAGCGCGATGTCCATCTAAATTTTGTTGTAATGAAGATTATATGCGTGTGTGATTGGATTAGTCGACAGCCAATTGACGACGCTCACCAGTCTCTTTTCCATTTTGGCTTTGATGTCCCTGGCAAGTGTGAAGAAGGCCTCCTCGACGTTGATGCTCGACTTGGCCGACGTCTCCATGAACTTGATGCCATACTCGACGGCTAGCGCCTCGCCTCGTTCTTTCGACACCTGCCGCTTGTTCGTCAGCTCGCACTTGTTGCCCAGCAGCATCTTCTCAACATCCGCCGAGGCGTTCTCCTCGATGTTCCTTATCCAATTCTTGATGTTTTCGAAGCTCTTCTCGTTCGTCACGTCATACACCAGCATTATGCCCATCGCGCCTCTGTAGTAGGCCGTCGTTATTGTGCGAAACCTTTCCTGACCCGCCGTGTCCCTGTAATTCAAAACGTTATTATTTCAATGCGTTAGGCTAGCGAATTCCTAACTTGAAAACCTTTGCTGCGGCTTTTGGCAAATAGTGACGAGAATAATTACGTGCAAAAATGCCACTGAGTCAAATAAAAAAATCTAACATGGCTCACTTTGTTATCATTAGTGATTCACAATTTCAAGGAACAACGCTTATTATCGTTGTCAAACGTTAAGTCATGTTGTTATGTTATATCATAACAAAATGCCCCAAAATTATAAAACGTGAGAAAGGTGCGACGATATCACGTCTAATTTCCCGAGGCAGTGCGGCCCTTGAATACCGAAGTGCAGAATGCCAAAAGCGAAAGTAAAAAGTTGGAACAACTAGTCAAGGTCAGCGATGCAAATCCATGTACGATGCTCACCATATCTGTAGTTTGATCTTCTTGCCGTCGAGCTCTATTGTGCGAATTTTGAAGTCGATTCCTGTAAAAAAGAAGCAAGAAACGGCATTAGACAAGAGGCGAATGAAACGGGAGTCTGGGGATGATGAGGCCAAAGGTGAGGGACGAGAGACGCTGGCTAATTGACGCGTGGGTCTCTCCTTGTCTCGGCGGCGACTGTGCGGTCTGGACTTTGCTTCGTTTGAAGTGGAATGTGGCCGCGACGCGAGCAGAGCGGCAGAGAGTGGTCGGTTGGCGTGACTCACGGGGAGAAGAGGAGCGCCCGATTACCATTTGAGAGATCACTTCTACCCCACAATGCTTTGCTCTGTTTTATCGCCTTTCCTCCGACTGCGCTCTCTCTCTCTCTCTCTCATCCGTTTTTCCTCTCAACTCGGAAACTACACGGGTTAGACGGACACGATCGACGATTTCGGTGCTTCTTGTTCCCTTTAGGAGCGAGAACGCCCTAGCATTAGAGTTTCTCTCTCTCTCTCTCTCTCTCTCTCTCTCTCTCTCTCTCTCTCTCTCTCTCTCTCTCTCTCTCTGCGACTTGACTGACATAGACTTTGCGTTCAGCACGCGCGGACGTGAAAGTTGTAGATAATATTCGCACATAAAGTTCGCTATTTTATCAAAATAGATGCTTGAATCACTTTTGCATGATTCGGCTGGCGTTTGAAATTGCCACACGTCATTTTTCCAATTAACGAGGTTTATAGCACAGTCATCGGATTTTGGAGCGGAACATTGTTCGCTAGACATTAATTCCTATCGACTGCTTGGGTCATAAGTCTAATTTTAGGACATCCCCATCTGCTTCCTTACGACTTCAAAGTCCGTCATCAATTTTTCAGTGAAAACAATCGCAGGCACGCAGGATGAATCGATGGTTGCGAATTGGCTTATCGCGCAGCTGACAACAATCGAGGCTGTTGCAAAGTGGACTAATGACACACGGATAAAGTCCGCTCTCCTCTGCCCGCGTGTCCGAGTGGAGTGTCGCCGTGCGCGCATCCATTATCATAAGCACTTGGGCGCTAATTGCGAATAAGGCGGTGAAGCGAGCGCTTTCAGAGCGAGATGATTTTCAGAATGAACAAATCAGACGCACTTTGATATTTCACGCTCTCTACTGTGTCGACGCTATAAACATATCAAAGAAAAGTCGAGTGACCGTGCGATAAAAATGCGCTGATAAGCGAAGAAGATACGGGAATAGGATATGTTTACATAGTTATAACGGTAACGTGAAAATTGATTATAAAAAAAGATGTATGCACTGCGAGTGATATTCGAAAGAAAGAAATAATAATTTTAATTGGTAAAAAAGGAAAAAAAAACTCCCTCAAAACGCTATTAAACGTTCGATGAAGGATCCCATCGAAGAAAGCGCGCACATTGGGCAGCGAACGCCGAAGAATTTTCACGACGAATGCATCGCGAACGCTGAAACGAGGGGTTTTTTTCACAAAATCAACAGCTCGAATTAAAATGCTCAATTGACGCGATAAGACGTCGTTGACCTACTGAACGAGACGTACAACTGGAGCATTATATTTTCGACGCGGCTGAGTTCAAGTTTGTTTAATCACGAGACAAAATTATATAGCGATCGTGGCGTACGTGAATCGGTATGACATTATCGTAAGCCCTTTGCTATCAGCCGACACGACTATGTAACAGATTCTCGCGATAAAAGAATAAGGCACATCGCGAAGAGAGTGGAAGAGAGACGAGCAGAATGCATTTTACTTGGCGATTAATCGGCAGCAGTAGCGGCGGTGGCGCGTGTGGCCGACGTCATTATTCAAATGTTCCTTAATTAATGCGTCGTCGCACGCGTGACGAGGTGCTTTTTGTACCACTGCTTCGACTGCCACTTCTTCGCTGTTGCTTTTTTTTTTTTTATGGCGAAGACGAGCAAAATATCGCGACGATCTTTCTCTTTCTGAACCAACGCCTCGGCGAAGCAACTGTAAAGAAAGGACAAGATCCAGCGACCTTAGAGGAATTTTTCGTACGGAGACGCGTGGCACATTCGTCAGAGAACATTTCCCATTATCGCGAATAATTCATCTTTTTTGTCAGCTGCACATCCTTGGCACGAAAAACGATACAGCGCCGGGAAGGCTATCGACGTCTCTTCGACGACCAGCTGCGTGTGCGAATCGCTCGAAAGTGACTCAGAATCATCATCTGTACTACGCCACGGCTCGCGCGAGAGCCGTTCGCGCTGCCGGTGTGACCTTTTCTTGTTTCTTATCCGCGACGATATTGAAACGAACGCGCTGGACGGCAACTGGAGGTTCGTTAGCGAGCAGCAAATGCGATCGACGGAAAAGCGCGCTAGTCGAGCTTACGATGATTGAAGGCTCGGCGAAAGAGTGAATTGCCTGCTCTCTCGGCAGTCACATTAGTCATCATCAATGACAGCGGTTATTTTTCTTATTTTTTTCTTGTTCTTCCGTCGCGCGACGCAAGGCTCTTTTTGTTCGCTCATTAACGATCTCTCTCTCTCTCTCTCTCGCACTGTCACGAGCGCACGGATCGAAATATTTAAGGATGCTGCGCGTGCGACGCGGCGTTGCGCAATTCGTGAAAATAATATTCTGTCTGGCCACTGAGTTTTCTCTTCACAAATGGCTTTTCAATTGAAGCGCTATGCAATGCAAGCGCGTGCCAAGAGGCGAAAAGACAAACTAGAAAAGCAAACTATCTGTCTAATTATAGCGTTTGGCCAATTGTTTACATAACAACAACTTGATCCGGGAGAACTTAGTGGTTAACCTTGATCCATAGGACTAAGAAGGAATTTCGAGGCGTAAACATAAGCGCGCGACCAGACGACGACGGCGCATAACGGAGAGACACTGTACGGCCTAACCTAGCATTCGCGAGAGAAAGAGAAAGAGAGAGCAAGGCAAGGCAGGCAACCAATTGTTCGAAAATGAGAGAGAGAGAGAGAGTGAGAAGAGAGAGAGAGAGAGAGAGAGAGAGAGGAGAGAGAGAGAGTGAGAGAGAGAGAGAGAGATGAGAGAGGAGAGAGAGAGAGAGAGAGAGGAGAGAGAGAGAGAGAGAGAGAGAGAGAGAGAGAGAGAGAGAGAGAGAGAGAGAGAGAACAAGAGATGGGTTTTTTTCGCATTCTCTTCTTTGTACAGTTTGACATGATACACACCGATAGTGGATATGAAGGTGGTGTTGAAGGCATCCTCGGAGAAGCGAAACAGTACGCAGGTTTTGCCGACGCCCGAATCGCCGATGAGCAGCAGCTTGAACAGATAGTCGTAGGTCTTGGCCATAGCGAGAAGATGAGCAGAGGTAAGCTGACACTCACACGCACCACCGACACTGGCACTACGGAGTTAGACAACGACGCGAGTTGCAGTCGTATCTCGATGTCGATTCGCTATTAACCACTGATATGCACAAGGTCTGACGGAGTCGACTGCCTGAGCACTGACACGGCCAGCTGTTGCCGCGGCGGCGTCGAGTGCGATGACTGTGTCCGTTCGTTCGCTTACTCGTTCACCCGTCCGTTCGTTCGTCCGTACTGCTTCTGCATGCCTCTGTCTCTTTCTTACCTTCGTACGCTTTTGTGCCAGCGCCACACTATGTATATCCGTCGTTGTCTATCTCCCTCTTTCTCTCTCACTCGGAGCGAGCGCGCGCGCGTCCCGCACACACTTGTGGATGACGACTGGCCTACCTTGAGAACGGCTCTTCTTAACCGACTTCAGTCGCGCCGACGACGACGATGATTTTTCGCGTTCAATGTCGACAAATGCGGACGACCTGAGACTTATACAAAACAAGTATTCGGAGGTTAGTTTCGATGTTCATTTATGACATCTCTCATTTAAAATAAGTTTTGCTACGGATCACGTACACACTTTCTCGTTCTCTCGTAATACGTGTATGTATATCGGAAACTTTAGTTTTTATTTTTTAACGTTGCAAGAGAACTACCTACTTATAAGTAGGTACAGCTGCACGGTACAGCACCCGTTCGCCGACTGTACGATGCTCGTTGCAGCGCCGTCGCGGTGGTAACTGTGATTTTTCTCCGCTGGATAACAAGTAAATATTTTTTAATAACATAGTTTTTTTTTATTAGAATACTGGAATTGAAATAGTATTCACATATTTAAAAAAATGTTTATTGAAGTTGAGGATATGAATAAATAGAATTTCTTATCAATTTTAGTAAATTAACAAAAATAGGTAGACTGTTCATTGTTTGTTATCGCTATTGGCGTAGCGCTACTCCGTCGTAACAAACAACGCTCTTTCTTTATGACACGTACGCGAGATGCAAATATAGTATTTGCGTGCGATTACATAGAAATATAGATAATACATATAATTTACAAAATAATCTCATATTTATATGTATCACAAACATTTGCACTAGTTATCCATTAAAATATCTAACAAAAAAGTCTTTCAACATATTAAATCACTTCAACTTATCGAGTAAATACAAAAAAATTGTTAAAATTATCTACACTCTATTAAATACTTTAACATGTAAGAATAGTTTTTGAATTTGTTAAAGGTTCATTGTTACAAACATAGTATTTCTAAAAGTCTCAGATCATCATAAATCTCGTTCTGTAAAGTTCAAAATTTGAATTCTTTTCGACGATTGAGCATCGATAGCATAAAATGAGTTTTTTTTGGCAAATTGCGGAGGCATAATTTGCAATTTGCTAAAATAGGCCCTTGACTTAACCTCGATTGATGACATCGATACTCAATCATCAAAAGTGATTCGGATTTTGAACTTCGCGGGTTGTGAATTAATGTCCGGGCAGAAACATACATATACACGCGAATACAGACATCCGTGTTATCACGCACATAGTACAGCGTAAAATATACTTATTGAATATTCGAGAAATCGAAATTTGGAGTACATCATAGCTTCAAACCATTCATCGAAATTATTCTGTTCAAGGTTATTTTATGTGCTTCGTATTCCGAACAAGTACTTCTACAAAAAATAAAGTCGTGCCATCATTACAAATGCAACTAGGCATATAAGCTGCATATATACGTACTGGAGTTATCATTTTATACTAACGATGACTAGTACCTGATTCCACGATATCAGCTTACGTTGTATTTTTAACGCGGAGCCGCGGTATCGAATTTTTTCAAGAAACATCTAGCATCAGCTCCCGCATGCTCATTATTTTGAAGAATATTTGGTTAATTTCCATATTGCTCTATTTCAGCAGGGCATGGTTTGAAAATAATGAACACTGACGTGTCATATTGACGTAATTAACGATAGGAATGGCAGTCTGCTAGAATGTCCACGTATGTGTTCACGTTTGGGGATTTAACGAGTTGCCGACTATGTGGAAGATAACTAAACGTTAAAAAGTACGCAGGGAAAAGAGAAAATGAAGGTAGCTTGTGCTATTGCCGCTATTTTGCTCCTTGCATGGACAGTGCAAGCTGAAAAAGAGACAACAGATACAATAACAAAAATTGAGGAGAAGCAAGATGATACATCAGAGGTCACTTCCCAGGCTAAATCCAAGGAGGATTCGGAAGAAGAGATTGTGACCGAAGATTGGGAAACTATTATTGAGCATTTAAGAGAAATCACTGCTCTTCGTGATACAATAAGATCATTGCTGCCTCCTGCGGATACTTACATTGCTGGTAAAACTGGTAAACAGCAAATAAGTAAGAGTGATGACAGTGATGAAGGAATCAGTAAAGAAACATTGACTTCATGGACAAAAAATTCAGATTTACAATCAAAAGGTGTGGAGAGTTTGCACTCTTCTACTGAGCAAAACCTCTCTGAAGAGGAAGAAGAATTAGAAAATTGGAGTGAAGAGAAACCCATAGAGTCACTCCTTGAAAAAGAACCAGAACCATTAACTCCTGAAGAACAAGAAGGTAATAATTTATTTTTTAATTGTTTCAATGTATCAATAATGTGTTTATTCCATTTTGTAGCGGAAGATTTATTCAATCAAGCCAAAGGATTTTTAAACGGAACTCGAGTTCATAAATCAGCAGCTTACAAATTACTTGCTGCAGCTGCAACTTTAGGTCATAAGGAAGCTCGTTCTATGTGGGCATGGGCTCAGTTACTTGGCACACAAGTGAGTTCCTCTTCATCACGTTCTTCTAGTCAAGATATTCCAGCTGCTCTGCAGACTTTCAAAGAATTGGCTGATACTGGATTACCTTCTGCTCATACAGTATGTGATATATATTTAATCTCAAAACTTTCATTAGTACTATTAAATTACAGATAATTTGAAATGAAAATATAAATGTTGCTATAGGCTTTGGGATTTTTTTATGCAACTGGTCTTGGTGGAGTGAATGCCTCACAAGCAAAAGCTCTTTTGCATTATACATTTGGAGCTCTTGGAGGAGATTATCGCGCTCAAATGATCATGGGCTATCGTTATTGGAGTGGAATAACTGTGCAAGCTTCTTGCGAGAAAGCTCTAGATTTTTATAGAAAGGTTGCAAATAAAGTTGCTGATGAAGTATCTTTGAGTGGTGGTCCAGCAGTGCAACGTGTCAGACTTTTGGATGAATATGAAAATCCTAATTACAGTTCTGGTATATTTGATCAAGATCTGATAGAATATTATCAATTACTTGCCGAAAAAGGTGACATTCAAGCTCAAGTTGGATTAGGGCAATTGCATTATCAAGGTGGGAGAGGAGTGCCTATTGATCATCAAAGAGCTTTACATTATTTTCAAAATGCGGCTGATGCTGGAAATCCTGTTGCAATGGCTTTCTTAGGAAAAGTATGGATTTCCGAGTAAAGTTTAAAATCTCTTTGAACTAAAAAATAAATTATAATGCTTTTATTATTGTTTTTAGATATACTTGGAAGGTAGTGATATAGTCAAACAAGATAATGAAACTGCCTTCAAGTACTTCAAGAAAGCTGCTGATTTAGGAAATCCTGTAGGACAAAGTGGATTAGGATTGATGTACTTACATGGTAAAGGAGTTGATAAAGACCCTGCAAAGGCACTTCATTATTTTGGTCAAGCAGCAGAGCAAGGATGGGTTGATGGACAATTACAATTAGGAAATATGTATTTCAGTAAGTTTTAAAAAAACTTATTTATTTTTTACTTCCAGCGGTATGTCTAAGTTTATTAATGAAATTATAATATACTTTTAAGGTGGTACAGGTGTACGACGTGATTATAAATTGGCCAACAAATACTTCAACTTGGCCAGTCAGTCAGGTCACGTTTTAGCCTTTTACAATTTGGGTCAGATGCACGCCAGCGGCACTGGTATGATGCGCAGCTGTCCAGCGGCTGTTGAATTATTTAAAAACGTTGCCGAGCGAGGAAAATGGAGCGATCAACTGATGATTGCTCACTCGGATTATCGAGAAGGCAGGGTCGATGAGTCCTTTGTGTTATACTATTTGTTTGCTGAAATGGGCTACGAAGTCGCTCAAAGCAACGCAGCTTTTATTATTGACCGGACTGAGACAAGCGTATTCACTGAAGAAGAGGGACTTGTAAGAGCTCTTTCGCTATGGGCTCGCGCTGCTTCCCAAGGATACTCGGTCGCTCAGGTACTCGATCATCCATCAACTAGATGAGTTCATCACAATAACGCTGTTTCTGAAGTAAATTGATTATATTTTTACATTTTAGGTAAAACTCGGTGACGCCCATTACTATGGTCGAGGCACGAAGGTTGACTACGAGGTGGCGGCAAGTCACTATCGCTCGGCTTCAGAACAGCAGCACAATGCACAAGCGATGTTCAATCTAGGCTACATGCATGAACGCGGATTGGGTTTGACAAAAGATAAGCATCTGGCAAAACGTTGTTACGATTTGGCAGCTGAGACGAGTCCTGATGCACGAATTCCCGTAGCTTTGGCTCTCATCAAGCTGTTTCTACTGTTTAGTTTAGATTACGTACAAGAACTCAGTGTGTTTGAACAGTTCAGTAAGTGGGACGAGTCGTTGGTAGAGAACTGGGATCTCTATCTCATTGGTATCTTCACTGGTATGCTAGGTTTGGTCTTCTACTTCAGAAGGCCTCATCTGTTGCAGCAAGCTCAAAGAGCTCCGCCTGTGCAACCGGTTAATTGAGTAACGCGATGCGTTGTCTATAGACTATTGAACACTTTATGCACAAACTCGACAGAGCCATATGGGACCAAGCTCAAAGTCGAGTCGTTCGTTTTTCAAGTGAGCTAGGAATTGAATGTTGTTTTGAGTTCAAATTTTCAAATGATATATGTATAATTAGGACTGAATGTTTTGGCGCGCATATACAATACGGTTAGAAAATTTCTTTTTCTTCAACATTTACTCAACGAAAAAAATTTATATCAAAATTACTCATGTTATGGAAATAATGAGCTAATGATATTGTTTGGTGTTGTGTATGGATGAATCACTATTTCACAATAATGCTTAAATTTGTTTATTCAGCTCTACCTATATTTCTTAAATTTTTAATTTGTTCGTAATTATATCGATTAAATTTGTAAATAGACATACAGCATGTATAAATCATTTACTATATAGCATATCAGTACAGACTTCTAATAATGTACTATGATTGGATTTATGTGTAATAGAAGAACGATAAATTTAATTAATCGATGTAAATATTAACAGTGAAAAATATCTAGTGAATGAAAGATTTTTACTTTGTATTATTATATACGTTGTGTCAATGACAAATATTTTATTTTGGAGCAATAAGTAGCGTGAACATTGAACTTTTATCAGTTATTCATATTTATCAAAGAAAAGACAAATAGGAAAGAAAATGTTCATCTAAGTTATAATTTGACACTTTTGCAACATTCTTTTCGATTATTTAAACGAGTTGTAAAAGTGCTTATATAATAACTGTACAGAAGTAAGTATAAACAACATCAAACATTTTTGTAAACAATTGTTCTGCATTATTTGGATTCTGAACTGCCTTTCGAGAATAAATGCTCAGCTTGTCAAGTCCAATGAATTTGTACTGGGATAAGTATTTTCGGTAGGAGGAGGAACTTCCAATATAATTTTTATAAATCATAAGCTGTAATCGTACATTAGTCACCTTATTAGTTTACATGAATTTACGATAGTTTTTAAAATATTAAACTTCTCTCGGTTTTTACCGATATAATAATAAAAAATACTAAATAATCATACAAACGCCAATAATAGCTGTTAACTTGTTGCGAACTATTGCTGTGATGTAAAATAAATTTGAAGTGAAACGTTGATGTGGCTTGTATCTTCGTATAAAATTCACCCTAAGGTTATCCGTGCATTGCTCGTCCCCATGACGACGATAGGTATTGACTTCAACAGAATTTAAGAGAATAAACATCAATCACGATTCGGATTATCTTTTCAAGCACTTTCCTTAAAAAATTTACGTGTCCTTGCAATAAGCCATTCATTTTGAAACCAAAGAGAAGAAAAAATGAAGAAGAAAGGAAAGAAGGAGAAGAAGGCACGCAAGAGTAAAGCTTTAAATGAATTTGAGACCGTCAATTATGAACAGCAGATTCTCGAGAACAATCGACAGTTGGCAAGGTATATGCAATAATTCGTAAAGTAGAGCGTCATTGTTGCATTTGGATAGTCGTGCAGATATGCAAAAGCTGATCTTTGAAGACTGTGACAAACCGAAAAATTGCTTCACTGTCGTATAGAAAGTCGACTATTTCTCGTAATTTAATATTGAGCGATTATAGATGTTTGGCTATCTTGATTGTTCTTCGCGTTCTGCCTGTCTCAGACTGCGGTCCCGCAACGAGGAGCTAGAAGTCGAGGCGGAAAGCTTGAAGGAGAAACTCGCCCAGCTGGAGGAGAACAAAGCTGACTTGACGTCGCATTTGGAGCGAGTTTTGCAGAAAAAGGTCGAGGAAGCTCAGGAATTGCAAGAGAGGTTGACTGCACTGGAAAAGCTGCGCAAGGAGGAGCAGCAAGCCTTTGACAAGAGAGAGCAAACGCTGGAGCAGGAGTTCAAAACCATGGAGAAAAATCTCAGCGCGGAGATCAAGCTCGCGGGTATTTATTTGCTTAGTAGCGTACGCACAGTTTGTCCGATTGTCAACCGATCATCATTGCCAATTAGCGGGGAAGCTGAGCGTTCTGGAAGATTGGCGTTTGGCCCGCATCGATCTGATGAATAAGTTCGAGGACCAGGAGAAACGGATGGCCGAGCAGGAAGCACGTCATAAAGAGACGCTGTACGAGACGGAAAAGAAGCTGATCATCGGCAAAGCGCAGTGAGTATTGCACGGCGAGCAGCTTCGCGTGGCGAGTACGGCATGAATTGGCCCTGGCTCCGCGCAGAATGCAAAGGGAGCTGGAGAAAAGGCTGACCGAGCTGTCGGAGCGTTTCCGCGAGGCGACGAGCCTGCGCCTGGCGGACGCCACGCAGCGCGCCGTCCGCGAGAATGCCGCGCTGCATCGGGAACTCAACAGCCTGTTGAGGCACTGTCGCCAGCTGGACTCGCAGGTCGAAGACTACAAGGAACGCGAGCGCACTCTACGCCTGCAGGCGTCTCTCAGCGAGACCGAGGCGCAACTGGCCCTCGAGAAGGTTCGTCCAGCCGCTGCGAGCGACTTGCCAAACACGCTCACTTGCGTCGTTGCGTCCGTGCGCAGGTGCTGAAGCAAAGCCAAGCGATCGAGCACTTGGCCTCGGAGCACGATCGCATGAGTCGAGCGATCGGCCGGGCGCTTCGCGCCGAGGGGGTGGCGGCGCGCGGCCGGCGCGCCCTCGAGGAAGCGCAGCGCGGCCGCGCCGAGGCGCGCGACAAAACTCGCGTCCTCGAGCAGAACGTGCAGGTGACTCGCGACACTAGGATCGCTAGCGGCAGAGAGGCCCGGGATCAATGCCGCCAACTCGGCAGACTCGCTGGCATTCTTGCCGAGGTCGAACGAGTCGTCGTCGAAGCTCTTCAGGTGAAACAGTCTATGGCATGAGCCTTCGAACCCTTGAACCAATTGGCCCTTGTCATTTCGGTTTGCGCAAAAGGTCAAATCGGAAATTCTCAAGGACGCCGAAGAAGAAGAGGACGCTGGTTCGTCTTCCATCCTCGATATCAAAGAAAAATTGCTCCATTCGCTGCTTGACATACTGGCGTCATATCAAGTTTCGACAATTGAAGAAACGACGGAAGTAAGTTTTTCATCTTTTAAAAGCGCATTTGTAGCATTTTTGTTTTCATTATTATGGAATCTATTTCCAGTACGAATCGGAGCCCGTGGAAAACTTGTACGAATTCGGGAATTTAGGATTGATACCAACGTATTCGCAGGAAAATGTATCAAACACCGATCAAAGCGATGTCTTGAGTGAAGATCCCAAAGATGAAAAAGCCGCCTCGTTACAAGATTCTCTAACGATTCCGGACTGTTCGTGTGATTAAATACGATGAATTGTAATAAGCCATTTGTACTCTTTTGCGAGGATTTTTTGATTTTCAAATAATTGTATGCAGTAGAAAGTTAGTGAATATAGTTGTGTATTGCGCTGATTCATACAATGGACTGAATTTTCAAAAAGAAAGAAGAATAAAATGATTTTACGAAAACGTAACGATGGAATAGTTTTAAACGTTTTCATATGTTTCGTGTTGATTAAGACCGAATACATATGATTAAAAACAAAACAAAAATTATCAATTACGCTTTGATACCAATACGAAAAATAACCTTTACCGTTTTCTTTAAATTTTCAAAGATAAAGTACAGCATACAAAGTCAAAAAATGGTCGACTTAGAAGGAGCAGACAAGGGAAATATTTCCCTTCCAGCTACACTACAATCTCCAGATATGAATAACTTGACAGATAAAGAGTACAACGAGCAACCCACGATCATAAACATACAAAGGGCTATGTATGAAACGCTTATAAGTGATCTTGAACAGAAAATTCAACGGTAACTATCTTTCATCCAAAGTCTCATTGTAGAATATAATACTTTACATCAACGCCCCTGTATTCAATTTAGTACATCGCGACGCAAATCTGTTTATAAAATTTTAATATCACGACTTGTGATTATAGATTACAAACGAGGAATGAAAAATTAGAGGATTTTTCAGAGTATGTGAAAAATTACTCCAATAACAAAACTATTGAGTCTGAAGCTGTTATCGTTGAATTGAATACTAATATTGCTTTACAAACTAAGACAGTGGACAAGTTAAAGCAAAAATATAAGGACATCGAAAAAAAAAGGCAGAATCGCGCCGCAGAACATGAAAATAGAGTAAAAGAAATAAGCGATAAATTTGACGAAACTAGAAGACAGCTTTCTTCTGAAATTAAATTATTAAGTTAATAATAATTTTAAGATTTCACAATCGGCTGGGATATTTTTTGATATATGATTATAATTCGTTTTTACTCATTGTATTATTTGCGATTGCAATCAATATTAGCTAATAAAATTTATGCAAATTATAGACGCTAAAATAAACGCACTGGAAGATTACAAAGCATCCGAAGAATCTTTGACGTCAAAATTTAACGATAATAATGAATATATCGCACGAAAAGAAGAAGAACTGGAGCAAGCGCTGAAGGATTTTCAATTGAAAGCCAAAATACACAGGCAAAAGTAATTTGATTTATTTCTATGTACTTTCACATATTTTGACCTTTATATTGCGATTTTCGTTTTTAATTAATTAGCTTAAAAAAAGTAACCTACAAGAGCGTACTAGATACATCAAAAGACTTTCAATCTGATTTGATAAGTACTATAATTCCGCTAACCGTACAAAGAATGTTGCGAGAGAATGTTATTCTTGAAAACGAATTGGTTCAGTGTTGGGGCGACCACGCTAATATCACCGAGCACAAAAATTATTACAAGTAAGTTATAGAACGATGACACATATAGTGAGCTAAAAATTGATAACGGTCAACTGTAGTAACAAAGATATATTGCATATTCAGAAATACTTTTAAGGATTTTCACAAGAGAATCAAAGAATCTAAAATACATATGAGGCAAAGATTGATTACCTCAAAAATACAAAGTATACTGCTGAAAAAGTTGGTAGCTATCCATTCAGCGGTAAAAAATAAACTGTCGAAATCATTTGACGCGCCAGCCAATTTCGAAGAAGAATATCACCAGCTTTTAGAGAGCACCAATAAAAGGGAGTTCACAGACGACGACTATGTCCGTCGGAAGTTGGAAGTGATACTCCACCAAGAAAGAATCAAACTAGCGATGACAAATAGATTTAAATTGAAAACATCATTTGCCCTTAATACCTGTTGTGAAGTTTTGGGTATCATCAAATGTGCCGTTAACACCGCTCTTTCGGTGAAATACATTTTGAATTTATTTTTAATTTACATATCGGTTATTGAATAACATAATTGCATTTAATTAGGGCGAAGGAGAAATTATAGATATCGAAAGTTTTGCATCATATTTGCTGAGCGTGATTGATAAATATAATTCACGTAAATGGATGGCCCCTTCTGAATCGTAATTATATTAGAATAATGCTTGATTTTGAAAAATTGTCTGCGTATTAAACCAATTATTCATATTTTACTACGCAGATTAGAAACAGTGGATTTATCATCAAACGTTTATTCAAGAGGTGATTTAGGGTTTGAACCGAAACACGTTGAACTTGAGGATAAATTGATTGAAGAAATAGATAACATTTCTTCTCGATCGGTAATGAGTACTTTGGAAATTCTGGAAGAGCTTCAAAAATTGCAAATAACAATACCGGAGGTAATGATAATTATTTTGTATTTTTCAAAAAATATAATTCACGATTGTTTTTTGTAATTTATTACAATTACTTACAGGAAAAAGACTTCAACGAAACTAAATCTCGTGAGTCAACTATTACATATATATCAACAAGTACTATGACAGATGAAAATTCAAGTTCAGCTGACTTAGTTGATGACAAGCGTAAAGAAGAAAAACTTAGATTATTCTATGAGGAAATATTTGAAGATGAAAGCCACTTGGAATATAAAACGGAAGATGAATATGATTATTATTCAAATTATGACCAAGAATAATATACAACAGAAAATATTTTTTATATCGTTATAAATATACTTTTATTACCTATACAATCAAAACAACGTTGTTTTTATAACATAAACGTATATGTACAAGTATTCTTATAATTATAGTTATTTTAAGACTTTTTTCATATCAATCTTGTGATCAGGTTTGATGTATCTCTTCACCTTGGCCTTGAGTTTTTTCCTGTAATTAAAAAATGTATTATGTTGGATTTGTATAAAAGATATATGGTATGCATAATTAAATAAGTAAATTGATACTAACATTTCAATAATGCCTGGTGCAACAATGTTTCTCTGTTGGAAAGATTTGTATCTGTCTTTTAATAAATTTCCTGCGGGTTGAGCATTTCTTAAGTTTCCTGATAACTCGCTTCTCAACAAAAATTCCTGTTCCAGAGGTTCAAACTTATGTCTACTTAAAACTTTGGGTTCTAATGCTTTCTTTGCTTTGAACTTCAATCGTTTTTCTTTCAACATTGCTTCTTTCTTCTGCTTTATAGACATTTGTACTCGTATTTGATTTAGATGGTAAATGTCAGCTACTTTTCTTTTTTCAAGTTTTTGTTTCTTAATCTGATGCTCAAGCATTCTTTGCTCTTTTCGCTTACGCCGCTGTTGTAAAGTTTTTTTATCTCTTTTTACTGGTGGATTGATAGATTTTATATTTGGGTCACTATCTTCTTCATCTGAGATTGTTTTTTCATCCTGAAGAGGTAGTCCTTCTGACATTTCTTTTAAATTATCCTCATCTCTCTGTTTAGATGTTACCTAGAAAATAGTTATAAACATTAATATATTTCTTATGCATGATAAATTTTTCTTTAAATAATTATGGTGAAAAATATTAATTACCTTCCTGAACATTTTATTTGTTACTCGTTCCAAATGTTTTTCTTCCTTTATAATTTTTAGTTCCTCAGCTGCAACTTGAGCCAGCAAGTTTTGATGATCAGCAGGTAATGGATTGTATGAAGTACCAGGATGAGGTACAGTTAATGCTGGCAAAACTGAAGGTTTCTTTTGTACAGATTTAGGTATTCTCTTTCGTTTTTTTCCTGTATTTGTTAATGTGTGTCTGACTGTATCATTTGTCAACCATTCACTTTTCAATTCTGGTTCAATCACTTGTTCTTCTTTCCAAACATCAACTTTAAATTCTCCTCTTTTAGGTTTCATTGCTCTGTTTTTCTTGGCTATAATTCTATTTTGAATAGTTTCTTTTTCTTTTAACTTTAGTATACCTTTTGATTTTCTTTCTTCCTCTTTACGTTTTAAAATTGAACTCTTTCTTTCTTCTGGAGTTCTGACACGATTTCTTTTGGTAATTGGATCTGGTACAGCTGTGATTGGCTTTAAAATGGCAAAACATTTTGGTTCTGTGTTTTTTAACAATTCCCTGCGCTCTTTCTTAGATAGAATATTAGTTTCATTATGAGCATCATTCCTGGTTCTGTCAACAGCAAACAGTTCTTCATCTTTTCTTTCCGAAAATGGTGTACCTAATCTTTCATTTAGTCTTACATTATCTAAATAAGCATCAACATCTTTCATATCAACATGTTTTCTCCATGATTTTTTAGTCTTTTTTGATACTTTGCGTTTTTTAATCACATTATCAGTCATTTTTTACAACTTACAGTATCTATTAATGTAAAAAATATTATTTGATAAATCAGAAAATAAAGATAAGTCTATGAAACAAATATTTGTTAAAAATGTGTGCAATGTTTTTACCTCGATTACTTTGAAAATGTTCATAAAAACATCGATTTGTAGGTTATACAAAAGTCGAGCACATGTTAAATTATGTGCTACATATATATATATATACTACACTCCGAACACGTTGTTTTCAATATAGTGATTTTTTACGTTTCATGAAAGTCACTAAACTTAAAGTAAGAAGGAAATATTATGAAAGCAATATGTTTTATTAGAACAAAAAGTCAAGTCAACACGACAATTCCAACGCTTGTCTTAACTTCGCGCGTGCATTATCATAAAAAATATTTATTATTATTCCTTAATGTACTTATCAGCTGATTGTAACGTAGGGATTTTTACAAGCGAATGTAATTTGCAACGTTGCCGTGTCTCTAAATTCGCTACTAGCAGACGAACGGTCATCATTTTGTAATAATTAATAAAATTTTAATGTATAATCACTTGTTAAATCACTAATTATATGTACTTATTTAAATTTCAATTGAATGTATCGCTGATTTAGAGTTATATGGTTGATTATGTTCGAAATAATCGTACATCTCGAAATACGCGCCATCATGCGCAAACCTTTCTCCTATGTGCGCACGTGTGCGCTTGACATTTTGACAACGTTGTAAACTCATCATAAGCCACTCGTACTGTTTTGGACATTTTGGTTAATACGTTCTTTCACAATTTTCTAAAAATTCATTGGAATTTTTCAAAAATGAGTGACGATGATCGAGACATCGATATCGAGAGCGATGTAGGTCCATTTTTCAAAACTTAAAATGCAATATTTATCTTGAAAAAGGTCTGTAAAGTATTAAAATTAGCATTTGTTTATCTCGTTCTTTAGGAAGGCGACGATTCGGATTCAAGGCAAAGACACTCTAATAATCAACAGTACTTCTCTCAGGTATTTTTGCGTTCATTTTCACCCAATAAGAGATTATTTGAGTTAATATGTTATCTAACTAATATTATTCTAAGGCTGAAAAAAGGGCCCATCATAATGCCCTTGAAAGGAAGCGTAGAGATCACATTAAAGATAGTTTTTCAAGTTTACGAGATTCTGTACCATCGTTACAAGGTGAAAAAGTTGCCAGCAGAGCTCAAATCCTTAAAAAAGCAGCAGAGTATATTCAATTTATGCGACGTAAGAATACCTCTCATCAACAAGATATTGATGATTTAAAACGACAGAATAACCTTCTGGAATCTCAAAGTAAGTGGTATTTCTAATCAATGTTTTCATTTGTATATTTTTATATAATTCTGTAGATTTTTAATCGGATTGAGTGTAGATAGCTAAATGTATTATTTTCTTAATAATCTAACAATCTTTTACCAGTATTATAAAGTCTATTTATTTATATATACGTTTTTCATTTAGTGTTTGCTTAATAAATATTTTTAATCTTTCTAGTACGCACTTTAGAAAGAGCCAAACACACAGGAAACTTTACAGCTGAAACTTGCGATGTTTCCAAATCTGACTCAATTGGAATAGAAAATTTCAATGAATGCGATATGGATGCATCTGACAGTGAAACTAGAGCTGTGCGCAATGCAAAAAAGTTGAAGGTAGCAGGATTGCATCATTGATTCGAAAAGCAATTTTTTTCAAATCTAATCTGGTCTATTGGATTCAAACAGATATTTTGATAATTTGATCAACTTGTTATAAGTAATATTAATATGGATATATCATTCAAATATGTATAAGGTAGGCAATTATTTAGATGAAAAAAAATGTTAGATTCAATAATTGATGTAAAACGACAAGTGAATTAGTCTAATTTGTTTTTTTAAACAGTTAAGTGTTAAATATTAATTTTGTATGATTTCTTAACAACTTACAAAGAATGGTTCTAGGAGTAGGCCTGAGACGTGCAATCGTCAATAATCGGTTTTTCTCCAAGAGAGAGAGATATATATATATATATTTAGTACCTGTCTATTCTTACGTCAAAAAAAAGTATATGCTGTAATGACTTTTTGTTTATAAAAAAGATTTTTGTAATCAATTTTCTTTTAGAAAAATGTTTTTTGAAGTTTAAAGTACAAGAAACATTGTCATTATAAAAAAAGATATTTTACAAACTTTGAAATTGTATTTATTATAAAATACAACTTCCACTAAAACATTTTTCTACATTCTACATAGACACAATAGCATTCATAAATTTTTGAGCATATTAAAATTTTTTTAAAGTTTCTTGTTAAATGTTACTATCTCCATGTAAATTTCAGTAACTCTTTCCATTGTTTACTAGGTAACCAATGAGTTTATTCATTTGGAAGCTGAAAAATAATGAGTACATAAAGTATGTAGATAATAAATTTAACATTTGTTCTCAAAGTTTGTTTTTTTTTGCAAGTTGTTTGAAATGGAAATTTATTATTCTTATATATGTCTGTGTATATCTTTGTGTATATAAACAAAGATAATAAACATATGAAACCATTTTATGTAAAATTACGCGACAATTAATCTAGTAAAATACAGATTTTTTAATGAAAAATCGAATTTAAACATAAAAACTAAAAAAGAATAAAGCACTTATAAATGTCAAATTTCTGATGAATTCTTCTTCCATTTTGCCTGATACAATACTTATTTTCATTTTAATAAACGTACAAATAATCATGCTGGAATTAAATTATAAAATGAGTTTATTCTTTAAGTTTGTTTGCGCGTTATAAGAACTAAAATTATAAAAGCACATATTGGGATGTTTACGCACATAATAGACTTTCATACAGCTACAAATAATTAACAATAATTGCGTGATTAAAAAAATATTTGAAATCAATGTGGCATCCGATAGTAAGCAAACAGAAATATACGTGACACCTAACATATTTCTCTTACGGAGGCACTTTCTCGGCATTTGCAAGCATTACAAATTTTTCATTCCATTTAAGCTTGAAAAGTGTTTCATCGATATTTTATCAAAGCTGCACGATCACAGGACAGAAATTTCTAAAAACTAAATCCTGATAAAATAATGAGTAATTGAAATTCATAATGTCTATCCTGTCTCATTTATCTTTCCGTACAGTACATTGCTATCTCAAAATGTGAACTCTTACTCAAAATATAAATTCAATCACAATATCTAAAACGATAATCATATAAACTGTATCCGTGACTCAAGTTTGCCATATCTATAGTTCTATATCTATCGTATCTTCCCTCGCTCGTTCTTAATAGTTTATTAAAGTTATGGTATAATTACTTTTACATGGGTCTTTTATACTTTTCTGTTTACACAATTTTAGAACAACAAAAACTTGAACATTTTCATTGAGTAAAAAATTAATCTGAAGTATAGGTTCTTCGACAATTGGCCTTAATTGTGCCACATTCCATAAATTAGCGCTACTTCTAATACGCGCTGTTAAACAATGATCGCATTCTGTACACTGTGTAGGCTTCAAATTTTCCAAAAGATAATAAAACGGTAAAATGGTTCAGCTGTTTAGGAAACGTACAGACTGCATGGAAACGTTTGAAAATGGCGAAAAGACGTATATACCACTGCAACCTCAACGTTAACACGTTTCTGATAACTATTATCAGATAATATGCGCACAAAGTATGTCGCATACCAAGTGTTAATGCTTTCATTCTTCTTAGTACTATAAGTTAGACTTGTAATATCACTATCTTGTGATTTTCACGAATATTTATTGTGCGATAGTGAATCGTCAAACCTGAAATAATGCTGACGCTATTTTTGATCAGTGCGTAATTCAAGTAAATGTCTCCACAAGTTCGGCGATCAACGTTCTCGCCGTTAATCATATTCGTTGGGATAACGTAAAATCTTTATTTTACGACTGCTTCTTCGTGTTTACATCTTGTTTAAATCCGTCATTATTCGACAATAATTAAGTGATTTGGCACATATTTATCTTGGCACGAGTGCAAGTAAAAATTAAAAGGAAATGCAACAGCTTACTGCGAGAACTACTCGACGTATGATTTATTTACGACAAACTAAAATATTATATGCAGTCAAGTGTCGAGTTATTCTTAATTTTTTTACTTTGGACAATTTTTTATTATATTTTTGATAATTTTGATTGGTTCTTTCAATTTTAAGAACATCACAATGCTAATAAAGTTTAAAAAAATCTTGAGGTCTTCAGGAAGGACGTCACAATATGTAATTCTTATTGGGTTGGGTCTCGTTAATTAACGTCGCGTCATTGTTCAAGTAAAAGAGGTGTGTAAGGTAAATTGTTAATGACGCATTATACATATATCAATAACTGATGTATTTATTATGAAAGAGTGAATTATTAAATAATTCTACTTGAAACAAATAATTTCGTATATGATTCGGCATTGGCATGTTAGCTCATCGACGCTTCACCGGTATACTAACTGATTCTTTAGTCCGACGTCACAAGTATTGTGCGGTCTTATTGCTTGACCGGATGTTTGGCTACAACCCATACTCGTCGCCACCTGTTTACAGCAGTCATAGATCATCGCTTAGGGATTTATTACCAGCTTTCGTTTAATCGTTAGTCGCATAACGTAATATTAATTCTAAACACTGCTATGATTCACTTCTTTCAAAATAGTGCTTTCGCACGTCCTCAGGTGTATTGTACAAACAATAATACGAAGTGGATTGCACGTATAGCGTGTGTATAGACACTTAACTTGTGTGGGGGAAAATCGCACAATGAACGTTTGCTCGTAAAACTAGCTGATTATCTTTGTGTGAAATGCACTGATATGCCTATGAAAATTTCAAAGGAAAAGAAAAACTAGCTGTAGTACGTCACGGAATTTCGGTTATTGCAACAATTCTATTTCAACATGTTTTTTACAAAAACTTTTTTTAACCATTTCTGTTTGTTTAAAAAGAAAACTGGCGACTTTCCACATATTTAAACGGTACCTCACATGTTTGCAAAGCGCATTGGATTAATGAAACTTTCATTTATGGTTTCAAGATAAGATTACAACACGTGTAGTATGTACGTTTAAAGCACATGAGAGCATTTCAAATTACAGTTTTTTTCTGCCCAAACATTATAAACACACATTACTGACACGCAGCACTTATTTATATAAGAAATAATCAATAGGTTCCTGATATACATTTGAATTTGGTATAAAATTACAACAAAGCCGTAATCTAAACGACTATTCAACTAAATTATTTTTGCAAAGAAATGACGATTGCGCAATAACTCTAATGCATGCGACTTTTATGAACAGTGAGTTGGGCATGAAAAAGAAGAAAGAAAAAAAACTGTGATATATTATATAGTTGCCTTTTCAGCTGATGGCGAAATTTTGGAGTAGCGCTTTCGCACTCGCAAGTAATTCGACGTTAATAGTGACCGCAGTAGAGATTAGTTGAGAGATTGCTAACCGCAATGCTTTAGAGCGTGCCAGGTCTGGGCGACTGGTTCGAGCGCCCCGTATCGGCCAAGCGTCGAACTGGACGCACGTTCCCCTCTCAGCTATGGAAGGGGTATACAAACGTGCGTCTTTCGAGTGAGGGGAACGTGCGTCTGGTTACAGCTGACTAAAAAGGGCGGAGCAACGGTGTGCGCTTACTCGCTCGCTCGGAAGCATTTTAGACTTTCGAGCCCCGCTCGAGTTTACGCTTAGCTTTATAGTAAAATTATCGATAATTATGTTGATTTCAGATCAATGCCGGAATAATGAAGCAATTTACTATTGGCTAAGCACAAGTATTTAATCTTAAAACCCTATGATCCTTTATGAACATATGTAACTTTCATGATTAAAATACTTAATGTGCCAATAGCCGATATAGCTAAAGCGCACGCTTTATGCTTTCGTTTTCCCTACCGCGGGTTCGATTCCCGTTCGATTCAGTTTTTTTTTCATTTCAATCATATATCTTCATTTGATCTCTTCTTTTACTTTTTTATGATTGTAACATATTGAAATTTAGCATAAATTTTATGTATTTATTTTTATACATATAACAGTAATAAATATATTTCTTATATTACGTTTACTAATAATAGCATGTTTTTTATATATTTTTCTAAATTGTTCCGCTTTTAGTAAATGACGTATACATTTTTTTTAATTGGACTCTATCAACTATATATCGATCTACATATTATAACTCATTACGCGCGTATATTCACCAACTTAATTCGGAAATGAAGTCAATAGTGCGTGCTACCGGATAATACCTGAGTTAAATTTAAAGGGCACCGCCCTTTTTAGTCAGCTGTAGCCAGACGCACGTTCCCCTCACTCGAAAGACGCACGTTTGTATACCCCTTCCATAGCTGAGAGGGGAACGTGCGTCCAGTTCGACGCTTGGCCGATACGGGGCGCTCGAACCAGTCGCCCAGACCTGGCACGCTCTAAAGCATTGCGGTTAGCAATCTCTCAACTAATCTCTACTCTGACCACAGTACGTTAGTGACGAGCTCGGCGTCGCGGCTGACGATGTGACGATAATCTGCTCTGTCAAGCGCACGTCGTGCGATACGACACGGTCTAGCTGCAAATTCATGCTTCAGGTAAAGTGAGAGAGAAAGAGAGGGAGAGAGAGAAAAAAATAGAGAGCGAGAGAGATGTACTGAGCGCTCACAGATTGGAGGGAGAGCCATTGCGAGCGTTGCATGTGCGCGGTGCGACAGAGCAAAGTTGCGGTGGGAAATCGGGTCTACTCGTCGGCTCGCCGCGCGGCAAGCAAGAAGCAAAGCTCTACTAGCAAAAAGAGGCCGTCAGCTGCCGTCAGTCACACTCGAGATTTCTCGTGATCGGGTTGCTACTGCTGTTTGAGTGATTGACTCCTCGAGTTTTCTCGTGCTCGCCTCAAATCAAGGGATGTCGACTGGCTGTGTGAGGATGCAGGCCAACGGGGATAGTTGTGAGCCCGGCCAAAGGAAGAAGTTACATACTCAGACGGAGGCCAAGGTCATGGTCGTGCTTGGTGCTCAATGGGGTGACGAGGGCAAGGGTAAAGTCGTCGACATGCTTGCCACTAATGTCGATGTCGTCTGCAGATGTCAGGTAGGAATCAAACGGATATCACCTATACGTGTATCAATGATGGTGTATCCAATACACACGCACTGTCTCGCCCTCGCTTACGGCGTTGTGCTACCTCACCATTTTCATAGACTGGCGCGCACTCGCGACATACACACGGCTGCTATTTATACCCCCTTCGCTTCGCGAGTTAGGCACCAACTGCGCACGTGTTGACGTCGAGACGGCGGCGATGGCCGAGGTCTCGTGCAAGACCTTCACCGTGCAGAGGCTCAACTATGTCAATTGTACTTTTTTCTGTTTCTGCATTGAAAATCATTTAATAGACCTACCGCAGATTAGCCATTTGCACTATATCTTTGATATTTAGCATGATTCTCTTGTCACCGTTCTTTTCAGCTGACTTCGTTATAAAATAGCTACTTTATGAGTTATTACGGCATAAACAATCACGAGAATGAGATAAGATAAACTACCTCTGTCCTTACTACTTTGTTTCATTTTTTATTTCCTTCATATCGTCGTGGAGCGTCATTTTGATTGCCGTCTTCCCGCCCCCTTCTTTTTTCGTGCATTATATACTTACAGAACATCCATCATCAGTCAAATTTCGTCATTGTCGTACTTCTGTGAATTAACGCATCAATCGTAGTTTAATGAAATTTTGAGCTGTATTTTATTATAGGACTTGTAAACCAATTATTTATTTCAACAATCTAGAGATAATTTTGTTGTTAAAAGTTTTGATATTAGGTAAATCTTGTGATCTTGTACTTGGTGTGATGTAATCTTATTTGACATATACATTTGTAGACATAAATGTACAGCTATTTGTGTCTATATGTGTGGTGTATGATTTAGTAGCAAGATGCCTGATGCCCTGTTCACATTGCCAAATAATTATTAACAATTGCTTTAATGTATGGGTCTAAATAATTATGATAAACTGATAAGTATTTTTGATGGCACTACTGTGTTTGGCCAACCATCTAAATGAATTCATCATTCATAAAATTAAACTCAACAGCCATGCTAAATAGAGCGAAGAAATTTTATGTCAATATGGAGTTCATTGTTTCTATGATTCATTTTATTAGTTAACCCTTTGGTCCATTTAATTTTAATTATTTCTTTTCAATTAATAATATTTAAATAAAATTTCAAACTCATCTATTAATTGTTTCTTTAAATATTTGAAAAAGTTTGAATGACAAAATTTTTGCACAATTCATTACTTTTTATAAGTTAACATTTTTAAACTTTTTGTTCTTAACTTATTATTTTCTAAATATTTTTTATTTTTAACTGATGAAAATCCAGGTTGGGATATTACAATTAATACAAAGGGTTAATTATTTTTTGGGTAAAAATTGATAACTCTCAAAGATTCTATGAATCTTTCGGTTCAAATATTACTGTAATTTCACAGGGAGGAAGTAATGCAGGTCATACGGTAGTTGTAGATGGTGCCGAATACCACTTCCACCTTCTACCTAGTGGAATAATCAATCCCAGATGTAAATCCGTTATAGGTAATGATTAATTTAAATCGACAGAAATTTAAATACTGTGCTATGGTATTTGGTGAATAGAATTTCATAAGTCTATTCACATGAAAATAATAATAATAATTTTATTTTGTTTATACATTAGATATTTTTAATATTCCAAAACTATATTAATTATAGAATCTATACTATATTAATTATAGATAATACTATATTAATTATAGACTAGAACTATATTAATTATAGAAACATAAAAATTATAGAATCTCTTAGTGGAAACTTGATTGAATTACAATTACAACTTATATTTTATGCTCTGCTTTGTAAAATTTTATTTAGGATCTTGTTAGGTCATATCTAAATATAAACTTCAATGTACATTGTAGATTCAAGGCTGATTACTTGAGTAGTATGGAAAGTATTCCAACTACTTTATTTTGACAAGTTCTTCAATTGTATAATCTAACATAATCAGCTTATTTCAATAACTTCTTATTGATAAGTGCTTATTTTTGACAGAAGTTTCATCAGTTGTTGAAATATGATTCACAAAAAGTTTTTGTTCATCAATTGTAAATAAGTAAACTACCCATTGATATCAAACTGACTTCAATAAAACATTATTATATTACATGGTTTTTGTATAAAAAAGTGTAGTTCATTTATCAAGCCTTAGTTTGTAACTATGTAAGTTGCCATAAAAACTATATAATTTCACTCTGAAATAACACTGCAACTATTGATCCATTGATATTATTAAGTTTTATTGCTCTGGGAGTAAATTGTCATAATTGCCTCTTTAACCTTGTGATATTAAAATTTTATTGATATAACAAAGCAGACCAAGTACTGCTTGATACTGGAGCCATTTCAACTGGTTAGCACATTTTACAAGACTCCTCTTATATCATCATCTTTAAAGCAGACTTTTATCTGTTTCTAGGCAATGGAGTGGTCATCCATTTACCAGGTTTATTTGAAGAATTGGAGGAAAATGAGGCTCAAGGACTCGTAGGTTGGAAAGACCGGCTGATCATTTCTGACCGTGCCCATATTGTATTTGATTTTCATCAGCAAGTTGATCAACTCCAAGAAATGGAAAAAGGAAGCAAATCACTTGGTACAACCAAGAAAGGTATAGGTCCAGCTTATGCAAGCAAAGCTGCTAGAACTGGAATTAGAATAAGTGATCTTGTTGGAGATTATGATAAATTCTCCGAGAAGTTTACTACCCTTGTAACATCCCATCAGAAAGTTTTCCCTGCTTTGAAAGTAGACATAAATTCCGAGTTAGAACGCTACAAAGGGTTTGTATTTTTATTTTTGTATTTCCAATTCGCAACAGGGTTTAAATGTTTCATTATAATTTTTTCCAATCACAGGTATGCAGAACGCGTCAGACCTTTCGTGAAAGAAACAGTTCACTATTTATATCAGGCAGTGAAAGAAGGAAAGAAAGTCTTGGTTGAGGGTGCTAACGCTGCTCTGTTAGATATAGATTTCGGAACGTATCCGTACGTTACTAGCTCGAATTGCAGTATCGGTGGAGTTTGCACTGGTCTAGGAATTCCGCCTACTGTTATTGGAGATATTGTGGCGGTAGTCAAAGCTTACACTACTCGGGTAGGTGATGGCCCATTTCCGACTGAGCTGTTAGATGCCACCGGAGATATCTTGCAAAAACGTGGTGCTGAGTTCGGTGTCACGACAAAGAGAAAAAGGCGTTGCGGCTGGCTCGATTTAGCTCTATTAAAATTCACAGCAATGGTTAATGGGTGGGTAGAATTTATATTAAAACTCGATAAAATTAGATTGCATGCTATGTAAATTTGTTTAAATTATCACTTATAAAAATATTTTATAGAGTATAGTCTTACATTTTCGTACTCTATGAAAATTATAACAGGTATGTGTTTTTAACATATCTGTTACAATCTGTCATATAAACTGCATTAATTTTCAATAATGAGGAATAATACAGCACATGAGTCAGTTAATCTACAACTTGATAATTGCTGTTGATATACTGATAAAACATGATTCTGTTTCACAACATTATTTTTGCTGATATTGCAGATATAATCTTGTGAATTATATACATACATTTGATCAAGTTAATCTGAAACTTTAATACTAGAATTGATTACCTTGAAAGGAGAAAAATATAAGTTTGACAAGTTTATAACTGGGATTAATTTGGCAAGATTTATATAAAACAATGATTTTTTTACATTTTAGTTACACATCAATCTGTGTGACAAAACTTGACATCTTGGATACATTGCCAAAAATTAAAGTTTGCATCGGATATCGCCTGAATGGAAAAGAAATAGACTACTTTCCCAGTAGCAGTTCAGATTTAGCCAAAGTAGAACCAATTTATCAAGAATTCGAAGGATGGCAGACTAGTACAGAAGGAGTTCGCTCTTTTAATAATTTACCCTCGAGTGCTAAAAAATACATACAAACATTGGAAGAGTATTTAGATATACCAGGTAAGGGCTATTTGCTAAAGTACTCTAATGTGTTAGGTGAATAAATGTTTTAATAATCTTTCTAAGTTAAAAATATTACATTATGATGCTTTTGTTTAAAGAGCCGTTTATTATAGAGTTACATAACTTATAATAAAATTTTCAAACATCTTATATCTTATAATTATTTTGTTTTTATTGTTACAGTAAAGTGGGTAGGCGTGGGCGCCGGTAGAGAAAGTATTATCGCTATCTGACATTCATCATGTAAAGAGTGACAATACTGCACCAGTTCTATTGTATTATTACAGATAATTGTTAAAATATTGTTCACAATGTGGAGCTGATGCGCACACGATGTAAGAAATTTTCAACAGCGTTACTTAAGAATGAAGGCTGATCACAAGCCAGTCTGGAAACAGTTTGAAAACGTGCTTGAAAATGTATGACGTCGAGTGATACGCTTCGTTCCCCTACAGGTTCTATAGGATAAGATTTTATTGTCCAAGGATTTTTTTTATTATAATTGCGGTCAACTATTGTTTAATTATTTGAGTGCAGATTTTCAGTTATCACTAACTTGAATTTCGTAACGGTGGTGATGATATTGTCATTAATGTCCATTGAAATTGTTACGGTTCAGAGCATTAACTCATTTACATGATCGTAAATGCCAATCAACATAAGTTCATCAATTTTTTACAGTTAACTTCTATTTTTTTGTGTCTGCGTAAACGTTTGACATTCTTTTTGTTTCCTGGCGCGTCGACTTTAAAATCAAATTTTTATCTGGAATAAAACGAATTGGTCGAAATCAGAAAAAGTATAATTGTATAGAAATAGAATTTGAATTAATTGTGCATAGAAATAGAATTTGAATTAATTGTGCATAGAAATAGAATTGAAGAAGGATGAATTGAAAAACACGAAATTAAATATAATAATTCGTACGTGACAAATGTAATTGTGAACATATACATTTTTTCGAACTTTTCTAAGAATCTCGTTTTTTGCCAAGAGATTTGACCATTTTTTCCAAAGCTAAAATACTGTATTCTATATTTTTCTGCGATTATATTTGAATGTTTCATTCAAATAAAAATTCTTAAATAAAACGATAACCACCTTTTCTATTTAATATCTAATAAAAAGAAAAAACACGAACCTACTCTACTTTAAGGAAGTTGTAATACCTCTGATAAGTACGTGACATTTTTATGGATCAGCTCAAGTTTGCTAAAATTCAAACATATCAAGTAATAAAGTAAATATTGTACAATAAAGCGTAGATTATTGTACAATAATGCTTGGGGTGTTGTATTTAAAGTACTGGAAAACAGTGCGCAAGCGGAAGGATCACGCGTACTACTTGAAGTATTATATATTATCGATACCAAATGATACTCTCTCGTCACCAGCGTTGGTCGGCGACCCGATGCTCAATGTTGCAATCAATCTTGGGTATGTTCCGTATCCAACAAGTAATGTTGGAAACCAGTTTAACGGATCAGTGATCTAGAATGTCGATGAATTAATGTGAAGCGATGTAAGGGGATTGTTATTGAAATCTACGAGCCGCAAGAATTAATCGATACGTGTTTTAACAAGGACGTTTGTTCCCTTCCTTCGCATCTCGAGTTTTTGCATCGTGCCTCGCTTTCCTCTAAGTACTTGTACGACGACGAAGAAGCAATTACTCGAATCTCCGACAGCGTGATTCTAGCGAGTGTAAATTATCATTGCGTCGCAACATTACACGACAGTTCTTAAGTCTTTGTACTTTTAAGGGGCATGACAATTCAAAAAATAAAAACTCTAAAGCTTTTTTCCTCATTGATTCCCATCGGGTGTAGTGTGTGTTATGAGTTGAATATTTTTATTAGTTGGTATTTATTTTATACGTGAATCAAACGTGTCAAATAAATATTTCAAATTATTTTTTACGTAACAAGAAAAGAATCGGTTTTTATTGCATTCGATGAGATTTTTTTTTCACAGCATTGGAACGGTTCAACCGATTTCAATAAGGTCAGCTCATTTGAAAGAGTGTACTTTCGAGATGGTTCCGTTTCATTATTAACTTGATTAAAGCATAACTTTGCAAGTGATCGCAGAAAAGGAAATTGAAAGTCAGCTTTTTCTTTTTTTTACATTAATCCCGTTTCAAATGCAATTGCTCTATAGAAAGCTTCGACGGTGGACAAATGTTGAAAGGCTGTTTGTTTCCAATTTTTTTTTAACTGATCGCCAAAAGCTCATTCCTATTTACGGAATGAATTGCATTTCACTTTACCCTGCGTTCCCTTTACAAGATAATAACGATTAGATTTGTAGAACGTAATAATTTAAAGGATATTCTTAAAATGAAAGCGCATAGAGTGACTTCGAAAGAACGGCAATGTGCACTTGAGATGAAATGAGCATTGAAAGACATCGGATATTTAAAAAAAAAAGAGATTGTCCAGAGAGCTTTCAAGATTTTTTAGAATCGGCAGCTCTCCGACGAAGAAAATACTCTTGCTTTGTAACCTTGCGATAGCGAATACCGTTTAGAGCGTGGAGTGATAGGAATAATCATATGTAGGTGTTTTTAATATATAATTAGAACAACATTTCATTTAATGACTTCAAACTTACACTGCACATTTTGAGCCCTGCTGTAATGGTTTATAATACCAATAGTTTAATACTTTGGTAATTAAAATTGTCCACTAAAATTTATTATTTTTACGGGGTTGATGTAAGCACGGATATCGTCACGAATATCGGGAGAAAAAACAGTGGAAATCATCCGATCGAGGTCCAGCTGTGGGATGACGTAACGTATGCTTCGCTAATTGTGTGAGGCTAATTACGTTCACGTGACATTAAGCTTATTTATTTTAATTATAAGTTAGGTGGTTTCTGTTGACAAGCAACACTCAAAGTAGCAATGCTAATGCTAATGCTGTGCACGAGCATAAAATAATCCGAGTTCGATTAAGTCGGTGCCTGTACGAATGACAAGAGAAAAATTTGCAAGTTTCGTTTGTTTGTTTGAATTTATTTGTTGTTTATTCGAATGGAGAAATAGAGATCGTAAAACTTGTCTATTCGCGTTTATGTGCATTACTACACGTAGAAATCTATATAATCTGCACTGCGGGTGCACCGTGCTCGCGCTTGCCACGTTTCTCACGGCTTGGAGGACATTCGTCGGTTTCTTTGGGCCCTCGAGGATAATCAAGTGCGGACGATTAAGCGAAATGCGTACCGAGATAGATTCGGTGCAGCCGAACAGAGGCATCCGAGCTCGTAGGGTAGTCGCGCGCGCGCATAAGCGATCTTCTCTCCTTTTCGAATTAATAAAAAGCGCACGCGATTAATTGTCATTCCAATTGCATGCATTTAACACGTACACATCTATCTTCACAGATTGAGCAACGACAAGAAAGAATTACTCTCAATTCGTTAGAACAAGTATATTGTAATTATATGGAGTCGTGGTATAATACTAAATAGATTTTATTTGGAATGAAATTTGTTCTTGAATTTACGTATTTTTATTGAGACTATATACAAAAATCAGGAATCTATGATAAACGCGTATTCTTCACTCCAATTGCACAATTTTTCAATAATGAACGACAATATGGAAAATATGAGTCGACCAATCGATAGCTTGATGACTGCCGCCGGAACGCTGATAAAACATTATCGGTCTTGTTTTGCAACTTTTTTGCTTACGCTGACTGTAATTTCGCAGATGTACTTATATTTATACATTTGATTGAGTACAATTCTGAATAGCTGTGATACTAAACCGGATTGTCTTCCGAAAGATAAAAGTAGTAGTTTGACAAATTTTCAATGGCCTGCGTTCATTTGATAAGATAATTAGGACAAAAAACGATGGTTTTTTTTCACATTCCAGTCACTCGACAATGTGTGACGAAACTTGACATTCCCGATGACATCCCGATGACTTATAGAAATTCCGCTGACTGTTGGGTATTTTTTTTTACATTTTAGTCATACAAATTGAGCATAATTGCCATAGCAATATATTGCTACAACTGAATAATATTATCTTTTCGGGAAGGAGAAAACGGTCTGGACATGCTTATAAATGTTTATGTCTCCATCATTGAATTTGTTGTTTACTATTGATTTTTGGGGTTTTGAGTGTTTTATTTTGTTTCTTTTAGAAATAAAATAATACGAAAAATAGAATAACCCTTTAAATCCTCAGACTCAATCCTTAAACACCCTTTGTGGTGAAAGAGGTTGTTTTGAAAAAAGTATCCATGGAATATTATGTATATAGTAATAATAACTGCAAAATATCAATAATTCATTAATGTTAAACGAAGGATGTGGGATTTGATGATGCATACAGAAAGCGAATATTTATAACATAATATTTCTTAGTTTTGTAGGTCAAAAAGCGGCAATGGTGAAGCTGATCTATGGGCCGTTAGACTATAATGTAAAAAAGAGCGAGAAAGAAATTCGACTGTGATATAGAAGTATTCGAACCCAATCAGAAACGGCTCCACTAGCTGTAGATTGCCGCGGTCCAACTATAATCGGGAAAGCGTCGCTGAAAAAGGGAAATTCAAACGATTCAATTTTCGCTTGAATTTCGCAGAGGTAGGCTGGTTATATCCCTCCTGAATAACATTACGAGTAAAATTGCAAAATTTTCGTAAAGTGCGCGTTGCACTGTTATTTTCCGAATAATCAACTTGAGTGATCAACTCAACATCGTCCCTTATTTCTACTCACTATATCCTAAACAGCAAGAATAAAAGAAAGGAACAAGTAATAAATGCTATGAAATTGTATGCGATGTGTTAAAAATATAAATTATTTATTAACATCATAAAAGGCATTTTAAGTGTCAAGTTATGTAAAATGTACAATAATATATTGGCACATCTTAAATCTAACAATTATTTCGCTTATCGTTACAGTTAAGTATAGGTAGGCGAGAGGCCGGTAGAGAATGTAAGTATTATGCTATCTGATATTCAACGCGGAAAGAGGATACTGTTAATTGTTACTGTAATTGTTAGGACACAATATGGAGCTGAGTAAGGAATTCACAACAGCATCACTTAATCATTAGACGCTGCACCTTAAAGTAAAGTTGCTTTTTAATATTGTTTTTTTTTTCAATATTTATAACATAATATTTATCCATAATTGTTAGTTTAGATCGTCGAAAGCTTCAAATATACTAGAAAATATTTTCAATCTATAGATTAATAGTTAGAGGCCTGCAGTCGCTCGGTCGGCAGGGCGACGGACTCGCACCCGGTAGGCTCGGGTTCAATTCCTAGTCCCTGCTGATTGATACAAGCACCAATGAAAAAAAAGTTTCATGTGCTTTGTTCTCAAACACATTGCAAGCCTCCGTTGCTGATTAGTACTGATAGAGCATAAATAGAGCGACGTTAAAAAAAGATTAATAGTTAAAGAAGTTATTGACGATTTTTTAAAGTAGGAAGTCTAACTCTTTCCTGATTTGCCACTACCGCCTGAACGGCATTGCGTCCCCGTGTAAGAGCACCTTTAAGAAGTGCGTTATGACGCTTATTGGCACAGCGCTGGGATCGAAGAAAACAGCCACGGTAGCAGTCCAAATCCATTATGGTGTAGTTACTAACTCATTCACACGGTTGTATACGCCGACCAATATAAGTCTACAAATGCTTTACAACTAACTTTTACCCGAATGCGTCTGCGTAAACATTTGAGATTCCCTTCGTTCTCTGGCACGTCGATTTTGAAACCAAATTTTTATCTGAAACAAAACAAATTGGTCGAAATCAGGAAACAACATAGTGAAGTGAAACAGGCCAAGTTAAATATAATGATTCGTACGTGGCAAATATGTAATTGTGATATATGGTACACATCTTTTTTCAAACTCGTTCTAAGAAACTGGTGCTTTTTGTCAGAAGATCTGAACAATTTATTTTTTCAAAACTAAACTTCTGTATTCTACATTCTGCCGCTTGTATTTATTGTCTGGCAGAAAGAAAAAAAATATGAACTTACTCTACGTTGAGGAAGTTGCAATACTTCTGATAAGTACATGACATCTTTGCGGGACAGATAAGCGCTGCTTTGGTACTTCTCTTCCATTGCATCCAATTGGTATTTGGTGAATGGTATTCGTGGGTATCTTCCTGGGGTCCTTTTTAAATTTTTATCGACAGGCGGTCTGCGTGGTATTTTCGGTGGGTGATATCTCGTACATCGCAACCACGAGAGCTCTTCGTTGATTTGTGCAGGACCCATGTCGCAAGCACGATTGACTATTTCCACACTAAAAAAATCGTTTTATCCTATAGACTATATCAAGCGTAATTTGTAAAATATTTATGTACGGGACGTAATATTGCTGCCAGCTGGAAAACCTCATTGCTTCTTTGATTCTTTTTTAGAAAACTGCTGTACGAATGCTCAAAAACTGATTAGTTGAACTTTAGTAAGAAATGGCTCTTTATAACACAGTTCTTTACAATAAGGGGTTAGGCATCTTTTCATTGATTTTTAGGTTTCGACAGGATTAACTCGGCTGGAGACTTTGGGGGTTCCACGAGTTTTCCACGTCAATTAGAGCTCAGCAGTTCTAAATGTGCTCGACAGATTTGCACAAGTTAATTAAATTTACTCGTTTATTAAAATATGATTTTTCTATATTATTCGAACTTTTACAAAAGTATTCCCAAAAATATTGTTTTATCGTCCACCTCTGGATTCTATTTAATAAGTCACGGATTTGTTATTTATTGCATTTTTTCGTTCTATTTTTATAATTCGTCTATATGATAGTGGCATTATTCTGGTATCTATATTAGCACTTGAATTTTTTCACATATTTTCTCTTACATTCGGCCATTATGAAGTTTCATCAATGTATAAATGTTTTTATGTTATATTTTTAAAGTGTTCCGAAATGAAACAGCCCAATATTTAAATTAAAACTTGAATTTTATTCTACATTCCAATTTTATTGAAATCATCTATTAAAAATAATAATTTTCTAAATCTCTGCTTGAAAATTAAACATTTTTGTTAATAAAATGCGGTTGTTTCATAGTTCCCCGACGATCACCGACATGACTTTGTATTTACCGATTTCGAAATCAGGAGTACATCACGGGAAAAGTAAAGATGGTCATCGTTTGTATTTTCCACTTGAAATTTTTTTGCGCCCAGATCAAGAGATAACGATTTGGTAAAAGTTCATCAGAAGCTTGTGCGGGTAGCTCGATAAGAATTGTCAATTTACGCTTGAGAGGAACGTGGGTTGGGTTGCGATGGAGTGCAACGAAGAGTGAAGGCGACGCGACGGAAGAAGGAAGCAATTCCTGCAACGTTTGTTGGTAAACAACGCAACCAACCTGTCCTTTGGAGTTTGGTGGGCGTCCGGCCGATCGGTTTCGGACTCGGACTCGTTGGTCTGGCACGCGCAGTCGTTCCTCGGCCGGTTGACTTTGCCGTTAGCGACGCAAGCCGAGGAGCAGGGTGGCGCGCCGGCGGAGCTGGCGGCGGTGTCTTTGGCGAGTATCCGCTCGATACTGAAATCGCTGACGAGGCCTCGTCTGTGCGTGTGGCTCATCTCGCGGCTCGTAACGGACTGCACGGGACAGAGGATCCGTCCCTGGATGCCGGGCCGACTCGCGCCAGTGTATCCATTTCGGCAAATCCAAATTAGCCGCATAGTTGCACATCGTTGCGATGGCTATCGCTTTTCGTTTTGCGCGCGCCCCTTTGTCGCGCTGCTGCCGGTCGCCGCTTGTAAATGCTCTTCTGCCAGCGCATTGTTATCTGCCGACCGCATCTCTCGCCCCGCCCAATAACAACAATGTAATTGATATGCCCAGGCGAACGAAGAAGAGCGCCAGGGGCAGATGCGATGGGCGCGCAGCCAGTGCAACCGAGCCTGCCTAATCGAAAAGCCACGGGGGTCAAAAACGCGAAAGCATCCACGGCTTAATCCGCTAATACTCTCCTCTCTCCGACGTAAATATTGAGAGGCCGCGCGGCTCGGATCGGGATACACGTTCCGCGCCACGTGGGTCCTCTATCCGCTCTTCTTTTATTGGGAATGTCGCGAGCTGCCACTAGCAGCCCCGTCGCTTCCCTTGTTCCGCGTGCGGCTTGCACGCGCCTTTTCGCATTAGCTTTTCCTCGGGTCTGTGCGCGAGCGCCTTTTCGCTGCGCTAATGTTTCAATCTTTGCGTTATGCCGCTGCAACTTTTCGCTCGATCGCTTATTATCCCATTGCCGCAGGCTATACAGCCTTGTCAAATGCAGCGCGTTTCGTCATATTTCCATTTTTATCAAATAATTGTTTTATAACTGCAGTATAATTATTTGATGATGTTGAATAGCCCATGCAGATAGTCATTAAATTAGACCGCAAAACATTTTCCGGTCTTTTTTTATACGAATGAGCGATCAAAAAAGATACTTATCTTATCTCTTTTGTACCGTTTGCTTGTCTGAATGATCTCAGCATTGGTAACTGCAAGGAAGGGGCACCCTTGTAGGTTATGTTTTTGTTTTACAATACCCACTTCAGTTTAGGGCAGAGGATTGTTTAGGGCGGTTCGCTGCGTGTAGAAGTTGTATGTACAAGTTCAATACGAAATTGATGTGACAAGATTACAGTCGTTAAACAAGGTACTTGAAAGCTCTTTATTACTTTTACTTTCATATTAAAGTCATCAAATATTAAACTAGCGAAATTTCACATTATAAAATCATAACAAATTTTCGTTAACTTTTGATAAAGTTTGAATTAAATAACAGTTACGATGATATAAACTTTATATTTATTTATGAAATACACTCAATCAGATGAGTTCATAACGTACGAGTAATTGTAACATATATTTTTTTTAAATTGACTTCATTTGGATATGTAACAGGTTAGGTGAGTTATAAACACACTCTAATGTGTGAGATTATAAATACTATAATTGAAAAACATGTTGGCAGTTATAGAATAATCACACTGAACACAATTAAAATGGAAATTCTGGATGTTTGTTAATCCCTGGTAAAAAAGTAAAATCACAGATACGACCTTTATTTCCCTGATCCAAAGCATTCAGTAATGTTACGTCTTCAGAATCTAATTTCCAATCAAACAGTTGGATATTATCCTTGATACGCTGTGGATTTGTACTCTTAGGGATCACAACAATTCCTTTTTGGATAATATGTTTCAAAGCAATTTGAGCTGGTGTTTTACCATGTTTTTGTGCTATTTGTAAGACAGATTTATTTGCTAACAAGTTTGGCAGTGTTTCAGTTTTACCTATGAGCTTCACAAGGCCTCTAGTACCAAGTGGTGAGTATGCAGTTATAGGAATACCTTTGTTTTTGCAATATTCAATCTGAAATAAAAGTATTTTTTACATAATTTCTAAAAAAATACTAGTAAGTGATTATTGAACAATATTTCTGACTCAGCATGAATCTAATAAAATTAAGAAGCATACCATTTCATTTTGTTGGAAATATAAATGCAATTCAATTTGTAACATTGAAACTGGAACTTTAGCTGCACTGAGAATTCTGTCAACTTGCTTGGTATTGAAATTTGATAATCCAATGGCTTTTGTTAATCCATTAACCACTTGCTTTTCCATCTCTGTCCATACAGCAAGAATATCAGTGCTTGGATCAATTTTTATATGACCATTTTCATCTTTTGGATGTAAATTATCCCCTTCTTCAATGAATGAAAATGGAGTATGAACTAAGTAAAGGTCCAAATAGTCTAATTGTAGATCTTTTAAAGACTTTTTCAAAGATTTTTCTACACCTTCAGGACGATTTCCGGTTGGAGGCAGCTTAAAAATCAAAATAAACGCTCTATATCTCAAATTAATCAACGAAACAAATTAATTAACGAAAATTCGACAATTTTCGAAGCAAATAACCTTTGTTACTATAAACAGATCATCTCTTTTGAGTTTTCCAGAATCCAACCATTTTTTCAAAACTTTTCCAATAACGTGTTCGTTTAAATAAACAGGTGCTGTATCAATATGTCTGTAACCAGATTCCAAAGCATTGTCTAAAGCCGCTTCGAGTTCTTCGTCGGATGCCTAAAATCACACAATATTATGATTAAATAATTCACTAAGCTGGCATTCTTATTATTATTATTATTATTATTATTATTATCATCATCATCATCATCGCTATCATTATCATTATCATTATCATTATCATTATTATTACTTCAAAAATGACGTTTATATAGAACGCTACAGAGGCACAATAGGCACCTGTAGGTATATATTGGTTATAATTATTAAATTTTGTAGAAATAAATAATTAACTGTCGCCCCTTCATTAATTATACTAATGGTACACTATTTCAAATTAAAAAACATTCATTCATTTTTTAGGTGACATTTAAAAAAACATTTTTTTTTGTGTTTATGCAAAACAATACTTGCAAAACCTTGCTTTAGAAATAATGGTTTTTTATCGTATTGTCTGTATTTACACGTTCATAAAAAAATCGATCAACTAGAGTTCTTACTGATAAAAAAAGTGCTTAACCTAATTTGAACGTAATAAATGATAAAAGGTAGATATGTGAAATTTTGTGAAAACTTTGTTGATTTATAATTACCTGAATATTTATATTATAGTACAAATAATAGTTTTAACATTGAAAATATTTTAGTAATCATTTTGCTCTCGAAATTCTCTTTTGGTTATTAAGAAATGTAAGTTTTAGTATAGAAATTGTTTGCTAATCGATTTGATTGGAAGTATTTTTATTTTAAACATTTATGCAATAGCAAAAAAAAGCGAATTAAAAATTCTCTTATTAAAAACATTTTAAATTTTGAATATGTTTTTTCTTAAGTAAATTCATATATATATATATATATATATATATATATATATATATATAGAAAATATTTCTATCCGTTCTATAAAATTAACGATAAAATAATAACGATAAAAATATTTTAAAAGAAAAACAAAATTTGACACGTTCGTCTTTCTAAACAAAATTGATACGTTTGATATAACTTCAATACCTTGATAAGGTGAAATATAATTCAACAAATAAAGGTATCTTATAATTTAAATTTTGTCGAAAATTGTAATAAAAAGTGTAAATACATAAATTGATAGGTATTTAGAAGCAGAATCTATATTCTTCACGGTAGCTCGGTCTTGATGAAATTTTGATTATACGTTTTTTAATAAAAAATTATAATACCCGTATATTGTGCCTCTTGGGTTTCCGGCGGTTTCGAAGGATCATACGGACCTTACGCTTAATTTATTAGAAAATCAAATCCTTTCAAGCAAAAGATTTCTCGAAATGATTCCTTTCCATTCTAAAATTATATAAATTCGATTGTTTTTATTCGAGATAATTGAAAACAATCTATGTAAATGTAGATATATGAAAAGTACTGTAATTTATTATGAATATTTTTGTGACAATAGAACGCGTGAGTGGATGCCGATAAAAATAAATTGTTTTATGGAAAAATTTGATATGAATGTTCTGTCGGAAACACTAAAATAACGGGAGGCTTTCGAGACTTTCGATTTTTGAATATATTGAAAATAGGACCTCCAAAACCGGAACTATGAGAAATATTTATTTTTAATGAAGAATATTTTCTCTGAGTTATCGAAATCGAGCTTCAAGATCATGTGTATTCTCCTGCCAGTAAATCGATTACCGTTTCGTATTAAAATCTCAATGACGTCGAGCTACAATAATAAATCCGAGATCTTTATAAATCCATTTTCCACTCGACTTCGTGTTATTGTAAAAATTCTTAAGGTGCGTTTAAGGTTTTTCAGATTCATTCATATGCAAATAAAAAGTCATAAAACGTTTGAATTTGAATTTATTCAATGAATTAGTTTTCGTTGGTCAAACTGGAATCGATAACTAACTGAAAAACATTGAAAAATCTTGGTTGCATTCATTCTATATTAAAGTGCAGAGCCTTTAAAATTGAATGAATCCGAATGTTAATCATGCAATCCATGCGTTCTGGGCAGAAGGCTAAATGCATTTTGAAGGATAGTTCCGACAATGCCATTCGAGCTAAGCCGATTATCAGATTTTCGAATGCTTCAAATAAAAATATCAAATTGAGCTTATTCCGAATAGCAATGTCAATTAGCACGTGAAACATGGGTTGTTCTATCCGTGGTAATAGCATAGAAAAGTTTACTGACCTGCCAGGTGCCGAATCCGACAATGGGAACTCGTTGTCCCGTTGGCAAAGCCACGGTGGTCTCGTGCAAGCTCATTGTTAACCGTCGAACGGAATCGACTTATTGTAGGTGATAAAGAGGAAAATCGAACACTCCTGGCGGCTTGAGCACAGCTCCTGGAATGCTTCGTCGGAGCGAGAGCACGGAAAGCTCGCGATGACAGAGACAACATAGAGCTAAAAAGAAAGAGAGAGAGAGAGAGCGAGAGAGGGGGAGGGAGAGGGACGACATAGTGTTCCGTTTGAAGTTTTTTTTTCCTTTTCCAGCTTCCTACATATCCACGTCACGCACGTTAGCTCCCTACTTTCATACAACAGTTCGTCATTCAATGAGTAAAGGTATGCACTGTTGACTCCGTTATTCATACAGTGTATAGCAGGTACACCCAGTATAGGTACCATGAAGTTTTTCTGTTCGAATCAGGCTCGAGCGCGAGCGTTCGCGTAATTTATGTCAAGAGCTGCACTAGCGATGACAATCGCTGCAACTCTCAAGGCTGCTGCTTAATCGTTTCTTGTTTTTAATGACTATCCGGCAAATTGTATGATATTAACGATCCAGCATCCTTTGTATATTGATTTAGATTTTATGTTGATCTAATGGTACGCTCCGTATTCATCATCTTATTGTTTTTGTACCTTTGTTTTGCGTAACGATCTATACAGATTTTAAAATCTTCAAATACAAATAATCTATGTGGAAAATGGCATTTTATAAACATTAGCAAAAAGCATATGTAAATAATGTCAGATTCCGTTGATTTCCTACATAATTGTCGAAGACAACAGGAAAATATTGAATTAATGTAATAAAAGAAACAGTATATATTGTTACGATTAATATAAAGTCGAATTTTTTATGAGTCAAATGGTGATAACAAAAAATTTTAAATGATTTTGATTTCCTTTGATCGTTTTTCGGTGAATACCCAATTATTAAAAGAGGAAACGCGATTAATTCATCTTTTTTTATGTTTAGATTAAAAGATGAGACTGAAGCGATCCGTGGAAAAGTGAAATAAATGGAAACATTAAGAAAAAGTCAAAATGTACACGTGCATCAACTGTGGTGCTCAAGTGGATGAGCTTTACCGACGTTACAGTCCCAGCGTACTCAAAGTCGTTAAATGCGTAAGTTGTTAGCGCTTTTATGTAACTCCAGTTAATTTCGCATCCGTGTTCTGTAGCGTACATTTATAGGTGATTTTTTCAAATTTTATTTCCGAGTCACCTCTCGCAAAAAGTCATCTTGTTGAAAAACTGTTTAAAGCTTTTTCTTCAAATTTTTTTTGTCGTCAGAGGGGATCGAGTTTTTGATTTGTTTCTCGTTGGACTTGTAGGAAAACTGCGGCAATTTGGCTGATAAGTACATCGAATATGACCCAGTGATAGTGTTGGTAGATTTGGTATTACTGGAAAAGCCAGCTTATCGCCATTTACTTTATAACAGTGACTTCAATGCCTACTGGAAGCTGATGATCGTCTTAATTCTTGGCGAATCATACCGCATATGGTCGAGCTACGAAAACAGCGAAATGTCCACGGCCGTCAATTATTTAGATTCAGTCTTCGCATTGTTCGATCACACAAACCACGGGTCCACTTTTCAGAGCGAAAGGAACTTTTATTTTTTGCTCTGTCATACTACTCTTTCGCTGGCCGTCTTCGCTTGCGTGGTGCTGCTTATAACCGAGCTCAGGTGGCTGTTGCTTGGTAAAAGACCACCCAGATACCAACCACTCGACCTCGTGAGAGCTCTCGTCGTTGGTGGCTGTGCCAAGTTACTCGGTCTGCTTGGTATTATTTGGCAACATGTCACACCCGAGCTTCACAATCTAATCATTTATGGATACACCGTGCTGTGCCTGCTTACCGCTTATTCGGGTAATTATTCTTTATCTTAGTATTTCGCAGTTTGCAAGTTTAATGTGACGAGTACTTTGGAGTAAAAAAAATACAAGCTCGTTTCAAACCATTTATATATTTTTTACATTGGTATTACAAATAATATAACAAACACAGAAAGTTTTGAAGCCGAGAGTAAATTTTAAAAACATTTAAAAAGCAATAACTTTAAATAGACTGAAACTTTGCATCTTTGAAAGCTATCTTAATTGCTTACTATCTTCGAAAAAATACATTATCTCTATCTGTTTTATATTCAGATAAAAATTTCATTTAAAAAACTATAAATAAAATAAACATTTCTTTAATACAGTATTCAACAATATTCGATCTTGCGTACATAATTATAATAAATAATAATAAAATATGAATACTTTTTTCGAGCTGACATTTAAGTAATCAATTCTTTCAAAAATGTCAATTTGATATTTTGACAAAATTTCTTTTCGCATTAGCAAATGTTACATAACTTTTCTATTCATTAACATTTTGGCTCCATTATGTTATTGTCTATTGCTTGACAATACTACATAATACTTAGTAAACATCGTTTTATTAAATACACTTTGTTCAAAGATTTATATCTTATCAAGACTTTTACATATTAAATATTAGGAAACTGATTAAATGTTGAATATGTTAGAGTTTTATATTATTTATTTTTATATTTCTTTTGAATTCATTCATCATTATAGTGTGATATAGCCACTTAAATCAAAAACTTTTTCACGATTTGGTTTCATATCACCAAATATACTAACTAATAACATCAATGGCACAAAAGTAACATTTATCTACACATATAGTAGAATATTGCACAATAAATTTTTATCTATTGTGTAATGTTCTCCCGTATAATTTTAGTTTTCTAGTCATTAGATAAATTATAACCGTTTGCGTAAAAATAAAATCGTCACTTATTGAAATCACCTAACGCTTGTACACTGTTATGAGTGCAAAGTAATTAATTCGTATCATTCCTCCATTCTTCTTGCAGTGGTTTGTGATAGTGGAAGAACAGGGTCACTGATTGGATTAATTGGTGGACTGTTGGCGCATAACTATGTGTACAATGTTATACCTGAATTGTATTTATCGACCGCCAATATGACTATGCTGCAAACTTAAGGTCATTAGCTGGCGACGGTCGCGAAGTGTATCTCAAGCATCTTTGACCGGCAAAATACTCCAGCCAAGTACCAAACGATCAAAACCACACGAGAACAAATTGCATGGGGTGCTGCTATCCTCGGCCCAAGCCACTGAACAGACCATACGTCTGTGACCCTGTGTATTATTATTAGATTGTATCAATCTTTCTATTTACCAAATATTTCTGTTAATTATTTTTAAATTTCTATCGTATGTAAACGTGCTAAATAATAAAAGTGACCGATACATTTACTGTAAATATGTTCCGTTATATATTTTTGTTAAAAAAATTAAAAATTTTATTGAATTTTGCGTTTGAAAATTTAAATACAAGAAAAGTTCAATAAAAATTATATTAACGAAAATTATTGATGAAGAGGACTCATTACCTGTCTACTAGTCCTTGGCAATCTTGCTAATCTTTGACCGTTTAAATCAAATAAACGAATTTGCCTGTTGTCATGGGGAATGGAAATAATTCCAGCACTTGATACAGAGAGTCTATTTGCTGAACTATCTCCACGTATGGTTGCTAGTGGACTTCGAATATTGCGCAATTCCCAAACTTTGACGCTCCTGTCGTCAGAGGCCGATACAATTTTATCTTCCCTAGTAAATACTGCTGCTGTAACAGCTCTGAAAACAATTTTTAATATTATGTGTGATAGAAATTAATATTTTGATAAAAATATAATGATTTAATATTTACTCTGTATGTCCTTGAAAGACTGATACTGAATGAATGGGCTCTCTGAAGTCCCATAATCGAAAAGTGCTGTCTCGACTAGAAGTAACACAGAGCCTTTGAGCATGATGTGTTGCAACATAAGTTAGTTCTTGATCGTGGCCACATAATGTGTGAATTATTTCTGCTGTTTCGGCATCATATAGATTTGCAGTTCTATCCCATGATGCAGTAACTATTTGTTCAGCACTAAGAAGCCAATCAGCTGCTATAACAACACCTGTATGTCCTAACAGTTCTTTAACTGGAGTTCTTAATATAGGAGCAGCTTCTTCTTCTGGAGGTGGATTATCAGACCCACTGGCTCCTCTATCACCAGTAACTGCAACATCTTCCAATGATGTTCTTTTTGGTAAATCCCAGTTAACAGCTGCTTGCCACACATGAGCAGAACAATCACCACTTGCTGACAGGGCCAAGTCTTTTGTTGGATGAAATCGGACAGAATTTACTGAACCACTGTGCCCAGTGTATTGTAATAGACAGCGACAACTATCTATACCCCATATTCTTGCTGTATGATCTGCAGATGCTGTTGCTATAATTGGTTGACCCGATCTACCAATTGAAACTTCCCATATACCATCTCTGTGACCTCTGTATTCTTTCTGCATGGTACAATTCATTGTAGGATTCTTGAAACTGGATACTATTTTACTGGTTTGAGCTTTTAGTTTGTGAGATGCCTTTACTTTGTGAGCAGAACTTCCAATCATAGCTAGAAAGATTATATAAAAATAACTTATTGGTAAATTTTTTATAGATAAGTAAAAAATATATAATGAACAAATTCAAGGTTAATTGATATTAAATTAAATCTCATGATATTGCATTTATTGCAACTTACATTTTTGCTTGGATAGATTTTTATTATCAGTATAATCTTGGAAATCTCCAGTAGGTAAACTACGTTCACCTGATCCATAACATTCTCTTTCAAGCTTCTCATTTAAGGCTTCTATTTTATCTTGCACTGTAAGATAAAAATTACAATCATCAAGTTAGGCATAAATTTTTTTATGTAATTATATAAACACTTTAAGCTTACAGCTGCTATTTTCTGCACACAACATTTCGAATTCTTTTTCTATTTGCTGAAACAGATCTAATAGTCTTGTACGAAGGGCTGAAGGTATTTGACTTTCTTCAACTTCTGTACGAAAACTAACTGTATGAAATGCTATAGGTTGAAGTGGAGTTGAGCCGCTTTGTTGAGATTGTAATTCTGTATCTGTGCTGCTTTGTACTCGAGGAATTGAAATTCTTTTAATTTTTCCACTCGACTTTGTACTTGTGGTGATTGATGGTTCTCCAGGCATGATTTTCTATCTAATGATTCTAATGATAAATATACTAAAAAGCCTAGGAGAGTTTTCCTCCGACATAAATTAGTGGTTTGAGAGATTTGATCACTTTTAAGTAATGAACAGCAACTCCCGTCAATTTATTTCGTCATCGTTAAAACTGACTGTACTGCAGAATCTATCTGTCAAAATCGTTATTTTTTGTCTCGATACTAAACTAGTACTAAACTTTCAATGTAAAAATTCTTTCTCGGGGAATGAAAGATCGAAAGACGTCGTCGCGGTCGGTATCACTGTATCACTGTCTTCAAATATATAACGAGAAAATTACTAGAAATTTTTTTCATTATCAAGGGTAAATAGCGAAAGCTAAGCTCTGCATGCGTATAAATTGTAAATCAATAGTAACTTTGTATAAACACGGGTCAATCTCTCTTTTAATTTAGAACTATCTAATTAAATTAACAAAAATAAATTAAATATTTTGATACTGAATTACCTTTATCAATATGCGACAATGTCTAACGTTTCCAAAAAAAAAAATATACGATTTCAAAATTAAAACATTTTTAAATAGATTTTTAATAAAAAAACTAGAATGTATTTTATGCGACATTTAATCTATGATTTACATTTTAATTTTTTTATTTACGTTAAGAATGTTTGCTAGGGCTATTTTGAGCTAGGCATGTGGTACATTTGATGACAGCTGTTGACGTGAGAGCAGACGACTACGCGGCGGCTAGTTATAAGGTGCACGAAGAGACGCGCGAGCGGGGATATTAACATTTTAACATGTTTTTCCTCCGAAACATCGTCTTTTTTATCGTGTTAGCTTATCAAAAAATGAATCCATGAATTTGCTAATTGCTCACGATTACTGCAACTGACGTGTAATTAATTCGTTGATATTGAATGCTCTCTCATTTGCGTTTTAAACGTCACTTAATGTTTCCAATTCGAGGTTAAGTCTGGATTTCATTGTACATATTTTCCTGTTTAGAAGTATTTGTTTATGATTGGCCGTCAGTTTAAATAGCTAGTTTAATGTTCTTTACTGCAAAATAATCATTTCATTCAACATGAAAGCGCGGAAGTTGTTTGCGGTGCTTGGAGCAGGTTTAATTTTAGCTTGTTGTGTTATGATTTACTTGATGCTTGATGTCACTCTTTTTCCACAACGCGATACAAAATCCGACGTGAAATATGTAAGTATTCGGCTGTCATTTATAAACAATTTAACAATATGACATTAAAGTACATTTTAAAAAAAGAATACAATAAAACAAAAAAAAAATTATGCATATAATGCAAGTGAAAGAAATGCATACAGTGTAGTATTATACTAATGCCTTCTTTAAATTATAAACAATAACTATCAAAAAAATTTGCAGAATCAATGGCTTCATTTCGAAAGTAGATTAGCCAAATTGGAAGAAGATTTGAATCGTCATCACAAAGCTGTGAATGCTTTGCATGCAGCTGCTCAAAAGATAGTAGAAGTACCACCAGATGACAAGAACATCAATGTAAATCCTTTCATCGATCTGAGAGCAGAAAAGCCAGCAGTGTGCACTGTAAACTTTAGGCAGATACCAGAAGTTGATATTCAAATGCTTGAAATTTATAAACAACTGAAATTTGATAATCCAGATGGTGGAGTATGGAAGCAAGGATGGAACATAAAATATGATGAAAAACAATGGCATCCCAGTAGGAAACTTAAAATTTTTGTTGTACCTCACTCTCACAATGATCCAGGATGGTTAAACACCTTTGAAAAGTATTATGCTTACCAGACTCAAGGCATATTAAATAACTTAGTCAATAAGTTATCTGAAGATAGAAGAAGGAAGTTTATTTGGGCAGAAATTTCATTTTTCAAACTTTGGTGGGATGAGCAAACTCAATCAACTCGTGATGTTGTGAAGCGACTTGTACACGATGGTCAATTGGAAATTGTTGCTGGAGGATACGTTATGCCAGATGAATCTGTTTCACACTGGGTGGCTCAATTAACTCAATTAACTGAGGGCCATCAGTGGTAGGTTCTTGAATGTTGTTAAAGATCCTGTAGCTTCCTTAAGTAATTTATTATTTTATTTATTTTTCCAGGTTAAAAACAAATTTGGATTTTGTACCAAATACTGGCTGGGCTATTGATCCTTTTGGTCTTTCGCCCACAATGCCTTATTTACTGAAAAATGCTGGCCTTGAAAATATTGTTATTCAAAGGGTACACTATTCAGTGAAGAAGAAACTGGCTCAAGACAAGCATTTAGAATTCCGTTGGCGTCAATTGTGGGACAACGATGGTTCGTCGGAAATATTTACACACATGATGCCATTCTACAGTTACGACATACCACACACTTGTGGACCAGACCCGAAAGTTTGCTGTCAATTTGATTTTTACCGTCTTCCAAGTTTCGGTTTCACATGTCCTTGGAAAATACCCCCTAAAGCAATAACAAAATCCAACGTGGGAGAAAGAGCTGCCATGCTGTTGGATCAGTATCGCAAGAAAGCTCAACTCTTCAAATCTAACGTTGTGTTGATTCCTTTGGGAGATGATTTTCGATACTCGCACGTAACGGAATGGGACGCACAATTTACGAATTATCAGAAACTTTTTGATTACATGAACAATGATCGTCAGATGAACGTTGAGATACAGTTTGGTACGTTAAACGATTACTTTGAAGCTTTACGCAGCCAACGAAGTACAGATGATTATCCAAGCTTGAGCGGTGATTTCTTTACGTACTCTGATAGAGATGATCATTACTGGAGTGGGTATTACACTTCCAGGCCATTCCATAAACGACTCGATCGAGTACTCATTGGAGCATTGAGAAACTCCGAGTTGTTAAGCACGATTGCTTGGATGAGAGGCAACGATCACATAATTGAGGATAAAATGGCGACACGTCTGGATATAGCGAGACGCTGGCATTCGATATTCCAACATCACGATGGCGTTACGGGTACCGCCAGAGATCACGTCGTCATTGATTACGCTCAAAAAATGTTAACAGCGCTCAACGATTCCGCTCACGTACTTCAACAATCGGTTGTGCATCTACTAAAGAGCCCCCAAAAAACTCCTGTCGATTTGGAAGAAATGTACCTGTCCTTGGATGAGACTAGGTAAAACTTCATTTTTTCATCTGACACATGATTACTTTGAAAGACGCCAAATTAATACTGTTTTATATTCATCAGGTCTCATCACACGAGTCCAGGAGATAAGTACGTGATCTCGCTCAGCGACGACATCACCTCGAGGAAAGTATTGTTCTACAACTCTCTTCCAAGATCGAGGACTAAAGTAGCAAGTATTTATGTCTCGTCACCGTACGTACGAGTAACTGACAAAATGGGCCGAGCCCTTCAATGTCAGATCTCTCCGGTTTGGGTCAGTCCAGGCGCCATATCCGGTGCCAGATATGAATTATCTTTTCTAGTCACTGTACCTGCTTTCGCTATAGTTACATATATAGTACATACTTTACACGGCACAAGCTTTCCAGAGTACGTGAGAGCTTCTCATCTAATTCATTCTTTTTTCTCACAAAAGTAGCCTGAATAAATTTTAATTTATTTTGCAGGGAAGTACATTTAGCAAATGTAGTTGTATACAATACTCCATATCCACTTTCGGCGGTACCTGGATTTAGTAATGTACAAACCCATCCTTTTATGCAAGAGTTTTCCATAAGTCAGCGAGCGGAATTATCAGTAGTCTTTGGCAAAACAGGATTGTTGAAAGCTCTTCGCGTAAACAATACCACGTACCCGGTACACTTGGAATTCGTCAAGTACGGGACACGCGGTGCTGGCCAAGACAAGAGTGGAGCTTATTTATTTTTACCTGATAAGTCCGAGCCCGATCCAGTATTAGCCGGCAATAATAAGATAGTTCACTTAGTTACTGGGCCTATTTTGTCGAGAGTTTTTACCGATCTTCCTTACGTTAAGCACATATGTACATTGTATAATTCTACGGGTAGCGATGGACTTGGATTGCACATTATGAACGAGGTCGATATCACGGAAACTCAAAATTTTGAGCTTGCAATGAGAATCGGCACCGATATTGCATCTGGTGAGGTGTTTTATACGGATTTGAATGGTCTTAATGTGAGTATTTTATTTGTTTTTTGCCGAGGAAAAACTAATTTAATCAGAAAATGTTGTGATGAGAATTTTTTTAGATGATAAAACGACAGAGGTTTTCAAAAATACCAACTCAAGGAAATTACTATCCTCTCGCAGCGGCGGGCTATATTGAAGATAATCGCGTGCGAATGAGTATTCTTACGGGTCAACCTCTTGGAGCAACTTCTATGTCGTCTGGTCAATTTGAGGTACATTTGAGAAAATGTATTAATAGTATGTTAATTCGTCTACGTTTTTAAAATATTGATCCATCCATTTTCTTTTAGATTATGCAGGATAGAAGATTAATGCAAGATGATAATCGAGGTTTGAGCCAAGGCGTAACTGACAATTTGTTGACTTACCATCAATTTACTTTACTTTTTGAAAAACGACAAGAATTATGCACACATCCGATTCCTCCAGCTGACCACCCATCTGGTCTTCTGTCGTTAGCTGGTCATTTAGCGCTAGACGATTTACTTCACCCTGTAGTTGCGTTACATCCCCGATCGATGCCACAGTTCGAGATGAATCCAACTTTTTCACCCCTTAGTACGAGTTTACCCGTAGACTTGAGCGTCGTTAACCTCCGGGTAATTCCAATCCCAGACGGAGCAGGTAAAGGCGTAGCAATGGTGTTGCACAGACAAGGATTGAACCTTTGCTGGGGTGATCCAGAACTACAACAACGCTTTCCTGTTTCCAAGACTGGTGAGGTGGATCTCAGCAAGTTCCTCGACTCAATGCAGGATTGGACCATCAGTGATGCACCTCTGACTTTTACTAATGTTGGACCCTCGCGGAGATCCCCTATCGTGAATTTGTGCCCCCATCAATTACTGTCACTTTTGTTTCACAAAACAGAGTCGTAAGCCGACGCGTTACGCTTATTTTTTAATTTTTCAATTTAATTACTTGACTCGGTTAACTAATTTCCACATCAATTAAAACTCATAATAAGATGCTATTTATTATGTATTTTTATGAATTTTCACATTTTTAATAGAATGTGGTTTTTTTAAAATGTGTTTGCATTCGAAAAAAAGCATTTTTATAACGATTTTATAGCGATAAAAAGGATAACATTGCATAATTAGACTTAGTAAATTATTAGTGATTTTATAATGTAATTTTATAAAATTCTAATTTAGTAGAAACTTTGTCTCTTGGACAATATATTACCGAGGAATGAAAAAGTAATCAAAACGAAATATTATTCTTGCATGAGGTCAAAAATCTTAAAATAAATATTATTTTGAGAGTAAATCTCAATGTTATAACTAGCGCAGGAAGAATTAATGTCAAGTTATTCTTCTAGATAATTTATTTAAATTATTCAGAGGATTTTATATTTAAATTTAATATTAAAATTTGATTGTGCATAAATAATGTAGATGCCATTACTTATTATTAAATTGAGAAAAGTTACATACAAATATTATTTATCGATGTCGGCCTATAGTAAGAAACATTTGGTTTGGAAAATAGATTTTTAGGACTTTATGATTTCAATAAAATATTTTAATATACTGCGACTGCTTAAAGTACAGATGAAGTGTTCATGTAAATTAAGTTTTTAATAACTGATAGTCCTTTTTATTCATCGCGTTTTTTATCAGTTTGAAGCATGCATTTTTTGAAAACTTTTTCAACTCAAAAATATACATATTCAATTCATCTATACAACTTTATTTAGAATTTAAATTAAAACAAAAGTACAATAAAACGTCAATCATCATCAAACTGTCAAGATCTATGATATTATCTCAGCAAGAAAATAAATGTAAAACATTTATCAAAGTAATTAAAGACAATCATTTTATTAATCAATTGCTGACAAAAATTTTGATAATTACAAAAAAGTTGCTATTATTCTTATGGGTTTAATAGTTTGGAGATAGGATTTGTACAAATATAAAATATGAATTCGAATTTGTAATTAATAAACAAGGAAATATTTACGTTCTAAGTTTTTTGTAGACGTAAATTTTGTTTGCTCAGAATAGCATAATCCACTCCCTCAGACGAAGATGGGTTTGTGGTATCCTGTTTGTAACTGAAACAGTATTAATTTCTTCAAATTAATTAATTGATATGTTATTAATAATAAGATTATTTAATGTACAGTAGACTTTTACATTAAATCTTATATTTCTATAGGATTTTTCTTTAAAATTAGAAAGTAAAAGTGTGCAATAACCATCTCAATTCTTTTATAATACGAAGATTGCATAGTATTTCTAAGGTTTGTAGTTGATACATTTGTATGGTACAATTTTAATAAAAAATGTAATAACAGTACATTTACAGTTATAGTACTTCTTTGCACAAACAAAAGAAAATACTTAGATGATATTAAATAATATGGCTTTCTTATTACTTGTACATATTTCAAAATCTATTGAAATAAAAATTGTAGAAAAAATACCTTTCTTTTTGTTATTTTACAACAAAATGTATCATCATTGTTATAGAAGTTTAATTTTATATTATAATGTATTCATTTGCTTCAAAAAATGTTCTCTTAAATTTTTCAAAAGACTATAAAATTTTATCTTTGTTAGTTAAAATTAAATTATTTACAATTATATTAAACTGGAACAGAATATAACATTCCACCTACCCAAGTTTATGAAAGAAAGTTAAAGTTATTGGATTATGCCTGAGTACAGTAAGAACAACTTTTTGCATTTGATTCTTTGCAGCCATAGCTTCTAGAGTCTGCATCATAAACCGACCTAGTCCTTTCCGCCTTGCTGAAGGTTCCAATTGCAGTTCATAACTTTAAATAGCAAAAATATATAATATAATTGTTTCTTAAACTATTTCAATGTCAATAAATTAAACAGTTTTCATTAATAAACAATTACATAAAGAAATAGAATTAACAAAGGTAACTTTGTTACTGACACAGTTATAAATTTTGTTAAGAACAACAAGCTTACCAGTACAATATTTCAATATCATCATCAGTGTCAAATCGAAAATGTGAAAAGCCCACTTTCTTTCCTTCAGAAGTTGCAATTAAATAGTAAGCACTATTTTCTGTCATTTCTGTGTGCTTTGCGTCTTCATTCCAACCCCAACTAGATTCTTCATATAGTTTTTTCATGTTTCTTTCCATCAAATCAAAAATCCATTTCACTGTCTCATCAGGTAAATTCATGACACGATCACAAGTTAATTCGAAAATTGATCCATCTTTGGATGTATATTTATGAAAATCTGTAAGATGTTGTAGTGGATTGCTCAGCAGATTTGCTTTTTTAACTAATTTTATGGCTTGTGCTGCTTTTTCAGCTTGAATTTGTCTTCTTGTCTTGTGAGCCTTTTTCTAAAATTATACGAAAAATGTAAAAATCATAACGAATTTTTTAATATATGGGAACTTTGAATAGAAGATAAATAAAAAAGTAGATATGTATGTTATGCTATGTCTGTATACATACAATGAATTTTGAGATTATATTGTGAGTTAAAAATTATTATTCATTTTTTATAATCTTACAAATACTTATAAACTAAAATATTATACATACATTCATGATAATAACTATATAATAAATTTACAAGTGTAATGCAATGAATGTAAATGTTGAAAAACTGTTGAAAATCTTTCTATGGTAAACTTTACAGTACTTTTATGCGTGTACTCATTTGTGCGCGGGAATTTTGTGGAGGAGTTGAAAATTTACAGTATAAAAACACTTCGACAGTTAGTCAACTGACAGTCTCACGACACACCCAGGGTACAACGATTACGAGCGTTGCCGCTGCAAAAGTTACTCTCAGGATCCTAAAAATTCCGGCACTAGATTTCTGAATTTTAAGTTGCGACGGCTGCTCGGCCAGTGCCGTATTCACCTTCAACTGAAAACTTTCCGGTGTCACAACTCGTACTTTGCACGGTAACTTTTTATGTTTGTACCAAATGTTACAGACATGGCCATGCTAAAAGATCATGTAACTCAAAATAACAAAAATGCATTTACTGCGGGGAAACAGCACGCAACTACCAAGAATGCTTCAAATTAAACGACACGACAAAAAAATGCCTAAACTGTGGTGAAAATCACTTGTCAACAGATAAAAACTGCAAAATTAAAAAAATGGAACAAGACATCCTAACCACCACAATCAAACGAAACATTCCAATAAAAGAGGCAAAACTAATACACAATCAATACAATAATAATTCCAAAAGATTCAGATTCTCAGATTATCCTGAAATGAACGAAGCTCCAACCCCTCAAGAACTTCATATACCAAACTCAAACACAAAAAAAAATAATCTAAGCCCGAAAAAAACACAACGAACTCCTCATCTCCCGTAACGGCAACTACAATTTAAACCCGAATCCTACAATATTCAATGATCAATCAAGCTCCCCAATCCCCCCACCCGAACCCCTAATTATATCAGAAATTTCCATATGTGAAGATTCCTTTCTAATTAACAATCAGTACTCAATTTCACACGAATTTATATATGCTACAATATCTCAATTCAGATCAAAATTTTAATAATTTAATAAAAGAAAACATTGAAGCTACAAATAATCAAATAGATATAGAAACACAAGTACAAAACTAAATAAAAAAATATAAAATCGAAGATATTTAACAACAATTATAAGAACTCGACACAATCATTACAATAACCGCCAGTTTAGCAATTTGCAAACATTAAAGTTTTGCATTTATCGAATAACATATCTAGAAAGAAAGGCATTTGTTCTCATTATGAAAGTGTATTCAAATGTTTTGCAAGTCTTTTATCTAAGATTTATTCATATTTCGTACAATCAATCACAGTTACACAAAAAAATATCAACTTTATTGAATGGTATATCTGCCTTGTACGTAAGTTTCATTTTGTTTTTTGTTTCACATTCGCGACATTATTCTTCGAATATCCTTCTAAAAATAAATCATATATCAATATTAAAATTCGGTTATTAAATATTCAACAATAATTATTTAATGCAAAATTTATAAATATATTTTTCTCATTGTTAATTCATTAGAAAAAGAATGGTACAATAAATCAACATAGTTTATTATTCTTTTTCTAATGAATTAACAATGAGAAAAATATATTTATAAATTTTGCATTAAATAATTATTGTTGAATATTTAATAACCGAATTTTAATATTGAAATATGATTTATTTTTAGGAGGATATTCGAAGAATGATGTCGCGAATGTGAAACAAGAAACAAAATGAAACTTACGTACAAGGCAGATCATTCAATAAAGTTGATATTTTTCTGTGTAACTGTGATTGATTGTACGAAATATGAATAAATCTTAAATAAAAGACTTGTAAAATATTTGAATACACTTTCATAATGAGAACAAATGCCTTTCTTTCTAGATATGTTATTCGATAAATGCAAAACTTTAATGTTTACCAATTGCTAGCGATTAAAGTGGGATAGCTAGGAGAGAGAAAGAATTTGTCGTGATTAAATTATCGAACTTTAAAATTCAGATGACGTACTGCAATTTGTACTCTGTTTATTTTTTTGCTAAAAGTTCTTATCACAAATAGACTGAACGAATCATTTTTATATTCAAATCTACTGTTAACAAAAACGATATTATCATGTTTCAAATTAAAGATAATTTAGACATTGACGATCGTGTCAACAACAAGCTTTGATAAGTCTTAGATTAATTTTACTTATTTATTCCGATGAGCTAACTCATATATTATATTTTTCAACATTATTAAAGATAATATCTTCAATTGCTTGAACTATTTTAATATAACAATGAAAAAGACCAGAAATTTTTAATTTGGCATTGACGTAAACGTTATTTCTCATGTACAATTTGAATAACTTTGAAATTAAACTGAAAATCTACCAATTTACATATCTCTACTGAAAACATACATAACAAACTTGTACACAACTTGTATAAAAATCGTACAAGAATGTGTGCAATATTGTTAAAAAATTTGTTCAAGACTTGTACGTGTCTTATACACATCTCATACAAATTTTGTATAAATTGATGATTTGTTTCAATAAAATAATTAATAATTATTATTATTAAAATAAATTTTCTTTATTATATAATGTATATTAATCAATGTTTATTTAATGAACATCCTCCTGAAAATAGAGGATAAGATCTTGCGTAAGAATTTTAAGATTATTTAATTTAAAAAAAATAATTGTCATTATTATTTTACTATAATTAACTATTTTATTTATGATTTATTTTTTGTATAAGTCTTGGACAAATCTTGTACACATTCTTCTACAATTTTTTAGATGTTACAAGTTTTATATATATGTTTTGAGTGGTAATTACATAAACAGCTATAAGACTAATCGTTTTAGAAGATTTCTACGGAATAGTCAAAAGTAATAATACGCTTTAGCTATCAATAGTTTGAGCACAAAACTGCATTCTTAAGTAGCAAAAGGTCAAATATCTTCTTAGTTTCAAAAATTGCAAACATAATATTTATTACAATGATAAACTTAAAGAAAATTTTATATATATAAATATAATTTTCTGAGAATGAGAATAATATTGAATAAAACTACTATTAATGCATTCTAATTTTTCTGTTGTAATCAATAGCAAACTGTCTAATAAATTTGCTACTTAGAAAAGTCTCTTTTTAGCTATTTAAAATTCATTTAAACATGACACTAACGTGCTTGAAGTTGTCTACAAATCGAAATATTCAAGTCATCAAGTGAAGTTAGCGTGAGAGGCTCCATTGGACCACGTCCCCACTTGCAGTTCTCTTTATATACAATAACAGTTTCGATGTGAAGTCTGAACCAAAACATTCTTTTTTTACATTGTTTTCAGAACAAAAAATACGTTTGCTATTAGTATTATGAACCACGTCGAAATAAATTACCTATTTGTTTTATTAATGTTAACAATCCAAGTAAGTTTAGCGATTTGCTGATACTTAACAGAAATCTGTTTATTATGGAATGTATATATAGCGATTAACTCGAATATCAACTGAAAGATATTGCAACGACTCATGACGTTAACAAAAATGCACGAGAAAAAAACATTATGTCGCTTCTCGACAAAATTGTGTGGAATTATCGTAAATTATATGTTAAAACGAATCAATTTGTTTACTTTACACAGTTGTAAAACACTTGTAAATTAGCTATTCACTTTACAATTCATTCCAGTCAAATGTGTAGAGATAATTTGAACTAATTTAAAATGAAAATCGATATGATTTAAATGTAGTGATCGGTTCGCGGAGATCTGTCCAGGTAGGGCGAAAGAGGGCATTCAAGGAAAAAGTGTCGCGATTTTTTTTTTATTAAGAGCTAAAGAAATATTTCTTTTGATAATAGTTTGAAAATGGGAATGTTTTGCATCCTCAAGTCAAAAAACTAATACTGCTTCATAAGTTTGAGACCAAGTACTTTTGATACGTTCTTGTAGAAAATATGCAGTTTATCGTTTAAGAACAGTGATACTATAGAGTAAGCGCCCTAATATATCTCTTCTATAAGCCGATATATACCGAAGTTTCGTAATTTGGAAAGTACTTACAATCTACTGCGCTCGATTTTTAGAGCTCGGTGACAGACTTGCATGAGCCGATAGTTGTTGATGATTCTATGGTGTACAAAAACGCAATTGTTACATCCGAAGAGTTCGACCAGACCGAGGTAACGTATATTTAACGCAAAATTACATTTATAATGCATTATCTTACTGCAAAGTTAGACAAAGTTATAGTAAACATTAATAATAGTAACATGAAGAACAAATTTCTTATAAAATGAAACACAGGTAGAACAAGTGATTATCGACGAAATACATAGGGAATGGAAATTATGTTTAACGTCCGATCGACCCTGGATAGAGTGCAATGCCTTATATGAATCTATGTTGAGAGCAGAGAAGCCTCTTGTACGGGTAAGACGAGAATTTTTGTTTGATCGTATAAAAATATCTTGAGATGCTTTTGAAGCGCAATCACTTGGCAGCAATGCATATTGTACCACGATTTCACTTACAGATGAAACATTACCACGCCATGTTGGAGGAGCACTCGGACGTTCATAATAAATGTTGCAAATCCGGTCGATCCAAAGATGAATGCAATCTGGATAAAGAAGATAGGGAGAGCAAAATATCCGTCATGGAGAAAGAGCTGTATCCATGGATAGAGATATACGAGTTGTGCATTGCTGAGTTGTCCCGAGATAAATGCTACAACATCTTTAAAGAGCTCCAAATACCCAGATATCGAACTCTAGTGGTATGCCTGTTACCTAATATTCGATTAAATTTTCCAGTTTCGCCGATGTAATGAATGTACTGATACATAAATTTCATTCATGTTCGCAGCCAGAATCTCTTATAACATTAGCTAAGGCCCACATTTGCTTGGATGCAGGGCGATCAGAAGAAGACTGCGAAAATGAAGCAATGGAACATTATATTCAAGTAGTACAGCCAAAAGATGAACTATGATTTTCTATTTTGACAATAAGTTGCGGAGTTTAAAATCTCATAAATACATTTATAAAAAACATTTAAGATGATTACTCAACGCCTGCAATCGAATATAAGATAATTATGAAGAGAGGAATGCGATTATATGATACGGGAAAACAAACGTTTAATCGTTAAACTTTTTACTAAAAATCCATCGAGTATTTTATGTTTTATTAAGTATTTTTAATTTTTGACAATATTGTTTATTAATAATAATGACGATGAGCTTGCCTAAGATTTTTACATTATTCAAATAAGGCTGTGATACGCGATTAGAAAGATTTTTGTACAGATTTTATATGAAAAATAATGAAATAGGAATAAAGTTAAGGAAAAGCCTTTCTTAATATATTATTTCAAATGTAATAAACCCACAAGCGAGCCACAGTATTATGAAAAGTGTTATTGATTGACGATAAAAAATCATAAACTAATTAATTAATCGTATTGGTGTGTTTTTGAAAAACGATTGTAATCAAATTTGTATGATTTCCTTATATAAAATTTGATACATTTACGGAATATTTCTTACTACTATCAGTATTTTTTTTTATTTATTAAGCTCTAAAGTTTTCACCTATCAATCGTAAAAATCACTTTGAAATTGCCTTTTTAAAAAAATAATAAGTCGAATCAATCAAGTATTTTACTATATATGTACATTCTTCAATGTTCGGTGTCAATTATAACAAATGTCAATTTAAAAACTTATTTTAAAAATTAATTAAAAAAAATTGCATTATTGTCACACAAAGTCGTTAGTCTACGGCAGATAAAACTCGCTATTCAACGACCATTATTCTGCAATATATTTACACATAATTTTTCCAAAAATTGCTTCTGCAGTTGAAAAAGTATGACTTGTTAGCTGTCGAGTTTATACGGTTTGAGATATTCAAGCTAGTAATTATAGAAAAAGCGCGGCATTATCTTCCTAATGATGAAACATATCGTTTGCTCTCTTGCTTTAATTGCATTAGCAATCTGGGTATTTATTTATAAGATACATTTATTATGTTCTTACTTTTTTATTGATGGTACTCGTGTCATAACGAAACATACGTGCAATCAAGAAAACCTTGCAATTGTATGTGCCGGCAATTCAGCATTTTTTTTGTTTTCTCAATTAAGTATTTTACTGCGCCTGCATATTTTTCTTGAAACAATTTCGGAGGTCAAAAAATGAATGTAATGTTATCTTACACGCAAACAGTTTTTCAAAATACTTCAACTCTGGAGATTGACACAAATAGTAATTGTATAAACTACATTATCTACACGATCAAATTTCGAAGTGATTAACTTAAAAATATGTCATCTTATTATTGGGTAACTAAATTAATGTCATAAAAAATTGTTGACCTCCAATACAGTGTTTTATTATGACTCCGTCAGTTCTGATTCTGCAATACTTACACATTTTGCCAAAAGTTGCTTATGCAGTTCAAAAAGAAAATTCCTTCGCTTTGAATGGATACTGTATGTAACTTGAAATAAGTTAGTATCGTTCTAAAGTGCGACTCGGCTGCATCACGATGAAGCACTGCGTGTGTCTTCTTTTATTAGCTGCATTAGCATTCCAGGTAAGATAAATTCATTATTGATCATACTCTTTGTTGGAATTTATATCGCAATGAAATATGCAAAGATTTTTATTACAATTATGATGAATCCTTTATTTTTTTGGTGTAATAAAAACTTACATGTGATCTAGAGACGTAAAATGCTACGATATTTTATGAAATATTTTGATATTTGATATATCTTGCATGCTTAATGTAACTTCTAAAATTATTTCTTTTATTCAACACTTGACAAAAAAAACAATTATGAGGAAGAGTGATTTTATTCGCGTTTCATCTGCTTATTAAAGATGTCAATAATTTTCGGACAGTTTTCAAACTTTACTATTTTTTTTTATTATATAATATTAACACATTAATTATTTAAGTTAGGATAATTAACCAATTATTTATTCTCACTTATTGAAAAATACTCATTTTTTTCTTAGCTAAGCGCAGCACATTCGCCAAATTCACAAGTCAGCAATCATGAAAATCATAATTTCGAATGGGTAAGTTAGGTACACGTTTTATAATTAGAATGGTTGTAAAGTCATATCGTAATGCATCGTGACATGTCAGAGAGTAAATTTATCAATCTTTTGGGGTAACTTTTCAAACACAACTTATAATTTTGTCAGTTTTCAATGGTCATTTTCGCGATGTAATTGGGACTCTGATTTTGAAAGTAAAAACGTATAAATGTTACATCTGCACGCTGTACTTTTGAGTCATTAAATTATTCTGTTTCTCAGTTACAAGGCCATCCCGAAAAAGACGAAATAATAAAGAATTATAAGGCATGGATGTCGTGCAAAAATTCCCAACGACCTCAAAGTGAATGCGATGCTTTATACGATATACTCGTTGCACCAGCACCAATAATAATACAAAAGGTAATGCCTAGTAATAATTGTAAGTGGCAATAAAGATCCTTTTATTTAAAAAAAATACTACAAGATCGAGATAAAAATGTGTAAACATAATTTTCTTTTTAATAATCAATAGAATATAATACATTTCAAAATCGTTGCAGTTGCACCATTACAAAAATTTGGTTAATACAGTGGCATTAAAAGACGATAGAAAAATACATGAAATGAAAATCCAATTATATCCGTGGACGGATATATATGATCTCTGCAACGGTTCTTTCCCTCAAAGTTACTGCGATGTCTACATTAAATACCTGCATCTGCCAGAAAATCGCATGAGACACGTAAGCTATAATGTGATAAGTTCGTTTTATAATAATTATATTAATGATCGCCTCTTGTTTTTATTCACGCTTAGATTTTCCCCGTCCGATCGGAATAATCGCGAAAACTAAAAAAATGTTTTATATATCGCTTAAAATATTGGCAACGATATCTTTTACAGCCTGAAACTCTCAAGCAAATGATGTGGCAACAGATTTGCGTTGCTTCGGGAAAATCGGCCGAGGAATGCGCAAATGAAGCAGCAGCCGCGGCAGCAGCGTATGCTGCAAAAATGGGAACAGAAGCAAAATCTGCTGGTAACGGGGGTGAGTTGTGATTCGTATCCAAGCAGTAAGCTCGAATCAATAATTTAATTAATCAAAGTTACTAACGATTATCTGACTTGAAAAAAATCTTATATAAAGGATGTTATAGCAAAACGGGAAAAAACCATTTTCCTAGCGTACTGGCTAACAAGTTTTGGATTAACTAAAAAAAAAACCAAGCACATATGCGACTAAAGGAGAGTTGTGCCGCTTTTATAAACGATAAAGGAATCATCCAAGCCCAACAAATAGGCAATCAATATAAAAGTAACTTCGAATAATGAAATTCACAATTCGAGGCGGACGGCATGTGCGCTTCGAGAAATAGCGTGGTATTAAAAAAATCTCGTTTCGCGGATCCTGTATTTTGACTGTAATCCATGTAGAATCACGTATTTTCTACATTCGTACGTTTCGTATGTTTTGTTAGAGTACACGACAACTCTTACTTTTGTAGAAAAATATGTAGTTTTTTAATAATTATAACATCCTCTTAATTAAACACAGTTACTATATATATATATAGTTCTTGAGAATTATACTATTTTAGGTGTTACTTTTCGAAGCATTTTTATGAAATTGTGATTTGGTCAGTAAATTGGGATTCCGTCAAATAAAAAGTACGCTGTTCCTAAATTATCTACGTATACATTTGAATTATGAGTCGCGTAGTACTATCACATTTTCTGACTTTCTAGCAAGTAAAATCTTTAATTTACTGGTCAAATTATAAACAATTAGCATTTAACTTATAACTACTATGATTCATTTTAAAACTTCTTAAATATTTTAAAGATATTCAAATATGTAATATTGAAAGCGTTATAGAGAAATGAAATGCATATATCTTTAAATTGTATGGATTGAGGTGTGTTATAACAATGTAAAATGGTGTAAGGTATTATTTTTTCAGATATTTCATCTAATAAATGAAAAAAATGGCATTATTAAAATAAACTTGAATCATTGTATTCCCAATGCTGACCATAAAATGTATATGTAAGCACAGTAAGCAACATTATTAAAGAAAAAAAATGCAAACTCTACATATTTTTACCCTCGCGCTAAGTAAAAAAAAAAAGTCGGCATCTCAATCGCCATGAAAAGAGACAAGCGTCAATAATTCAAAGTAGGAGAGAGGCGATGATCGACTGCGCTGCACTTGCCTTTCGCGGAGAGAGCGAAAGGAGCTAGGTGTACTCGAAAGGAGGAGGAGATAGAAGGTAGAAGGGATGCGCCGGCTCGAGTGAGGCGACGTGATCACAGGTGTGTTGTACGGCTCATTCGCGAGAGGTGCGCGCCAACGAGACGACTATGCGGGCATGCCGCGCGTTCGTCCAGCCGCCTGGGCACCTTGAGAAACCCACGACGTCCATTGAGTAATTTTCACGGCTATTGTGCCTTGCCTCCCGCCTGCTATTGTGCGCAAGATTCACTGGATCCGTCAGTGCTGACGTTTCATTTCAATTGTTGTTTGCGGCCCCGAGACCAGATTCACGCTCGAAATTCATGTGAGTTTTAGCAATAAGATGGCTCAGATGTTTAATATTCAAGCTCTTTTGTGTAGCCTTTTTAAATATTCAAATTTTACGCGTTATTGAGACAATGGGCCATAAATTTTTTGAGAAAAATATCGAAATCGAACGCGTAAAAAAATCGAATTAAATTGCAATTTGGATGCGCTATAAAAATTGCGATGATGTTTGACAAATCAGTCTATGCGATTTGCGTGAGATTTGACAATGCTTTTCAATCGCACTTTCGTCAATGACACGTGGACGATATGAGCTTGATAATAGGAGCACCGACAACAAGGATTTCATCGATGGTCCCCGATGTAAGCAGAGAATCTAATCGGTCGCGATCGATTCCCGTGTCGTGGACAGAGCCAACTGAAAGCCGAGCTTTCGAACCCAAAGAAAAGTGCTTGCTTTCCGATCGCCGCGCGCGACAAACGGTCGAAAAGCAACGCGCACCCGCAAATCTCGCCACGAAATCCGATTTACAGCCGGCCAAAGCGCGGAGCCGCAGCGAGGACATGCGCTCGAAGCCGAGCGCCTCGTCGATCTACTGGGACTCGTACGAGTCGGGCAGCGGCAGCTCGGGTAGTGCAGCCAGCCGCAACTACGTGGACCCGTGGGACCTGGAGAACTACGCCTACCTTCGGCGTCACAGCGTCGCCGCCTCGGCGGCCGGGACCAGCCCTCGGCCGCTCAGCCAGCCGACGATCCGCGCGGGCGACGACTACGGCAGCCGATCGTCGTACCACTCGCCCGTCGAGTCCGACTACTGGTTGGTACTCCTTGCTGGGCGCGACGACGGACGGACCGCAACGTCGCGGCTCGCAATCGTCATACCCGACCGCGGCACCCACTGAGCATTTCGGGCGAAACTTCACTTTCGTTTCAGATCGAAGCGCGCGCCTTCGAATCGCACTACTGGCGAGCCGATACCTCGATTATATACACGCGTGCTCTTGCGCGTAGAATAATCCGCGCGCTCGGCCGAGGTTACCCATGGAAAGTTCGCAAATTGCAGTCGCGCTCGACTACTTGGCTCGCAAAAGGGACAAAGGCGTCGCAAAATCCTTGGTCGCTTGGCTTTGCCTCGCTCCGCGTTCCTTAACTAATTACTGAATACTGTGATGAGAAAAGGATTAGAGACAAAAGTTCCGTTCCATGACTACTTCGTAAGAAATGCTACAACGCGATTCATGGAATTTACAACGAAGTCTCGCGTAACAGTGATTAAAAAGCCGTCAAGTATTCGGCCTGTTTGAGTTTTCATATCAAGGGTGCATTATGCTTTTCATCGTGACGCCAGAACCGACTGCACTTCAAAATGTGAAACGGGTACAATTAGAAAAAAATGACTTGGTAATTAGCATCGGGAACGGTGTTTTCGTCGAATGGAGTTTTGTTTTGGCAAAGGCGCGGGAACTGCAAGAACCGAGAGCCTTGAAATTGAAAGCAGCGAAAGCTCGATAAGTCGTTTTCACGACAGAGACGTTAAAAAATCATGCTCCCAGACCAATTCCGGAAATGCTCGGTCGTTTCGTTAACGAAAGTTAGAAAGACGAGAAATTCCGCGGCGTGTCCGCGTTGATTTGTCGCCGCCGGTCGCCGGGGGTGGCTATGATCACACGGGCGCCGCGGATAAAGGCGCGGAAATCGATGGGAAGGCGCGCGACAGCGTGACGACAGAACGGTTACGATGTGCGCAGGTACGCGCCGGCAATAAGGGAGCCGGGCTACGACGCGCCGGCCTCGGTCGAGGAGATCTACTTCCGGCCGCAGCCGGCCCCACGGACTCCCAGCTGCTGCTATCATCGGCAGCCGATCTACGAGGACGAGATGTCGCACTACGCCGCTCCGATTCCGCTCTACACACGCCTCTCCGGTAAATATAACCACTTGCTTTCCTAGCTTTCTTTTATGCTAACAATCCTAGATACGCGAGACACTTTATCGCGATCATTAGCCGCTCGGCTTGTATTGTGCGCTCGTTCCGCATGCCTGGTACATTATTATAAGGACGACACCGACCGCTCGCGGAACGAAAATCTGCCTCTTGACAATCAACGTGCTCGGCGATTCAATTTCATTTTTTTTTTCCGTCTTGATCACTTCGCCCAGCTGATTACGAGCGACGTTCTTGTTTTCTTTTTTTTTTCTTTTCCCTCTTGGTTGGAGCGCAATTTGAAAGAATGGGCGGACACGAAGTAATTTGCGCGAGAGCATTAAGCAGTTGAGTTGCAGCTCTCGAACGTCCAATCAAGTGGCGCGGGGCAGAAATTTCTGTCGCAGCTCGGAACGGCTCGACGATTCGCGGGGATAAAGTGCATCTCGTGGAACGCCGCTAAGTGGGGTGTCCGCGGACGAAACCCTTAACGACGCTCGCGTCGGACGTTGCTTAGCGCATGACGTGCGCGGCCCGCAAAGCTACGTGAACGCGCGTGCGGTGGCCGGCAATTAGAGGAAGCGCACGAGAGAAACGAGTGGAGCAGAGGCTCGCGGGTGCCAGGTTTGCCTGCGTCCGAAAGAAGGCGCGCGCGCGAGCGTGACGCGACGATCTCGCGGCACCGCGATGGCGATTTCGCGCGACCGCGGTGCCAAGTAGACCGCGGAAAATGGCGCGGCAATTAGCGACGATCGCGAGCTTTTCGTTGGGCGGCAGCTCGCGTCGCGAGATACGATCGCTCGACCATTGTGCCGCGCACGCACTGCCGGAGAATATCCTTCTTTTTTTCTTCTCTTTTTCCACGGGAGGCGTTTGCGCGCAACGGCAATGCATACGTTGCGACGTTGAGCAATGATGCACGGCTGATCGTGCTTTTGTGATTTGACGGATTTATGCAGCAGCGTGTAACGAGAATTTAACGCTTGGCTCGCTGATTCGTTTAATTTGCTGGTTATTTGATTTATCGGTCGTTCGCGAATGTAACCATCTTTGTCTTTAATGCAATATACATTTGAATGTATATTTTGGACTATTTGCAGTGAACGTAAGAACGAATTAGCCATGAAAAGTGCGTAATTTTCAATAAAAGTTAACGAGTTCGAATCAATCTTATCTGAAACTTTTCAGACGACCCTTCGTCTCTCACGAGACACGAGTACACCGTTGATCGCGCGTATGGCTGTGGGGCTGAACCGAACGCGTGGGAAATTGAAAAACACAGTGTGATCCGCGCATTACTGTGACGCTCATAGTCGCATGGGAGAAGCAAACGGTGCAAAATGTTCCAAGCGTCATCTCCAAACTATGCCTTACTCAATTAGCCACTGTTGATGCAAATGCGCTCGCGATTATCTTGGTGCCTGTGCATCACCTCGCGATTACGTGTATTTTCTTTTCGCGGGGCATTGGGTCGCGTTTGTTCAGTTCGTATTTCGGTCAACGCCGCCATAACATCGGATACATTTCGAAATATCAATCGCATTTTCACCTGTTAAACTTTGTTTTACGTCCTCGTTCGACGAGGCGCCAGCGAGGAGAGTGAAAGCCCACGCGTACGCAGACGAAAGCGATCGATGTCTTTAATATATCCACATCGCGTCACTTTCACGGGACAGTCTCCTCTTGTTTTTTTTCCCCTCGGCAGTGCACCTCGTGGCTGCAGCTCGTGCATTTTTGCGCAGATACCGGAAAATCGCCGATACGCGTTGGTCGCGTCGTTCCTGTGCCAATCCCGCGCCAGAAGCCCGGATCTCGTCGTGGAATTATACGACGGTCAACGGGGACGCGTCATCGCGTTACTCGCGGCGCTCGTGTTCGCGAATGTTCCTCGCCGCGCGCGCGCAATTAAACCGATTCGGCGACGATGCTAACCGAGTCGTGCGACCCATTCGCGACCACGTTATCTCTGGAATTCGTCTTTTCGCAGTCGCGCCCTTCGTCCGCCTCGCGGCGGCGTTCATATATCAACGTGAAATTACACGGTCGAAGGGATTGCACCGTCATGTGTTTACGCGGACGCGCACGGCTGCAAGTGTCTAGGTCACGCTCAGTTTCTCTTTGCGCTGCGCTACGGCCGTCCGCTCGCGGGCGGCTCGGTGAAAAGAAAAAAAAAATAATAATAAGCTACTCGCGTATTAATTAATAAGTCACGTGCTCGTCCTGCGATACATCGCGAATTTCAAGTGGACGCGTGGAAAGACTGTGTTTCGACTCGCGATTCTCAACGCGAACCGTCGCCGTTATAATCAGATTCGCGAAGCTCGACGGCCGATTGAATGTTGTCAAGCTTGTTATGAAAAACGTGACTTCAGTGTTTCAACTTAGTGTCCATATAATCGTCTTTCTTTCCCACCTGGTCGTCTCATCGCCCTCCTCGGCCAGCGTCGCTTTCACAGCGTAATATTCAGCTCCGCTTTTTCGCGTCACGGTCATTCGGCAAAATCTCAATTGTAACCGAAGAAAGCTTGAATAAAAACGAAAACATGATCTGCAGCGGATAAAAGAAACTATGCAATCTTCGGGAGCACATGATCGTTATCCGAATCGCGCGCGCGCCTTGGAGCATTCAACTAATCAGGGGAAGTAGAGCGCTCGTACGAGTTTTCTCTATCTCTTCGAACGAAAACGAAAGAAGAACAAAATCGAAAGAGACTCGACTAATGAGCTTCTTTGTAAAAATCGACGTTTTAGAAACGAGAAACGCGAGGCGTGCTTTTACTTTTACGGAAGGCCAAATAAACATAGTCGCCATACGTTTAGTTGTCATTCTCGTTCCTCGGAATACTCGCATCTCGACGATTCCTCGGAGTTAGGATCTCGCTCCGATCGACAGCGAATTAATGCGGCGGTCGACCTCGAGCGAAGCGGCCATTCAAGTTAAATCGGATCAGATTTGAATGCGCGAGCCGGCTGGTGCTAGCGACGCCGCGTCGCGCGACAAACAGCGAGAAAATCGGCGAAACGGCGCTCTCTTCCGCGGCGACGCGGTTACGGCTCTCTCGCGTCTCGTTTCGCATCCTCTCGCGTTCTTTTGGCACTCCGCTTCCGCAGCGAAATTCACGGGCTCGGCCTAACGGAACGGCTCGACAATTATACCGGTAATCGCGGCGGCAGTGGATGCCCGCACCGGCGACGATTGATTTAATTTTCAGACGGTGCGCGTCGCGCCGCGCCACGATTCGACCGTGTCGTTGACATTGCACAGCGGACGTTGGTCATGACTGCTCGTTTGCTTGTTAAGGCGGCCTTTTTTTTTATTCATCAAGCGAACTCACACGCGCGCAAAAGAAATTGAGCGGAACGATCGTTCAACTGTAGAATCGTCCGCGCACGATGCCGATTTGGTTTCATTATCGTTCTGACCGGTGATCAGTGTATCTGCTTAAGATACAAGCTCGACTGTCATCAAATATAGAGTTTCAACTCAGCGTACCTGAGAGCACGGTCATTGCAATCGTTCGACAGTATTTCTTCCGTGAAAAATTTAAATACTCGCTTTGTCCCCGTTACGAACACTTCCCGATTTCCAATGTGCACACATCATAAATAAGTAGCTCTAGAAACACTGTTTGCAAACGCGCGTTTCGTGTGTAGCGCATAGATTATATGCCTTATAATACAGCTGTAACGACAAAAAAAACGTACACACATTATGCATTTACCAGCTCGCATTAACTGGAGTTATGGCAAAAGCGGATGCCGGGACGAAGAAAAAACGAATCATAAATTATCGCGTAGGGATTGATTTTTTTCTCTCTCTCTCTCTCTCCCACTTCCAAACGTTGCCTACTTTCGCACATCTGATTAATACGCTAACTTGACAGGCAGCTTTCTTATATAAATTACACGTTGCAAATCACTCGGCCAATAATGCAGGTGGCTCTTGGATATTGAAACAAAACAAAAATCGCACCCGCGGCATGCGAGACACCTCGCGCTCTCGCTCGTAATCGCTTCATTATTTTACATAATCGCGATGCGCGTACGCGTGTCACCGATGTTGTGTATCTGCGCGTGTATACGCGAAGCTTTCGCGCTCGAGAGTTAGAAAGGGAATCGCTCGTGCGAGCAAAGCAGCCGCGGTTTTCACCTGTGACCATATACAATTTTTCCGGCATTGAATTTCACCGACGCGCAAAATGCCAAGAAAAAACGTGTAAATATCCCTCGCGCCGTTACATTGTCGCGTATACGGCTTTTCCGCGTGTATGTGCTGACGAACTTGAGCGGTGGATGCGGTTTGCTTTACGGCCCCGGCCGTTAGCGAGGCGCGCGCGTACACGGGAGGACTTGCGAGGCAGAGGCGCGCTCTGCTTCGACGTGTTCTCATCATTGTCTATCCGCGGGGTTGTGCTGTAGTTGCGTCACGGAGCATACCCCATTTGCATAATAAATATATGACAGTTGACCGTTTACTTTCTCTCCGTGGACGTTCAATGGTTTAGATTAGATTAGTTTATTGCTGCTGTAAAATTTACTTATTAAATACTTATAAGATAGATCCAGCTTCTTAATTAAATGGCATTAAATGGGTTGATTCCGTTCCCTGCAGATAAAGCCCGTTTCGTTTTACTACTTGCATTTTCCGGTTACCAATTGTGAAACGAGTCTCAGCGATGATGATTTAAAAATGCTGCTTTAGAGGGGAAAAAAAGCGAATCTATTATCGCGCAAAAAACTTAAAGACCCCCATTTCCCGTCGACTGGCAAGAATTAATCTAGCCGTAAATCCAAGCCTCTCGTTAGCTCATACGTTTTGCTTTCGAAAAGGTGGAAAAACTTGTCGACATCGAAGCGGCTACGACGGCGACCAAAAATTAAAGTGCATTTTTCTACGGCGAGATTGCGTAATGGCCCGCGCGAACGTGCAAGCGCGTATACGCATCAAAAGGTGAAGCAACGGCGAAATTTTTCAGTAACTAGTTGAGCGCTCGCGAATCCCCTTGCGACACTGCCGATCGCGAGACGTACGCGCACGCACGATTCCCCGAGAGTAGACCGAGAAGACGAGAGAGAGAGAGAGAGAGAGAGAGAGAGAGAGAGAGAGAGAGAAAATAAGGAAATGACTGATCAGACTGCGTCGTGATTGCGAAAGGCTTTTCTAATTCGTAGAGATAGGCACGAGCGCGCAAGAGCTCGAGGTCGAGAGAACGAGACTTTTTCTCCTCGGCGCGTTGCACTTTCGGCGTCAAGTAGCGTAGGAGAAGCCGTCCCGATCGATATGTTGTTCGGCCGTGCAATCATCGCTTTCTCGATAATCACCATTAACGATTCCATTGTGCCCACCCGTCTCGTCAGCTCAACCCGGTCGTCGCGCGGCTCTCGTTCGCGCGCGCAAATAGGCGCGCGCAGAAGCAACGCGCAAGGGGAGACAGACGCGCGATAACCGTGGATCGTCGCGTGCATTTCGCCACGACGCCGATCAATCGGCCGACGGCGCCTCTCCCTTCAATATCAATCGAGCCGCGTGGGCGCGCGAATCGTCGCGCCGAGGCGAGCGTCCTCGGCGCGCTAAATCGCCGGTTGCGCAAAGATCAGCGCGTCTCGCGGCTGCACCTGCTCGGCGCCTTTCTCCGTGTGCGACCTTCGCCCGCCGCGCGTGCCCGAAAAATGCGCTTTCCTCGGCCCGCTCGAGGCGAAGTCGCGCGCTCCTGTGGCCGCGCAGTCGGTCCGTTGCTGGCGCATTAATTGGACCTCTCCGGTCCCCGGCCGTCCGCGTCAACTTTTACGTGGCGAGTTTTCCCGTTACGCCGGCGTGCGTTCTGCGCGCAGCCGCTCGGAGACGCGAGTCTCGTGGGAGAATTTCGCTCGCGTAATTGACGACAAGCGCGTCGATGCCCGTCGACGCTGCGCGATCAAAAAAGACGACTCGATTGCGAAAAGTATTTGGCGCGATCGTGATCCCCACGAGGCCCGTGAAATTGTTCGCGATTGCATCCACTATCGCTGTCCCCGCGCGCGGGAAGTGGACACTCGTTTGGTTTGGCGCGGCGATATACGTCACTCGTCAGGGCTACTGCTACTCTGCTTCCAAATGGTTATTCAGTACGTGGGTCTGCTCGTCCTCGCGAATTATCGGTCGACTCTGCAAACTCCTAAGGGCATTACGTAAAGTCGAGTGTATTCATTTGCGAATTATACTGGGAGGCACGCGCATGCATGCCGCATGGTAACGGCCCGTGTAATAGCGTGAATTGTTAAAGCAAAGCGCTTGATAAAGCAAAGCGATTCGATGAGCTCCCAATGAGGAGCGTCGCGATCGCGCGCGTGAGAAAATACGAGCGTCGTCGTCCGAGATGAGCGTTGAAAAGTTGAGGCAAGCGAGGAAAATCGTTGTCCGATGTCCCTTGTTGCGCCGCGTGACCGCCCACGACGTATCTAGCTGCGGTTTGCTCGGATCATCGGAGTTTACGAGCTGCCTCCGGCTATTATTGACTCGCGCCGGTCATCTTTTCGGTCTCCATCGACGACAACGTTCTCCTTAGCGCCGATCGACGATCAAACGCGAGAGCTCGCGACGGCGCGCGCCAGCGGATGCGACGAGAGCGCTCGCACGAGCAGCGTGCGTCTTTGCCCCGAGGACGCTGTCGTAACCCGCGATTTGAATTACACACCTTCGCGCGCGATCATGCAAATGCCATTACCTCTCGCAGCGCATTGTAACCATAATAGGTCCCGACGACGACGAAAACGCGAGACGACCGGGACTGTTCGGGCGGCGCTGAAAAAGCTCGAGGCTGACGCAACGCGAACGCGAGCGAAAATTTCTCATCAGGCGCTATATTGGACGAGCATCCCGTAACAATGCGCGCGCTACCCGGGCGCTGGCCATACGCAACGAGGCCATCGCTCAGCGAATAACAATGAGCAGCGTGCCGCACGGATGGACGCGCAACACAAGCGAGATAATTAGCGCGCGAGCAGAGTTTTCACTTGATGCAGACGCCATATACTTCACTTTCCTTCGCGGTCGCAACTGCGAACGCTTTTTTTCCGGATTGCAGTGAAAGGCTGAGGATTGATTTGATCGACCGCATTGATTGCCGAGTAATGAGCCTAATTGTCCCGCGGGTTCTTACTTTTCTCTATCCCCTTTTTTTTAGCGGATGTATGGAAGCCGTTTGATTGCTATCGAAGCTCTATAACTAAATTCTCTTGAGTCTGGTTCAATTAGTACGATGATTAGCGTTTGGTTATTTTGTAAAAAGGTACTTTTCTTCGTTGAATTATTTCCGAGTAAACTGCCTCGGATAAATATAATCAGCTGAAATAGCGCTTATTGGCAGAACGGAACGGCTGCGTTGTATTTTGCTTAATGTTTGCCTTCGAAAATTTCTTGTTATTTGATTTGATCGTTATTGCGCGAAGGTTTATGCTATTCGAATCTGTTTAATGATCTCGTTATTAGCAACTACAGTCGGCAAAAGAATTACATAAGTCCAAAACTTATACTTCAAGTATATTATCACTTTAGTAGATATAGTCGTTAATTCATAAACAAACATCAATCAAAAAATCATTTAGATATGGATTCTAGCTCAAATAGATTAATCTAGTGAGCCTCGAATATTTCTTTAATTCTATTTGCATACAAAATCGTTTTCTTTATTTTTTTACTGTGTGAATCCCTTTAGCCTGTACAAACGCATTTCGCAAATGCTTTTTCGCAAGTACTCGTCGTCTTTGGAATATCGATCGCCGTTGCCACCGCGATTTCGCAAGTAGATGCGCAACATGTTATATAGATTGTGCTATACGCTTTTGCTTTTTAGAGCTCGAGCACGAGGAGCTCAGGACGAGGGAAATGATCAGGCGGCGTAGCCAAGCTACTTCAAGGTCAAGAAATTACCTCAGGTATAAAAGAATATCGTTTATTAGTTGTTCTTGATATAATTAGGCTGTATTTTTCTAATCTTTCATAAAACAACAATTTCTCAAAACTTCTTACGTTAAAATTTATATTATGAATAATAAATATTTGAAGCATCAAGTTCATGATTAATTTTCCTATTAATTACATTTTTTGGTGAATTAAAAAAATACTTTGGATACTCTATCAATTTAATTAAAACGAAAAACAAATATTTTTATCACATTAAATCAATATGATTAAACTTGAATAATAAGTAATAATAGTAATAATAATAAGAATAACAAACGTATAGTCGTAAGATCATGAACCCATCAGAGATGGATTTAGTGAAATAAATATCTCAAGTCAAAATAATTTGAAGTAGCATTTTTCCCTCTATATATACGTGTAAACCGCGTCATCTGCAGTCACTTATTGTTATATATATAATATCTTATATTTGCAAATATAAATAACCGAAAATTACATGTTGTAAAACAAAAGTAACTAAAACTTTCCTGTAGCAGAGAAGAGTGCTACTATCACCGAAAGCCGAATGAGATGTTAATGGAAGCACCATCGCTTATGATGGAAGAGGATGAGTTGCTATTGGATGAGGTCGAGGCCGTAGGATATAGGGAACCAAGCCATTACAGCAATAAAACCTCCCACATCACACTCAACGCGTATGGTCATCTGAAGATCGACTACACCAACAGCTGGAACTCACTACACAGAAAGATCATTAGTAAATGAGAATTGAGAACCCACGATTGCTGATTTACGTTTTTTTATATCGTTGTAAGACTACTATTAATCTATGTGTATCTATCTTATATTATGATCTTTGGTTCTGTACATTTTTCAAAATAAAATAAAATTCTTTATTCATGATGTTCTATTGTAAGATCTGTCGTATCATCTTTTAAAAAAAATAGTTTTCTTTTTTTTGCACTAGTAGACTTGGTTTCTTTTATTAATGCTTCTTTTTTTTGTATTCCATCAACTGAAATGTCTAAATTTGTGTATCTAAAAAAATTAAAAAATTAAAATATTAAGCAGAAAATTGATACAGCAAAAATATATCTTTTTTTAATTATAATTAAATATATCTGATGTCAAACTAGGTTCTGAATTTTACCCCCCGATACCATGATTATGATATGATAAAAAGTGAATAGATTTAAATAAGAATAAAATTTAAATAAAAGAATGAAGTCACATACCTATTTGGCAAAACCAATGGAGATTTCTTTTTTAGTTTTGTAACTGAAGTTGGTGAAGAATTATTGATAAATGATGGGTGTGAAAAATTGCTGTTAACACTGTTTTTATTTGGCTAATTAAAGCAAATGTTATAAATGATTTAAATTATGATACTAAATTCATGCATGAAATATATACTTTTGTAATTGTTTGCAACAATTGAAGCATTTAAGGTACAAACCTTCTGTATTCTTTTGTCACTGACATTTTTAGGTTTGTTACATTTGTTTTTCCACAATGTGTTCTCCTTTTTCAATTGATCAACTACAAAAAAGTATATATTAAAGTTTATAAATGTAACAAAAAATAACTGAATTAATATTCATGACTTACTTGTTGTAGAGTATTCATTAAGCAATAAATTTTGATCTTGGATCGTAGCATTTAAATTGTTATTTTCCTTTTGTAGAGACTCCACCGTAGTTTTGAAAGTGTTTGCTTTGTCCATTTGTTTTCTAAGAAGTTTGATTAATTGGTTCCGATAGGATTCTAATTCTCCTATCCTTTCTTTTTGTTTTATATACAGTAGCTCCATAGTTTTGTATTCTTCTTCTAGGCAGGTATGTTTCTAAAATATACAATTTTTCGTGTAATGCTACCTTATGTAGACTGACTTCTGCTATTATTGGAATAGAAAAACAAAATTCAAGTACTTACATATTTTATTTCCTTGAAATTATCCATAATAACATCAAATTGACATCTTATAGTTGCATCCATGATTTCTTACAAACATATAGCATTGTTTGTAAAACAAATAACTGTGAGTAGTTTTAAAGATTTTTATAAGAAATTTCGCTAAAAACTATGCAAAATAACAGTTATTTACATTTTCTAATTATTTTGCTCATCTGTCATTCATGCACTACTTCCAAATAAAATACCGATCGCCGAATACCGAGCTGTACCAATCTACAACCTATATAGGTATAGATCTTGTTTGATGCAAGTTACGACTTGAGAATGAAACAGTCAGTTTAGTCAGTGAACGCGTATTTTCTAATTTCGAACATGGCACTTGATTGTTATAAGAATATGATGCACAGCAATATAATTTTATTAATTTTTTATTTACATTGATCAAAAAAAAATTTCAACATTAAGTGAAATAAAATATTCCTTTTATATTTTATATAATATAATTTGGCTGATATATTTATTAGCGTATTAAGTTTATGATTGATGTGGAAACATTTGTTATCAATGATCCTAATTATATTCACAGCTTTTTATTATACGTAATAATATATATGAATACGAAACTATTTCTCGGCTTATATACAATATAAGTCACAACAGTCGATCAGTAGAGTTCTACATTGTCAGTAACTCCTGCAATATAGTATATAGGATAATCATTGTATTATATCGGCATGCTCGCATGCATGTTATTAGGGTATCTTTAGTTCATTGATAAATGTGTACAAATAATAATACGAAAACCTTATTGATTTTATAAACATATTAGAAAAAGTAAAAATTTGGTAAATCACAAATTATGAAAATCATCAGGGTAAAAAAAACACGTAGAACTTTATCCTAAAATTTCATCCACAAAAGATAACCTATTAGTATAGTGACATTTTTTTAATTAATTTAGTCTTGCTTGTATTATATGTTTCAAACATTTTAAAATGTATTTTCGAATAATAAGGAATATTTTTAATGCTTCAACAAAAATCTCCAAACAAAACATTTATGACAATGCCAAATTTATTTTTTCCATGCACTTGACAGTACCTAAATTGTCAGTATGTACTGATCAATATTTCATACAAAATTATTCAACTAATAGTGAACATCTTGATAAATGTATTTCTGAAGAAGACTTATTAAATGAGAAATCTGTAAATGATAATGAGTGTGACTTGGACGAACAACATGGCAAACAAGATGAGATTAACTATCAATGGAATATGCAAAAACGTAAAAATTATTTTAATGAAAAAGATCAAGAACAACTAGATGCAATATTGAAAGATAATCCAGAGATGCAAAAATTGAAAAAAATCATAGAATTGGAACTTATTGTCTTGCAGCAGGATGGTGAACGAGTACCAACTAAATTAGATCCTCAACAATGGTGTGAAGTACTAGGATTAAGAAGTAACTCTCAAAGAAGGTAGCAATTCAGTTTTTGTTTCAGGATCATTTAAATTATTAATATCGATAATTATCTATCTAAATGTTTTTGAATTTTAGAAAATTCTACAAATATTGTTTTATAAATGAAAAATTAGAAGAAAGAGATAAGAAATATAAAGAAGAAAGACGTTTGGAGTTGCAACAAATTAGAGAAGAAAGAAAATACGCTACTCCATCTGAGGGGATTCAATATGGCTTTGCTGATAATTTCATGCTGCGGCGTATAAGTAATACGTATATAAATCAACATCTACAGTGGAATTTGCTAAGAGCATTAATGTTTGGCAACAAGTTAGTTTTCGATTGTAGTTATGATAATTACATGTCAATTCTAGAAGCAAAAAGTTGTGCTAAACAATTGAATGAATCATATGCGGCAAACCGCATACATCATTATCCTTTTGAAATTTTTTTGACTAATGTAAATCGTAACAGTAAGACAATAGATACTCTTCATAGATATATTCCAATTTTGTATGAGCCAGACTTCCCATTTACAATCACAGAAAAATCATATTTGGAATTATTTGATCGATCAAAGTTATGTTACTTATCATCTAATGCTCCATCTGTGTTGGAAGAGTATGATCCTGAAACAATTTACATAATAGGAGCTTTTGTTGACAAGGTATAACTTTCATTTATTGAAGTATTTTAATGTTGATATATGACAAAAACATTTTTGTAATTTAAATATTGTTTATTATAAACAGGGTTCCAAACAACCAGTTTCATTCAGCAAAGCTAAACGAGAAGGTATAAGAATGGCAAAATTACCATTGGATAAGTATCTTCATTTCGGCACTAGCGGTGGCAGAGATTTGACTCTAAATCAGATGTGTAGTATAATGTTGGACTCACAATATAAAAGTTGGCAGGAAGCTTTGAAGCATGTGCCAACGCGCAAACTACATGATTCAATGATCAGAACTCTAGAAAACAAAATAAATAGAGCTAAGAGAATGTTCACAGATGATGAGCCCCATTCATATGATTCTATTAAGAAATCATCAAATGAAAGTTTCAAATCATCACATGCAAGATTTGGATCAAATGAAATTTTTAGATCATTAAATGAAAGTTCCGTATCATCCAGCCAGAATATTTCTTCAGCTGGAGTGCAGGACTTTAGCCATTCAGCTCGTACTAAGCTTAGAGAAAGATGGAATAAATAAAGTTACTAAATTGTATACAAAAAATTGAAACTGTTTAATTTTTGTTAAAGATGGCTGTATAGTTTTAGAAACTACATTTCTGATGTAAAAGTTGAGTTACTTTAATTTCACATATTTTTGAAAAAGCTCATTAAGAAAATGTTCTTAATGTAAACAAATTTGTACATAAATAAATTTTTGTGAATTTCAATTTATCCACGACAGTGATATTTAATTTAATGAAATATATAAAAAATAGATACAAATAATCCTAACTGCAGTCATTAGAAAATACATTGAGTGTTTTAAATGCAATAAAATAGTCCGCATCAGCAAAATTATACTTGCTGAGCAATAATCAAAATGTAATTTACTGTTTAATCACAAATTTTAAGTTTTTCCTTGAATTGTTTTTTAAATTTGACACATAACACAACGTAATACGAACATCAATCATTTTACATACTTTCTTGAGAACTTCGTTTTATCGATATGTGAGGATAACGATTTCTCCAATCAATAATATTTGCGTCACTTATTCCTTCACAAAAACTTAAATCAATCATACGCAACTGCAAACAACAAAGCAATTTTATACACATATCTGAACTTAAAAATTGAGCTCCAAGAACGTCTAATTGTTGTAAATTGTGACAAGACACTAATGGCTCCAAATCGCGGTCAGTCAATCCTCGGAATGATGTCAAGAATACTTTTTCTAGACTTTTACATGAACTCAACAACGTTCTCAGTGAATCTCCAAGTGCTCCTATTCCACTACTGCAGTGAATTATTCATGTATAATATTCTGATTATTTTATAAATTTTGAGTTTTCAGTTGTTTACACTTACCACCATCCGAAATCGATCTCTCTTAAACTGGTACAAAGAGCAAGAGCTCTTATGCCATGGCTAGTTAGGGTTTGAGCTTTCCAAAAATCTATAGTTTCCAATTTTAAGCACGAGATACTTAATTCCTTTGCTACATTATCCATTTTGAGTCGGTCGTGCATACCGGCTAAGTTTAAATATCGCATATGATTATTATTCCGCAGAATTGAGCAAAGTGTGTCTGTTTCAATCGACGTTCTATAGAGTTCCAGTCTTTCCAAAGTTCCTAAATTTTCTAATGACGAAAAACCATTACCAGTTATTGTCGTGCAGTTTCGCAAACATAATTCTGAAATGTAAATAATACATAGAAATATATTTTCGTTTATAATTTTACATTATTGTAATATAAAAATTTGTTTATACCTTTTAAATTTTTACAAATTTGCGAAATTTCTCGTATAACAGAATTATTTACAAAGCGACAGCAATTCAGCCTTAAATGTGTTAGGGCACTTCCACTGCTTTGTAAAAAAGCAATAAAGTCTTCAGAATTTATTGTATCATAGTTTCCGCACCATGAAAGATCCAGTTGCTGCAAATACTGACATTTAGATACAAAACTGTTCAAAACAGTTGCATCTATACAGTGCCAATAAGGCTTTAAATTCAGATTTGTATATAAAAGAGCATCATGAGCAATGTTGTTGAAGTATCGATTAACTTGACTACATCGACTCAGAGATTTAAGGTCTAAATTTTTTAAAATTTTCAAAACAGTTTCATCCTATGGAATACAATATTTTGTTAAAGTTTACTTTACATTTATTATTAGAAAATGTCAACAGATTTTTAAAAAACTTACAGGTAAGGATGAAAAACTCCCACATATATTGTTTGACACATTATTCATACTGGGTTCTGACTCAGGTTCCATTAGAGCTACTGAAGATGAAATATTAATATCCTTAATGAGTTTTGGAAAGTCTTCTTGAAGAAACTTTTGTAAACTATTAAATGCTTCTTCAATTGGTGGAATGTGTAAGCCTAATTTTGCTGCCAATCTTCCTTTAGGAACTTTTTCTAAATTTTTACTGAAACAAGAAGTATTTGTGGAAATGAAAATTCTGTTTTGTTTATTTTAATTTAAAGTAAAATCTATGTACTTTTTATAAAGAACACAATGTTTGTACAGAGTCCTTTTCAGCAACTTCAAATCCTGATTTACAGTCAAGTAATTAGGAGTTAAATTATAAAAGTCTTCATTATTATACCCTACACCTCCCAATTCCCTTAACAAGCTACTTAAACTATAAGTCTGATTTCCTATATTGGGAACAATCAGTTCTGAAGTCCCAATAAGTAACACAGCATCCAGTTGTGTGTAATAATCAAGTAAACTGTGATTAAATTCCAGTCTTAGCATTTTCGTCTTGAAACTACATAATTGAAGTGGTGGTGAAAAAATGCGAGCTTTGTGTGGCACAATTTGTGGAAAACCATTCCATAGACGATACCATTGACCAGTCTCATCTTTTGCCCAGATAGCTACAACACTGCCTGGATTGTAAGTTTCATAAATAGATATTCTTACTGGATAAACTTCTTTGTGGTACTCTAAATCTATTGGATAGAAATAATGAGTTAATGATATCAAGATAACCAACTATTAAAATTATTGATAAAGCACTTGCCTATATAATCATGACTAATAACAGGATCATTGTTTTGGGGCATGTAATCCAAAGACCTTGAAGGGGCATTATCCCACCAGGTGCCATAAGTTCGCTGTAAAACATATAATCAATGTTATAAAGTAGTTTTTATAATGCACAGCACAACAAAAGCAAAAACCGATAGTGAAAAAAAAAATCAGCCGATATTTATAAAATATAAATAAAAAAAGCACCAATAATCACCATGACAAAGGTCTGAGGAAAGTCTCCATAATCGGGGAATTTGCTGGGATTGCCTGCAACATTGTAAGCGGTATAAGAAATGCTGATATTGCTGCCGTACTGTGAACTAAAGTCGACGACATCCTTGACGAATTGCTCGACAAACTGGACGGACTCTTCTATGCAGCCAAGTTTGGCTTTCCTCAATGGCACCAGCTCGAGCTTTGTGCACGAGGAGGCGCACGACGACACCATGTCTATCGCGATGATGTCTTTGTCATCGGCTGCCTCTGCTGTTCATCACACCCTTTGTTTTTCTCACTCGTGCTCGTCCCGACGACGCCACACAAAGTATTGACAGGTCGCTGCTCGCTCACTCTCTCGCTCTTTCTCTCTCTTTCTCTCGTTCACAGTTCACAGTACGTGTGCATGCGCAAACCCCCTGAGCAGTTGCCATGTTCCGAAACAGCTGTTTGTCACGGCGCTGTCGATTCGCGGTCCAGCGTCAAACCTTTCACGCCGCATAATTCATTAATAATGTTACAATGTTTATTAACGGCGTAGGCTTTGTTTGTTAATCGTGACCGCGTGGACGATGAGTAATGAAAATTCAATAACGTATGTGTCGCTTTCGCGGAACACTGTATATATCAGATAAAGAGATTATTTGTTTCGGAGTGACTATTGTTGAGTAGATTTTAAAAGATAAAAAAATGAATAACGTTCTTACGTCTTCAATAAAGACTGTTAGCCAGAAGATAGTATCTGGTGAAATTCGTCCATCGGAACTGATAAAAGCTACTCTGAATCTGACTGCAACTGTTAAACCTCTCAATCCATTTATTACTGTTACAAGTGAACTTGCAAAACAACAATCTCATGAATCAGACAAAAGACAAAAGAAAAATGCATTGTTGGGACCACTTGATGGGATTTCAATTGCTGTCAAGGATAACTTTTGCATAGCTAAACAACCTACAACTTGTGCATCCTTGATGCTTGCCAATTTTATACCTGGTTATGATGCTACTGTTTATAAGAAATTGAAAGAATCCGGTGCTGTTTTGATTGGAAAAACTAATTTGGATCAGTTTGCTATGGGTGCTGGCACTGTTGACTCTTATTATGGGCCTTCTAAAAACTTGTGGGGTTCAGAGATTATGAAGAATTATATTTTTGATGATTATTTCCATGACGAAGAGATACAGTTTGCTGATATCTTGTCCAATGAAAATAAGTGGTATATAGCAGGTGTTTTGGCATATCATATTTCAATAAACATAAACTATTACCTGATACTAAGACTATTCTAATTACAGGAGGAAGCAGCGGAGGTTCAGCCATAGCAGTTTCAACAGGAACATGTTTTGCAGCTTTGGGCTCAGACTCTGGTGGCTCTACTAGAAATCCAGCCTCATATTGTGGCATTGTAGGTCTCAAACCAACGTATGGCCTAGTCTCTCGACATGGTCTCATACCCCTAGTCAATTCCATGGATGTACCTGGAATAATGACAAGGACCATAGATGATGCAATTCTAATGCTTAACACGTTGGCTGGACCCGACCCACTGGATTCAACAACTTTGAAAGATCCATATATTCCTTTCCAATTATTGTCACCTGTAGATGTGAGTGGATTAAGGATAGGATTGCCAAAGGAATATAGATGTAATGAATTGTCAGAAGAGATGGACTCAAATTGGGTAGAAATAAGTCAGTTGTTAGAGGAAGGAGGAGCCAGGGTATTCCCAGTTTCACTTCCTCATACAGAATACTCAATAGTATGTTACTCTGTTCTTAACCAATGCGAAGTCGCTAGCAACATGGCTCGATACGACGGTATAGAATACGGCTACCGAGCTGACGTGTACACCTCGACGGAGGAACTGTACGCGCAGACACGAAGTAAAGCCTTCAACGACGTGGTGCGAAGTCGAATTCTCGCTGGCAATTACTTTCTGCTCTCGGAGAACTACGACGACTACTTTGTCAGAGCGATGAAAGTGAGACGACTCATAGCCGAGGACTTTGACCGCTGCTGGCAATCTGGTGTCGACATTCTCCTCGCACCGACGACCCTCGGCGAAGCGCCAACTTATCGCGACTTCGTCAGCGTCGACAACCAGACGCAGTGCTCGGTTCAAGACTTTTGCACTCAGCCAGCGAACATGGCTGGGATACCAGCTGTAAGCGTGCCCATCAAATTATCCAGAAGAGGACTTCCGTTGTCGCTGCAACTGATGGCTCCAAAACTCTGCGAGGAGAGGCTACTTGCAGTTGCCAAGTGGATCGAGGACGTCGTCAAGTTTCCGAGACTCGTTCTTAAGGACGACGCATTAATTAAATAATTTCGCTCGTTATAAGCGCTTGAGTGCGCCACCGATAGATGCTTTTTATAAGATTGTCGCCATGATGATAAAGTTGCGATTGTTACGAGAGTTATTGGGAGAATTGAGGAGTTATTGATATTTGTTGAATTTGAGTAAATAAAATTTTATATTTGACGCAATGCAAACCATTTACTTAAACTTTTTAATTTGCGTTTAAGTTCGTTTTCGCTTTTGCTACTAGATAAAAGATTAGAAAAATCAAATAGGTACTGCGTATTTCGAATTACCATTATTAAAGTAACTTTATAAAGATATATATTGATATTTTGTTTTGTAATGAAATTTTTTACTTTTAACATAGATTATCAGTATTGGAGTACTTTATTTAAATAATGTTTTTTCATGAGCTCGCAATATATAATCAAGAGAGCTCGCAAATATAGGTAATATAAATTCATATTTCATAGGAAGGACGCAACTAGGACCACTTGAATCCTAACTCAACAAAAGTCTGCATGTGTATTTGTACAAGCTCTACGGAGATAAATTAAAAGAAAATACGCTGTCAGGCAGTACGATAACAATAAAAATCCACTTCTGTCGTAGCGGCGAGAAAAAATCCAAAGCCATTTATATATCCCAGCAGTCCAAACATCTGCAACTCTCGAAATAATCGTCACCCTCGACGCGAAAAAAGGAGCATCGTCGTACGCATCTCTCGTTCGCTCCCCTTGAAGGGGTCGCCAGTGCCACCCCTCGTCGACGACGACGGTGCCCAAGTCGAGCTGCGCATGAGCGTATCCCAGGCGGCGGCGGTGTCGGTGGCGATGGAAGGAGCGGAGCGCCGTCGCGGAAAAGCTCAGTCATACGGTCAGTCGAGGAGCGACCAGCGAGCGCGCGACGCCTCCGCTCTTCGTCGCTCGCCTTTTCTCTCAGTGCTCTTCCACCGTAGAGCAATAATCGAACAAACGTGGTGGCCTGTTTGGCTGCCCTTGTCGATCGTCGACTCTGTGACACGTGCGGTGTGTGCTTAGTAGTTGGTTTTCCTTACTGCCCGAAAAAATAAAAAAATAGCGATCTCCGAGAAGGTAAGGATCGCGCCGTTCTCGGCAGATGTTTTCGCTGATGCGCTTATCCAGTTTTCGCTGCGAGACGTACCTGCGCATTTGGTGTGACGCTCGGCGAAGCTACGTGCACGCGGGATAAGACGGCGACAATAAGGAGCGAGCGTTTGTCAGGGAGGGGGGGGGGGGGCGTGCGCACAGGACTCGCAGGATGACTCACCCGACCAGTGCATATACACGACGGAATATCCCGAGCTGGGATCCGAGGATATGCAGATGTTCCATTAGAGCTGAATTTCAAATATGCCCATTTCGCATTCCAACGTATTCGCGCCGCTTGCTATTCCTCTTTGCGTGCACCTATACTCTTCGAAAGGGTTGTGCGTCGATGTGTGGCTCCGTGATGGTTTTCTATAAAAGCCTCTTTCAATCCCGAAAGCGTCAATAATCTTGTTTTACGAGGCAGCACAGGAAATAAATGTCACGTAGCCGCGTCTCACGGCTCCTCTGCGTCTCCGGATACGAGCGGTTAAGTTCAAAAGTCGACACGCGCGCACCGATGCATTAGCCATGCCCGGCGAGGCTGATTGAAACAATTTCGATCTCGTTATGTCGATCGCGCGCACAACAGCAAGTAGAACGTGATTGACGCATTTCAAACGGGCGGAGTGACTCGGAACGCAAGCGAAGTGTCAGTTGGCGAGCGACGACAGATTGAAGCGGTCGCCTCCTTCGCAAATTAGACTCTCCCGTGTCGATAATTAAGCGCGGCGGAATGAATTGGCGGGCGTGTGGGCGCCCAACGTAGCCTGGAGAGCGAACGATCAACCCTCTCGAGTGCAGCAAAGCCGAACAACTGTTTCGCGCGGCGCAGGGGCAAAAGCCGTCAGCGTCGTTTGTAGGCCTATACAGAAGTGGAAAAGCCCGCGCGCGTCGATACCTAATACGTATACGTACAGGCGAGAGAGATGTCAAAGGGAGGCACTGCGGGACACAACACACGGCCGACACACAAAAGGAAAAACCCATGCGCGTGTAATGCAGTGCACAGGGAGCGCGATTTTTCTTTGCCGCGACCACCAGTTCCGTCACTCTCGTGTTTCAGATCCCAACCCATGGAGGTTTCTTGCAATCGTTACTCGATATCCGGCCTCGGCCACAATAAAGCCCGTGGACTTTCTCTCGCGCACGGAACCGCGATCCATAGGCGCGTCCTACTGTCAGCTGCCGCGCGACATTTCTTTACTTGGTTAATCCGCGCGATCGTTGGTTTTCTAATGCGCTGTCGGTCGACGAGGTGTGCTAAAAATCATTATTTTCACGCGTTCACAGTGTCATCACACGCCAAAGGCCGTCTAGTTGCGCCTGCAATATTGGATTTTTCAATTATAGACAAACCCATCCGATAATATATAAGCACGAATAGAAATTCCGCCTGGAAACGAGTGATCGCATCAGACGCGTGCCTATTAACGGAGAATAAAAAGGGTTGAAGATTCATCGGCCGCCCGAGGCAACGACGCGTTCCTGCCAGCCGTGGTAACACAGTCAAACGAGCAGAGCGGCAATTAAATACAGTTCGGCAGATCGAGCCTGGAAACTAGCCACGGTCCTTTCTCAGGACACGGACCATTTACCGCGACCGTCCGAGCTCTCGAGCCGAGCTTTTCGCAACTCCCTCTCCGCGCGCTGATAAGGCCGGCTCTAGACTCAAAGAGAACTAGCCGGGCAATGAATGGGCGAGAGAGACGACCGCTCTCGACAAATTAGCTATCTCGCTGTCGGCTTTCGCTGCACTGCTGCTGCTGCTGCTGCTGCTGCTGCTGCTTTCCTTTTTTCCTTTTCCATTCTCCCGACGCGGTGATTCGGGAAAATCTTCCGATCGTCGCTGGATTAGATACGCTTGGACGACGGCTTTTTGCGCTGTTGTCGACAGGAATTCTCTTTTAGGTGTCTCGTGATTCTGATTTCCCAATCGTGTTGCGAGAGCCTCAACGCCTATACCGGCTGTCAATGTCGAGAAAGAGAGAATGTTTTTCTTCGTCGGATTACCAGATTTTTCACAAAAGCTATAGACGATTGCAAACTTTGCAGAATCCGTTGAGAAATATTAACTGGAGAGATGACCGAAGCCGGCAAAGCGTTTACCGGTGAATCGGAGTAGTCGAGTGTGCTTGTCATCGCGCGCGTAACGTCTATTGAGCGCGGCGTGGTGGGGACGCGCACAGCGTATATATATATTCAGGCTAATCAGCCGGAGGATGAGCGAACGCGTTGCGCAATTCACCGTGACCGAGGGGCGTCTGTCATATATCATTATTTTTGATTTCAGGTGCACTTCGGCAACAGCATAGAGAGAAAGAGACGCATATAACGATCGCAGGCAACGAGTTTCAGTGTATATATATCTGACTGTGTGCAATGAAATCGGAGCAAGGTTGGCTTGGCAACCCCCTGAAAACATAGTGACTCGCGCTCCTCGTAGGCTCTGATACGCACGCGAACGAGGAGAAGCCGACAAGTAGCGCACGAGTCCGCAGCTTCATGGACTGACGAGGTGAGATACACTGCCGCCGAGAGAATGCAGCCTCTCTTTTTTTTGATCTCGTGTGTTTGTACGTACGGTTCGATGCCGAAGTACCTGTGCTTGCGGGCTTGACGTTTGACGTACGGTAATACTACAAGAGTGTTTCAAGCGGGTTGCGAGAGAAAATTAAAAGTTTGGTCGACGAGTGCTCGCGATGCGAGCGTTTTATCGTTTCAACTTTTTTTTTTTCTTTCCTTTTTTCTCTGCGTTCTTTTCTCTTTCGAGAAGCAGCTTTCTGCTTTGCTTTTCAAAAAATACCAAGTGCACGCGCAAATTCGGCCATTCGTTTCGTTTGATCGGCAGCTATCTGATTAATCTTTACATGCAAATAATCCGCGCGAATCAAGATTTTCCTTTCATTAACGTCAAATTGATCAACGTTCAATCTGCTAATCATCACGCTCTTAAGCAAAAAATTGGCCGCCGCGGTCAACGAACCCTCTTACACGTCCGAAGAGAGAAGGAGAGGAAACAACGACTTGAATATATAAATCCAATTTCAACGCGGAACATTGCAGTGTACTCGCAAGACCAAGATTAATTGCGCGAACTACACCATCCCCGCCTCGGTTCACCATCGCTTCTCTCTGCTCGCGCGCAAAACACGACACTCCTAATTTCAATAAACTCGGTAATAACGCGCACAGGGTAGCTCGTGTTGTTCCTCCCGATTACACTTTTAATTAGCCAACGAAAAAAGCACAGGTGGATAATAGAAAAGAAGACGAAGAAAAAAGAAACTAAGCGGCAACCGCAAGGGTCGGCTGCCGCGGTGTGGTATCGTCTTTCTCAATTGTAATGTGGCCGCGACTACAGCGAAAGAGACGACACGCTTAACGCCCCGGCCAAGTTTTCCAGTGTTGCGGTCGACTTGGCCGAGGTGTCTTCTCCTGTTCTTTTCGTCTCCCCCCTCGTTGTCATTTCGCAGGCAATTAGCGCTAAGTGCCCTAACGAGCGTCGCTTATTATTTCACGGTTCTGCGTTTTACGCGCGACGACATTCGAGGCGTTGCGCGGCGTGCGCGGGCCTACCTCGGGCCGCGCGACGCTCGGTCAATTGTACGAACCCTCGCATCCGCATCGGAAGCATCGAGTCGATTGTGCGGCTTAGAGACGGAAACAAACGGGGCGGCCTAAGCAAGCCACGGATCGCGCGTCCCGTACGTGTAATGCACACGCCTCTGCCCAGCGCGTCATAAGTAGAGGGCCACATAGCCACATTATATCCTCGTTACACATTAGCCGCGTCTCGTCGTCCGCACCAGTCGAGTGTCGAGCGCCATGCCGTCCACGACGCTGCGCCTTTCAGTCTGCAGTGTTATCGTCGCTCGTTGTAGTGCTTTTGTCGCTCGAGTGGAAGAGGAGCAGCGAGAATGAAGTGCGAAACCGGACTGGACGCCGTTCGTTGGTTCGTGCTCGTCGCCTGGGCTGCATTGCTGAAGATCGGTGGGTTTTCCGGTTTAACCATCTCGCGATTAGCGGTGGATCCCCAGTATTGAATTATGGCTATCGAGTCTCCGTGC